GTGGACTTAAAGCCCTCAGCAATAGCTTGGGAAATCCAGAGCTTAAGGTCGTCTTGTGGGGAACTCCCACTGGGGGCATCTGCCGCTTCCAATAAGCATTCCCTGCAAAGGTTCCTCCCATGTGGAGCAGGCGACGAACAATTGATGCATTTGTTGGACTTTTCCCTTGATTTTCTTGCTGGAGAATCCAGATGCTTGCTAGGGCTGAAATAAAGCCATATATAAACATATATTACGGGCTTAGTTTGTCACTCTTTTAACAACCCCCCCACAAAAAAAAAATCAGTGGCTCACCTATGTTTTCTAGAGAGGGATCTTGCAGAGGCAGAGGGAGAATTCATACTACAAACGAGAATCAAAGGAAAGTCACCATTCCCAATAAAAAAGGACCAGAGGCAAACTGACAAGTAGTGATGTCGCGAACCGTTCGCGAACTTCCCGCGAACGGCTCGCCACGGTTCGCCATGAACTGTTCGCGGCGAGCTCCGGTCAGCTGACACATCCCGGCCAATCTCCAGCAGACCCTCCCTCCCAGACCCTCCCAGACCCTGCCTTCAACATGGATGCTGTCCAGGAGGTGGGAGGGTCTGGGAAGGAGGGTCTGCTGGAGATGGGTCACGAACGGTTCGCGACATCACTACTGACAAGTAGGAAAAAAAAATTTTTTTTAAAACAACAAGTCACAAAGAAGAACTAGTAATCATACCTTAGAATGACAGAAAAAACCTCCAGACAGCCAAGAACAACAGCAAAGGAAGGACTGCAGGGCAACCAGGACTGAAGGTGCAGCAGAACAGCTGATGCAGAGCACAGGCAGAGTGCCTGTATCAATCAGTTGAAATAGAGCCAGGAACACCGGTCCGCGCATGCGCTGGCCGCTGGATCGCACGACGTCACTTACGCCTGCTGGAACGCACACCGCGTTCCAGCCCACTACGCCAGACATACCAGGACCCCCCAGGTAAAAACGGGGCACCTCTGCTGCAGCAGAGAGGGACAGACCCCCAGAAACCCAAGACAGCAGTACCAAGTAAGCAAAACAAGCTCCCCCACAGGAGGAGCCCCCATAGTATGGATTCCAAACACTGCCACCAATGCCGGGGGTGGGGGGGATATTTTAGACCCCAATTTCTAGGGGCAAGACAACAGCAAGAGGAATTTTTAAGGAGGACCAACCCCATATGCCCAGATTACCTGTAGCCGTGTTTCCCTCAGAACACCAAATCCCACGCAGCAGTTCAGTACTTACTCTGAACCTGACCCAGTTAGTCCTGCTCATGCAGGCTGTTTACTGGGTCCTTCAAATGAAGAGAGGCTGAACTTCATTTGGAACGAACCCACGACAAATGTAGGAAGGTGGCCAGAAAACAAAATGTAAAAAGTCCTGTAGAACTTGCTAAGGACAGGAAAAAAGACTGAGGTGTAAGAGGAGGAGGGACACTTTATACCTATCAGTCTAATTAATTAATCTAATTCCTGTCCTGTGACTGCTAAGGGAGGAGCTACCCATAAGTGATGCTGCCATGATTAGCCAGGAAATGAAAGTTAGCCATACATTTAATGAATGTTACCAATCAATATTGAACAAAGCCACAAGGTGGCAATATTTAGCCATACATACTGACTAATTGGCAAACTAAAAGTTAAAACCAGCCTATATGTGGGGAAAAACAGTGTTAAGAATGAAATAGCCGAATGCAGCCTGGAATATGAAGATGACCATGAACAAGTCCCGCACGTAAGTATAGTGGTTCGTATATATAAGCGTTTGATCGGTACCATGAAGCCGGTATGCGGCAAGTATAAAAGGGGACCCTTTATGCGCCGTGCACCCTGTGAGTACGTGGGAGGGGCCCATTTGTATATAGCTTGTTGCCGGGGAGCCTGAGAGCCGAGGGGTTCCCTATTTAGTGGTACACGTGGTGTTGGATGCACCCGTGAGACAACTTACTGTTTACCCAGGGAGACAGCCTCGTGGAGCGGTTAGGCACCCAATAACGTCCGGAACTCGATTTGGAGTAACTTTCTCGCTGTCAGCCACTGCCGCATCTGGAGCACGTGAACCGGAAGTAGATTGAAGCACTTCCAGTAACGTCAATGACAGGTAAGCTGGGCTTACTGCACTTTATATAGGGAATAATCTACCTCCCACAATTACAGGCCAAGCCTTCTATATACACATATACACGTGGTGTGGGTTAAACTCCATACAACCTCTAGAAGACACTGTCCTCTAAACTCCTTAGAGGCCAATCACGTTACTAACTGACGAGTTTAAACTTCCTATTATAATAGTGACCAATAGACTCCAATAGTTTTTACCTTCCATTTTACACCTCCAACAATTGGAATTTCCTGGAGGCAGACAATCCATCCAAGGAATTAGAACGGTTATAGCGGGAGCTTCAATATATGAAAATCATTCCACCAAAACCCAAGCAGTCCTATTAAGCTTAGATGTCCAGTGAGCCTTTGATCAGCTTTTAAGAATTCTAAAATATAATTATTTTGGTATTCCGTTGTTTAACTTCATAAAAGCATTATGCACATAATCCACAAAATGAAACACTAATGGCCTAAATTAAAAAGATTTTATGATTATACGAGGGGTGAAGCAATGATGACCATTATCACCTATCACCCGTGTAGCAGTTTTCCATTTTTTTGGGGGGTGGGGGAGGGAGAAAGTCACAGGCCAAATATCTTAGTTCATTTCAAAGTTGGAAATTTGACTGAATGATTTTCTGGGCCTATGTCGCCTTTGAGAGAGCATGGCAGCCTATTTCAAAAGTAGGCTACCCAGAGTATTCTAAATGGGGTATTTTGAGATGCTTGGTCTAGCCACTTTATCAGTTGTCTGGGTGCAGTGTCCCAGCAGCCTTAACCATGCAAAGCTTATTATTGCAGTTTTTATTTTTATAAACTGCAATAAACAGCTTTGTGGGGTAACTTACACTGTCTACCAGGCAGCCACTAGAGGGACTTCCGGGCTGTTAGGCAACTTTTGGTCGCTTGATGTCCTCACGCTTCAGCATCACTGGAATCCCCATATGAAAGCATAGCAGGCGGACCCGAGCCAGCGCCCAGGAACATCGGTGCTGGACGCAGGTGACAGAAGTGGTTTTTAACCCCTTCTGCACCACCTTGTGGGCACTATAGTGGTGGTAAACAGGAACAGACCAAGGTCAGGGGAATCCAAAAATCATAGTCGGCATAACAAGCCAATAAGTCAGAACAGGCAGCTTATAAAGAGTAATCAGGACAAGCTAGGTCAGAAATCCAGAATAATAAAACTAACAGTCCCATACAGAGTGATTCAATAGTTCAGCTCTGTATGGTAGAATTTGAAACAGTTATGCAGAGGGCGGGTAGAGATGTGCAGTAATAACTGCACTCCTTTTTTGTAACAAATACAACACTTTCTCTGAAGTGACTTTTTACAGAGTGTGGGAGGGATTCGGATTCCAAAGGAAGGTTTGGGCAGGACTGGCCTTAGGCGCCCTGTGTGAAAAATGTTCACAACTCTCTGGTCAAACCCGCTCATCCATGTATAGTGTTTGTATATTCGCTTTCTTACATTTTGGGAAAGAACGAAATGCACCGAAATGAAAATTCTGGGCCGAAACTGAAAATTCAGGATGCCCTTGGCCAACAACCGAAACCAAAAGATTTTAAAATAGTTTTTTCTATAATTTTATTAATATTAGACTTAATGAATCAAATATGAAAAACTACAAGCCAATAAGATAAATAATAAGGGATCTTTTTATATTACATATTATACTGCTGAGGTTGCCAGTCAAATTATTATATACACCACATAAAAAAAATACAATATTCTCACTATACACACACCGCCTATATAATGTCACTATACTGTGCTTACCAACTTTTCTGAGGATGCAAGTAGGCAGGGAGATTGCAGAAGGCCAAAAGCAGCTGGTCTGCCTGCCAAAAGGGGGGCAAGTCTGCTCTTAAAGAGTGTGGCCAGGCTGACTGACAACCTGCCCACTCCAACGAACCAGGCATGGTCCTATTGCCCAGTCCTCTCCTCCATTTTGAAATCTGCCTACAGATTTTAAAATGTGGGACAATTCCCCAGTACATAAATTTGCTGCATCAGTACCCCAAAATACGAGACACTCCTGGTAAACACGGAAATGTTGGCACCTATGTAACACTGACCCCCATGTCCCAGTAGAGCACTTCCCAATGCGCGCTCCCATTACCTGGTTGCCGTAGAGCAGCTCGGATATCGCTCTCCGCTCCGGGATGACAGTGTGCGGCAGAATGACACGACGGCCGGTGTGCTCGGCTCTCTGCCTGCACCGTGTGTCCTGCTATCACTGCTCCAGCATGCTCCACACGCAGTTATTAACCAGCTCGCTTCAATGGTCCGCCCAGCGTGCGCTCCAGATCACCCACCCCGGAAGCATGACATGGGTGTAATTTTGACAAAGACCGTGTAGGTCGAAACGTTGTGAGGGGCAGTGGGTTCAATAAATTTGCCTTTTTGTAGCCTGGACCTCTCTTCTATTTTCCTTTATCGAGTATCTGGTCTCTGGTACTGGCCTGGTTCCACCCGTAAACATATTGCTTGGGATTGAGTGCAATTCCACATTCCTGCTACAATATTTATGGGTGTAATTTTTGGCAGATTTTATCCATTTTTGTCAGAAATGGGATAGGCCCATTTTTGCCTGAAATTTCAGTGCATCCCTAAAAAGAACCCCAAAATAAATATTCATTCCCCCTTCCCTGTTAATACCTTGCAGGGAGGGGGGCATGCTGATTCAGTGTGCTGGGAATCTGGTCTGCGCCTCCATGTATGATATGTTATTGGTGTATTGACTGAGAGATGTTGGAGCGCTAAATCGTCAAGGTGTGCCACCCTAACTGCATTTAAGCCAGCCTCCTGCAGGATGGCATAGCACGCCCAAACGGTGTAAATGGGTTAAGAAACACACATGGAAAGTATAAGTACACCTAAAACTTCAATATAAACACAACTTGGTTTAACCTTTTTTATTTATGTAAAAAAAATAATTACAAGAATCAACTGTGGACCATTTGCATGAAACTGTGATGTACTCACAACATTTCAACATAATCTTATATACATGGCTGTAAATGTATTCATGCAAGTTGCATGTTGTGTCTATGGTATTAGAATACGGCTGTTCAGAAATACTGCTGGAGGAAATTTCATTACGTGCAGTGACAAAAAAAGCTTTTTTTGTTTTTTTACTTTTTTTTTTTCTATAAACAGGATTTTATATTATTGGCCCCTCTGGAGCATGATGGGGCAGTTCTAGTTATCTTTCCAATTCCAGCTTGCAGAAGACAGTGCTCAATTTGCTATTAGTCATATTACAGAAATAAACAGTTCATTTGAGGTAAGGACAAGGATATAAATCTGTTTTATAAAATATGAACTTATAAAACAGTAGAAAAAGCACACAAAATGACACTTGGATCATAACCATGGTTAATGTGTTCTGACAATAATATTGATTGAGAATTGACAAAAGAATTACACAATCTAGGCAAAATAATCTGGACTGAAAAAAGGATTCCCCATAGCTATATTTCCAGCTTGACTATTATGGCCTAAACACTGCTATTCTCTTGTGCTCCACAATTCTGGATTAGTGAATAACCACCATATGTGTTAAAGTCATTGTAACACTGGTTCCACAAATTAAAGGTTTAGGCTTCTGCCTTCTATAGGAAGGTCCAGCAACGGCAACAATGGTGGACTGTAATACACATGATCTGGAGTTAAACTCTTCATGGGAGGTGGACTCGAACAGCAGCTGGGAGGGTGTAGTTGCCCAGTCCTGATGTTAGGGATAAAATATTGAGAGAGATAGAGAGGAGAGAGAGTGTCTATTTGGGATTCTACAGTAATAGAGTAATGCCACAATTGCATCCATAGCATTAAACATAATCCATGCCAGAGTTAACACTGTTTTTTTGTAATGAAAACTTTGAATATTTAGCAAATAAAAAAAATAAATTGTATTTTCCTAGTGAAGGAAAAATAATATTTAGGCGATCAGTGTACAAATGGACAGTTGATAAAGAAAAATGAATCCTCACTATGAGATGCAATGGACACAGTTGGATCAAAGAGCGATGTACAATGCTATAATTTGTAAACTGAACAAATCAAGAACTAAAGCAATGTAACTACAGGTATATTACGTAGACGGCAGGAATATGAATTAAAAAGAGGAACCATCTTGTTCTGGATATCATGCATTCAGTCTTGACTATATGCTTAATGCAAAGCATCAAATTGTGCCTTTGTGATCCATGTGAAACTGAATCTAGATGGAGAAAAAAGTAAGTGTAGCATTTATCAGACTGGCCAGTGGTAAAGATACAAAATGGGAATACATTACAAATAATTCATATTAAAATAAAAAAAGCCACAGGATTTAAAAAAAGGCTTCGAAAAGAAACCATATGTCCAAATAAATGTACATGGCAGTTTCACAGATTGCTAGAAACACAAGATAAGTCTCTGTAAAGAGTCTTTAAAAGTGGCACAGCACCTTAAGAAATGGATGTTATCTTAACAGCAGGAAGCATAAGTCAGGGGAAATGGGATAAACCGGTGATTTCTTTTGGCAAGCGGAGATGTCAGTATGGCTGAAAAGTGCTAATACTGGGAGTGCTCATGAAATGATGGATTTTAGTTTAGGTTTTTTTTTTTTTTGGTTGCATCCCATTTATCAGCTCATTGGGTAGAATAAACCGCAGAAAATCCAGGTGTGTCATCGAATGAGGTCCTACAAAATGTTATACTGGTAAGTGTTGATGTATTAATCGTCAAGCGTTGGTAACCAGAAAGCCTGCAGAATTTAAGATTTTAAAAAAGTCAATTTCAGGCCAAAGCCTTTAAAATCATAATACATTTGCAAAACAATTGAGCACATAACAGCTATTTATCAAAACACAATACAATTTTCAAGCTATGCAAAGTATTCCTTTCAGTAAGGTGATAAAATGCATATAGTCCAGCTTTCATAAAAGCTCCATCCTGTGTATGTAGACAGCAATATACTTTTAGAACAGTAGCTACTACGCACCCCTTCTGCAGACAGTTTACCGAGCAATCTCTCAAGTAATGAGCTTGCAAGACAAACAAGGTTATTCAATAAATACTGTTAACAATTAAAATATAAGGCAAAACTAACTAAACTATAAGTTCAGAAACACAAACTTGTTACTAGTGTTAAAAACACTTTTTAGGTCTCCAGCTTCACCCCCTTCACATCACCCCCCTCTTAAATAGGATTACAGCGCGGGGTCTGGCATTGCTGGCCCCCCATAGGAAGGCATTAGATTGGCCAAGATCGTCAGTTTTTTTGAACCAAATGCTGTGATGGCCAATCAGCATCTCCTCATACAGATGCATTAAATCAATGCATCTCTATGGGGAAAGTTCAGCGCCTCAATGCAGAGCGTGGAGATGCTGAATATCAAGGCTGCACATTTTGTAGCACTGACTCGGGAAGCACCTCAGATGGTCATTTGAGTGACTGCCACTGGAGATGTGCTTAGGCAGTAATGTAAACACTGCCTTTTCTCTAAAAAAAGCAGTGTTTAGAGCAAATAGCCTGCAGGGACATACTATGCTCACCAGTACAACTACATTAAGCTGTAGTTGTTCTAAAGACTATAGTTTCCCAAGTGTTAAATTTGAAATTCACACCGCATTCCAGAGAATTTTCACTTTAGGTAAACTCTGAAAGTATCAAAGTTATTTGAACAGCTTGTGTTAAAAGCAAAGATGCTTTCTCACCCTGGACAAATTTCTTTTGTACCATAACCCCTTTTACAATCACACTTACCCCTGTCTCTCATAAAATGCAAATTTTACAATACACTTTTGTGTGACTAAGCAATTCCACGAACAATCAAGTGTGAACTTTTTACAGTTGTATTTTGCACATACATGCTTTGGGATACACAGAATGCCTGGGAAAACTTGAGTTTGTGTACTCATTGTCTGATACAGGTATCATGCAAGCTATGTACACATTACATGAAAAACATTTTTTTGCCGTGTTTACATTTATTCGTTTTACAGATCATTTTTGTCATTAATTCGTAAACACTGTACATTAAAAAGTAAACTAATGTTCAGTTGCCCCCCATTATTAAAAATAAAATAAATCAATGTTCACTTTTTAAAAAATTGCTGGAGCTGCAAGCTTCTGCTGTGAGTTCTCACCAAACCAGGAGCGATGAACATATCTCATAGACAGTGCCCCAACGTCATGTCTAGTAGATAGGGTCAGCTCCAAATTCTGATGCAGGCAAAGTTAATTCCGCCTCCGATGTCGTCATGCTCAGTGGGCAGGACTCTGTTAATCTAATGAGTGGATTCCCGTAGTCAAGACAACTAGACATGATCTGACATTAAAAATAAATCTTTTTATTTTTTTTATTTTTCTATATTTTTATTCTTTTTTCAGACCAGTCGGCTGATTTTACCTCCCCCATATTGAATCGCGTCCGGTTGCCTTGGCGACAGTAATCCACTAGTTAGATCAACAGAGCTCCACCCACCGAGACGGGAATTGAACTGCTGACGAATTTGGAGCTTCCACATCTACTAGACGTAATGACGTTGGGACACTGTCCATCGTGGCAATCACCCAACATACAGCAGAGTGCGCAACAGCTACTGTGTCCCCAAAAAAGTGGCACCAATCAGCATCTCCTCATTGAGATGCTCTGAATCAAGGCAATTTTATGGGGAATGTTCAGCGCCTCCATGCAGAAGCTGAAAGTCCAATGTGCAGCACTAAACTAAGAAGCACCTATAGTGATTGTAATGTCCCTTTAAATGTTACCTGTAATTGTTTAACCAAACAACTATTACATATTGTAATATAGTAACTCTAAAAGAAATTGATCAAAAATGGCAGAAACTGACAGAAGAAAGCCAACAGCTGAACATATCCTATGCAGAGGTTTATGGGTAAAAAAGCTCAGTCACTTCCTGATTCCTGTATACATAATTAAAGAAGCTGCAGATCCTGAGCATTTGCAGAAATAAAGGGGGTCTTTTAAAAAAAGTAAACCTATTCAATTTATAGTTTTACCACCATACAGTTATAAGGCGAGTCATCTCTAGCATGATATACCTCTTTATTTATAGTTTATTCTTCCTCACTAGATAAATTGCACAATATTGCTGTAATCAGTCTTACAGCCATATTACATCATATGAAATCCCTTGTGGCTGCAAAAGTCTGTTTGTACTATGACACCAGTTCATTCTACATAAACAGAAGTTGCTATTTTATTGACATTGTAATGTTGCATTTTGAACGGTAGATTTTAACAAGTATATTTTTTTATGTTATGCCTGGCAAAATCTTTCTAAAGACAACCTGTCGCATTTTAAATTTTTCCATTCCGTATTTATTGTTAAAGGGACACGATAGTTACCAGAACAACTACAGCTTAAGAAGTTGTTCTGGTGTGTATGTCCCTGCAGGCTTTTTAATGTAAGCACTGACTTTTTGTAGAAAAGGCAGTATTCCATTAATACCTAGGAACACCTCTAGTGGCAGTCACTCAGATGGCCACTAGAGATGCTTCATGTGTCAGTGCTGCAGAATGTGCAGCACTGACATTCAGCGTCTCCACGGTGAACGCTCCCCGTAGAGATAATTAATTCGATGCATCTCTATGAGGAGATGCATGCGCAATAGCCTTCCAATGCGAAAACTTGGGACTGGCCATGATCATCAAGTTTGATCTCAGCAAAAGAGGCAGAGCGGGACCAGCTATGACAAGACCTGCGCAGCGCTGGAAGAATGGGGAGGATTTCACTTTTTTAAGTATAAAGGGCACTTTTTAAAAAAATGACAGTGTCAGGAATACATGTTTGTATTCCTGACACTATAGTGTTCCTTTAATGTGACTGTTTGCAAAATCATGAGAATAAGTATATATCTTATAGTTCTTATATCAAGGAACAGAGGCATGGCCACTGAACTAGGCTGTACACTACCATTTTCATTATAGAAAGTTGAATAGTCAAGTAAACATCTGTTTTTATGAAATATCAACTTGCTTGTCAATATTAGCTCACAACAGGTGAAGTGTAGTAGAGCAAATTGACATAGCCATATCATATAAGTAAAACCTAATTTTTGTCACAATATTACAAAATAAAATACCTGTATAGCTGAACTAACTGCTTCCAAGTACACATGGCACGTTGTGTGAGTACCTGGAATGCCCTATTAAAGAGGTTTGGAGTTCCTGCTTTCAGCAAGCAAAAAATATTTTAAAGGGTTATTCCAACTATGAGAACTACTACAGTCCACTGTAGTGGCCATGATAGTAATGAGGCTAACTGTGGTAAAACCAGTGACCTCTTACCTGTTGTCATTGTGTGCCGGTCTCCTGTGAAGCAGGTTTCCAACAGAGTTGCAGAAGCCAAATACCAATCCTGCCGCTTATCACTGGCTGAGAGCGCTAGATGATGGCCCTCAACCAATTAAAGACCCTCTGTGCATAGAAATATGCACAGAATTGACATTAGCACACCTGGAACTTGTTCAGTGCTGGCTAATGATGCACCAAAGATGCCGCAGGAGGTGGAGCTACACTTGCGGCAAAAAGATTAAATTCATAGTGAAATGCTGCAAGTTCAGACTGCAAGCACCATGACTACTTCAAATCTCTAATGTGGACATGGTGTTTGGAGTATTTAGATAAAACTAGAGGGTTAGTTTAGAAATTCGATCAAGGGAGAAAAGTATAAATGCCTCATTACATATCGATGGGAATTTGAAAGTCACCCCAGTTCTAAGAAACTATATGCAAGGAGACGAGCTATAATGTAACAAAGGTAAACAGTCTTTAAAAACAAAACAAAAAAGAACAAAACTCTCACCATGTTAGAACAAGCACTGGCAAAAGTCATGAATTTGGGATTGAACTGCAAGCATGTGATGGGCCCAGTATGTTTACCATCCAGCACCGCCACCTTCATGCCGCTCTCACCATTCCAAACGTGGATCTTACCATCTTCAGATCCTGCATAAAACCAGACACAGTGAGAAGCTGCTTTACATTCCAGAAATGAAAAGTTTGAAAGAAAAAAAAAAATAATAAAATAGCCACATCTTACCGATCATAATGAACTGTGAATCTGGAGTAAATGAGGCTTCCAATGTAACTGCTTTACTGTTATTGTAGCCCTGTGCCAACAAAAGAACACATGGATATTAAATAGATAAAGTGCTTACTGATCACTCTCCACCAAATTGGCATTTGGTAATTACTTTGTATGTTACCAGAAATAAAGCTACATAAAAGAAATAAAAAAGCTTTAAATCAGTGCACTTACCCCAAATGTGTGCAGAACAGCCCCCTTGAAGGCATCAATTAGTCGGATGAAGCCACCATTGGTAGAGAGCAGGATTAATTTCCCATCATTGCTAAATTTCAGAGCTGTCCATTCACATGTTCTGTCATACTGCATTTTAAATGTGGCAAAAGGTCCCTGGGAAAAAAAACAATATACAAGTTAGAGAATTAGGTAAAGTGCATTCTACTCTAGAATTCCTAATCTCATCTAACATACAGAGTTTAAAACACACCTTATCAAAAGAGCGAAGATCATATAACTTGACCATCTCTGAATTTACTCCAGCTGCAAAAATTAGACCCTCTGGATCAAAGGAACACACAGGCTTCCCCTGAAGGTGCATCAGACCCTATATGGGATACAAGAAAGAAATGTTATTTTCTAGTGTGAATTTTAATCAAATTCATTATATTAATGAACAAAAACATATTACTGAGAATGTTAAATTCACATTTGTGCTGTTTCACACACTGCTAACTTAAGTTTCATAGATGAATCCGTTTAAAGGGTTCTTCTAATACAAATATGACCCATTAATTTTTATTGTATAATACAGATAATACAATAAATATTGGGGAACAACGGTTACCTTTCAAATGCAATGCACTGTGTGTGTCTACCTGCAGCTGCAGACATGCCACTCCAACTCGAGAATGAGACACACCAATCAGGAGCATCTTATGCGGATCTATTGGGACTAATCTCAGCACAAAAACCTCTGAACAAGTGTCTTCTTCCTAATGATCAGTTTCAGTAATTACATGGGATGAACAGGAAATGCAATATAAAGCGATAGCGTGGTTGCTAGCAGTTTAAACACAGTCTAGTTCACGGGACTTTAGTTTGGGCTGAGCGGCAGACTGGCGACTCTCTCTGTTGGGAGGAGAAGGAGGACATTCCCTATTATGCATGGTGTACGCATGCTGCATGCACAATAGAGAAACAAATTGACACGGACAACCCAGGAACTGATTGACAGCCCTAGGAGGCAGCTGTTAGTACTAATCATTGTCATTATAACCCACTTTCAGAAATAAGAGGAAGGCTCAGTGTGCTCTATGCACCAAGCATTTGCAATAAAGTGCTTAAAGTATTTAAACTGATCCTTTACAGTATCCCCAATAAACGTTGGCAATTCTGGAATCAGTGACAAGGGGGACCTTATATATGTCTCTGCAGCCAGATCAGATGGCTGCAAGCTGTGTATATGGGGAGCAATCTTCTTGTTGGTCTGAGAAATACTAAGGTTAAACAAATATTGAGTACAGAGCTATGTGGACATACGGACAGCCCAGTGAGTGCAAACAACCTAAACACTTTACGGTTGATTTACTAAAGTGACAACTGTTGGGAATTCAAAGTGTGTTTAAAAGTTATGGAAAAATAGCCAAACTAAAAATAATTATCCAATGGGGCGGGGACTGACTGCCAAGCCGGGCAGACGTGTCTTGTAAGAGCTCCAGAACTTTCAGCACTAAACTGAGGATTTCTGCCCCAAAACCCGACGGAAAAATAGCCAAGAAGGCAACTCACCCTCTCAAGCTGTAACGGTGCTCAACATAAGCGGACATACCGAACCATAAGTGGACAAAACCCCGGAGAGCAGGACGATTGACCTGTGGCCTGGTGAGCCCCGGAGAAGCGGCCAATCTCAGACTGGGGAACTCCCAGAAAGCAGCGGAAATCACTGCACTGAGCCCCGCACCCCCCACCCCCTGCTATGGACCAGTGGGGGATGTCCCAGTCCAAGAGAATCTAGCGGAGACCAGCACAACCGCACGGCGGCCTCCATAAGCGGGAAACACAACAACTTCACCAATATGGCGGACTCCATGTGTGCAACACAAACCAGAACCCAAACTTTGCAAGCAAACATACTCGACAGAATTTTTGACGACTTCAGGGCAAAATTAAGCCAAGTGTTGCAAGCATCCTCCTTGCACACGCCGAGCTGTAGCTTCCCACACAGGCTGCCCCCAAGCACTAAGCTCCTGCCAGCGGCCAGGGCCCCAAGCCGGCGGCACCTCAACAAACACCCTCCTCCTGCCGCGAAACATAAAGCCCCAGCGAGAGTACCGACACTCAAGCGGAGGGGAGGTAAGAGCACCAGGCTATAGACCACACACAGCCCGAGCACACGCCAACATACCTGCACGAAGAGCAGCTACCAGACACCGGGCAACAGTGCGCACCACTGCAGTGAGATCCCCCCGCTACTTCCCAACCAGTGCAGGGACACAGACAGCACCGAAAGCACCCGAAGGAACACCCAGTGAGCTACGTACCAAACACCAGACAGCAACAACGGCAGCGAGATCACGCCAGGAGGCACACTCTCACTGAGGTACCAAGGGGAACTCTGATTATACCGAGAGGCCTACCTTACCGATCTGTTGTAAGCTGGGACAGCCTGCAGCACTCACCCTGGTCACGGGACTCTGTTTATCCCCTAGATGGCATAGGCTTAGCTGAACCTGAGGGGTTCACTGGTCATACCCTAACACTCAGAGGAGATATGGGATATGGCATGCAAGTTTCACACATGAGGGACACTACCCTGTCTTTTCTACATCGTTAATTTTTCTTATTTAATTTTCTCCCATGTGATGCAAACCTTAACTTTCCTAAGAGTAGACGATATAAGTTTATTTTATTCATGTTACATACTGTGTTTTCTAATGCATATGCACTGTCTCACCTAGCATCTACACGCATGTGCTGATGGATAGGATGTTATACCAAAAGAAAAGTTTTAATCAATGTTATATGTGCAGCACTATTTCCATACATCCTATGTCTAAGCCTATTCGTTATATCAACAGCCTGGGCAGTGTCTCACACGAATGCCTGTCTGCACACTGCTGTATCACGTTAACCATAATAAATCACTGGTCTCCGACCCTCTCATGCATAGCTATGTCTCATCTAACTCATTGTCACTAAGCTGATCTTGTGAAGTATATTAATGCCCTAGCCTGTGTACTACTCCCAAGACACTCAGCGATTCTACCTAGCATAATATTCACCATGTCTTGCATGCTTAGATTTTTATCTTTAAACTGCTTGAACCTTCTCACAGACGTGTATACATAGCCTGTCTAAATCTAAAAAAAAAAATTAAAAAAAAAAGTGCCACCAATTTAATGCCATATATGTGAAACTCTCTTTTTATTATGCTTACATACGCCATTGTGACACTGTAACCTCATGCACAACGAAAAATAAAGAATTAAAAAAAAATAATAATAATAATAATTATCCAAGTGTGTTAAACTTCCAGTTTGACTACTTTCGTCAGATTTTCAATTCCCGACAATTTAATAAATAACTCTGTATAGGCAAGACTATATTTTAATTTATATATTTGTAAGCAATTTGGTAAACTAAAACTATAGATCAAACTGTTTTCCCTACGAGAAGTGCTGTATAAATGTACAGGACTTTTTCAGACTCACTGGGATCAATTACATTCTGACAATAAGATAGCTTGAAGGAACACTATAGTCACCATAACAAATACAGTGATTGGCTCAGAGAATCACTTCTGATGAAGTCAGCCAAGCAGGCAGATTAGGGGTAGAGCCAGCAGCAGCAGACTTTACTAAAAGTATGATTTTACTTTAATTGGGGGGCCAGGAGGACAAGATGACGGTTTTAATACTATAGGGCCAGGAATACGTGTTTGTGTTCCTGACCCTATAGTGTTACTTTAAATGAGTAGGATAACATCTATATCCAAAAATATTCTTGAAATCCAGAGAAAATCAAAATTTTATATTTCCAGTAAATTCAGCAATATTATTCTCAGTTAATTTACGGTTTTGAAACCATGTGTTTTGCAAAAAAGTCCACAAACATTTATAATGGAAATTCTTGGCACCATATTCTATACAAACCTGGCAGTTAGGAGAGCGTAGATCCCATAGCCTGACCGTTTTGTCCAATGAGCCAGAAATGAATGTATCATCAACCGGAGACATTGATAAGGCAACCACTCTGTGTAACAGAATTAAAAAAAGGTTAGAGCAACCATGGATTACTTGAACTGAGTTTAAAACAATATAAGATACATGTGAGGCTGTCAAAGCACAGTCAGGAGAAAAAAAGCAAATAAATGTGACATAATTAAGCAATAAGAGTGGGCCTCTGAGGGAACATGCATGTGTATGCTCCGTGGCAGAATGTCCAATACTGAAAATGAAAAAAGATGCAGTGGAATCTAATATTACAATGTCATATGAAAACACCTGCCTAAAAACAGATAACAAAATTGTGATTTGGTGAAACAATTATGTCAAACTGGACATTCAATTACAATGACATACAGCTTTTAGTATTTTAAAGCCAGATTGTGTAATAACATTTTATATATTTGGTCTCGTGATATATTGAGTATTTTCACAAGATTATTACCACGCTTTGTGGGGACCGTGCAGATTCCATTGCATGCATGCTCATATTTGCATGTCTAGTGCAAACTAATATTTTTTTTCCCAGTAGAGTAAATACATTTTCAATAATATATACACACACACACACACACACTTCGATCACTAAAGCAGTGCAAATGAAAGAAGTTGCTTCTATAAAAATTCCATAACTACACATAATTGCTGCCTAGTGGATGCTATTACCTGTAGGGCTACAAATAAGAGTCAGTTTCTTGTTCCGCTTAGGAAAGCTATGCTTAGCAGTATATAAACCAATTCTGAAAAACAGCTGCATTGCACATGATTGTGAACCATATTTCACCATGATTCTCAAGAAACTGAAAACATCACATGATCCCAGCACTCAGACACACAATGCTGTACAGCAATGCAAGGTGAATCCCGTTCCACCACAAAACATGTATATCTTGGAAGAACAAATAACTTTAGAACCCCTGAACTTAATCCTCAACCAACATCTTAAAAAACATCTCACCTCTTGCTGTGTCCTGGAAAATAACGTATGTACTTATTATCATGAAGAGACAGGTAGCGAATAGTATCTGTAACAAAAATACATCTTAGTTCTTGCAAGGTGGCATGGAAAGATCAGAAGAAAAAAACATCTTCTAGGCAATGTTTTAAAAAGGAAAGCAAATGACAAACTTATTTTCAAAAAACAAAATGTGCACGTGGAAGGAAGCCGGTTGATGGTGAGGTACAAAAAAACATTTGCATTTTATTAAATATGCATCTAGTACAATAAAAAGATAAAGATTACTTGCCTCATATGTCACCACAACATGCGCCAAGAAAATATAGCAACAGGGCTGTAATAGGTTAAATTCAGTTCTTAAGGGAACACTCCAAGCATCCTAACAAGTACAGTGTTCTGCAGTAACTATGACACCACCCTATGGTAAGTAGCCCAACCGTTTTAGTATGGTTTGACAACTTACCTGGACCTGTCAGGAGCCACAGCCACATCCCCTGCATCTGGTCTGCTCCCACAATCTGTATTGCTTTGTAGAATAAAGCAGGGTCCTGTATGACTTTGTACATTGGCTGAGAGCACTCAGCCAAACAGCGCAGTTCTGCATTAATGGTAGTGCTTTATTCGATCTAGACATCTGGCTTCAGCAATAGTAGTAGACTAGATGAAGCTTGGTGTGCCTAGAGTGACCCAGGGAAGTTTTCAAACCATGCTAAAATGGTTTGAAAGCTTATTGTGAAAAAGTGAAAAGGCACTTCTGTCACCATAACCATTCCCTTAAGCGTCCCTTGATCAAAAAAGGTTGTGACTTAAGAATATGGATAATCCTTTAAAAATAACCGTTTTATAATGCGTTACCCCAAAGGTTACCTGCACTACATTAGTAAACTGACTTGAGAATCAGAGGGTTAATCCATCTCAAGTAGTCTACCATAGGTTGCTTGACCATTTTTACATTTCTTAAGTTACACTTTTTTTGAGTAATTACGACTGTGTGTTAGTATCGCACAAAAAAAAAAAAAAAAAACCCAAAACTTTATTTTACCTGGTTTAAACATGGCAGCCATCTTTGTGTTATGGCACACACCAGATTCTGGTGATATAGATGTTTACGGAAACCTTAATATTTCATCTCAGGATAGCCCTAGCTCCTTGCACCAAAAACTGAGACCTGGAGCACATTACAAGGTACATGTACATATGTAAACATTTTAAACATTAGACATTTGATGAGTCATTGCATTAATTTAAGTGGTGAAAAGCAAAAGAACCTGCACTTGAAGATATTGAAATTTACCTTACAGTTAATTTTTCTGTAAATGATCAACAAAGGAGAAGCCTTTAAACCATCATTTATAGTAAACATTAATTAATATCATGGTTGAGATGTTTTGGAGACTGTGCTCTGCCCTAGGCAAGGCAGTCGCATGTACAGTTATCTACTAACGAGGGTGGTGTCATAGACCCTTAAACTGTACAAACAACTACCTCAGCCCAGACCCAAGCTCACGGTTTGGAGGAACGTGGTGTCATAATGAATCAAATGAAATACAGAGTTTCTAAAAAAAAAAAAAAATTACAAACGTTTGCAAAATCATGCACACTACATCATAAGCTAATGTAAAAATAATAAATACTGAAAAATCTTCTTTCGCATACCATCAATTTTGTTGGAGCTGTAGACCACTGTGTTGGCTGCATGTGTATATCGAATCAGATCAACTCCATATTTTTTACTGTACAACGTCCTCTTGGGCCTGTCAAAATAACAAAAACAGAACATTAGCGTATGCTTTAAAACACATAGGCCGAATTGCTCTCTTAATTTGGAATGCATAAAAGATACCAGAGGCAGGATATTATTGATTTTTGAGGGACACTCTGAACCCCTACAGTACATTAGCTTGTGGAAGTGCTTTATGTGTGAAGAGTGTGTACTCTTTTTTTCATTTTACAAAACTATAGACGTCAAAAGAAATTGGCACGTTTAGAAATTAAAGGGATACTATTGTGCTAGGAATACAAAGTTGTATGCCTAGCACTATAGATCTCTTGCGCATTCCACGTAAAAGGGATAAATCCTTACTGTACTCACCTGATTCCAGCATCGGTCTTCCTCTGTGCTGGGTCAATGCTCTGCCCCCTCTATCACCAAATTTGGGGGGAGCGCTAATGCATATGTGCGGCAAGCGCATTAAGGCAACACCTATAGGAAAGCACTGGTGTAACATTTTTCTATGGGGATTTTACCAACACTGCATGTCCTCATGCAGAGTGTGAGGACATCCAGCATCAGTTAGGCGACCAAAGGTTGCCTAGCAAGCAGGAAGTATCTCTAGTGGCCGCCTCATTGACAGTCACTAGAGGCAATTTTAACTATGTAATTATTGCAGTTTATCAGAAACTGCAATAATTAACATTACAGTGTTAAGGGGCCAGGGAAATTGCACCCAGACCCCTTTAATGAGATGAAGTGGTCTGGGTGCCTATAGTATACTTTTTAAAAAATTCTTTATTTTTGTCAGGCAGCCAGAAGACGACATTTGGTTATACAATTATGGATAGTGCTCAACAATATATCATTGTAGTAGTACATCAGAATAAAATATTACAATGGGGCAGAAAACATTTCTGTGTTTATTCTGTTAAAAGGTATCTTGGTATGTTGATTATCCTTCAGGCATGGTTTGCCTTTTTAGTGTATAGATAACAAATGAGAATTAAAAAGAGTGGGAGGGGTGATAAAAAGGGGAGTCCACTGCGGTGCGTATATTATCTCTTTAACATCGTTACATTCTCCCGACTGTCAGACAGTCCGTACGATTACTTTGTAGTTTCTTAGCTCAATGCAGCTAGACGCAAGAGACAAGCCCAAAGCACCTGCTTTGAGAAATCTGTGATTGAACAGCCACAGAAAGTCGGGGGTGGGTTACAAGGGGAGAGCTTGCAAAGGCTTCAGACGAAAGACCCGCAGCTTTTGCAAGCTCTCATATATATATATATATATATATATATATATATATATATATATATATATATATATATATCCCTACTGCAAAAAAACAAAAACACATCAATAAAGGGTATATTATTGAGGTTATATTCAAACAGTGATTTATAGATTTTGGAATTTGGGCGGTTGAGTGTCCCTTTAACATTTTCTATAAGAATCTTGAAAAAACAAAAATAAAAAAAAATGAGCTTTGTTCGTCCAGCATTTTAAGTAATCTATAAATTATAGCGCTTTGCTTACTTACTTGCCCTCTTGGCAATCATAAAGCACTATAGAGTCGTCGTCGCTGCTAGATATCACGGTTTCTCCAGTGGGACTAAAATCGAAGCAATTAATTTTATCTGAATTTTCCCGGAAAACCTTCGCCACTCTGAAACTGCGCAACACGTTATCCGTCAACTTCATGGTTGACGCTGTAAGTAGGGTGGGAGAGGGGTATAGAGCTGAAAGTTTTACACCAGAGAACCAGTAATGTCCAATTGAGAGTTATGGATGGAGGTCACTATGGAGATGCAGTCAGTGCTGTCAATGGATGAATGGGTAAGGGGTGGGAGAGGGGGGTCACAGCAAACCCCAAAAATATTCTGTCCCAATGGTTGTAATACTGAGAGATCTGAGAAATTAAAATGAATTACTGATGGTGTGTGAGAGCTCAAGCAATGTATTAGGGGGGAGGGAAAACGAGGACTTCCGGGACCCTGGGCCTGGCTGCTTATTGACCCGGGTAACACGTGCCCCGCACACGGTGTTCGGGTGTCTAATCACGCAGATTTCCCGCTGGCTGCGTGGATCCCCGTCAGTTGTTACTCCGGTATTTCCGGTATGTTGTCTCGGTCTCACAGTTCGCGAGCCTCCTCCGCTCTCATTGTTTCCACCATGTTGTTTGTGGAGCCGGGGAATGAGGCAGCACGCCGACGTGACAAAACGTGCGCTGCCATTGGCTGCTGGCATAGCCGACGTCTTGCGTTTCCATCGCGCCATCTTAGGTGTGGCAGAGAGCGCACATGTGGAAAGCGCGCGTGTCACGTTCAGATGTCCGCCATGTTACGAGTGGCAGCACAGTGAAGCTGTCAGTGCAGGATCTGGCTGGCACTTACTGAGTAAGCGTGAGTTACCAACACCGTGTGTGTTTGGATTCTGGGTGGTGTAATGCGTGTTACATAATGTAAACTACCCTCCCTATTACAGATTGTGGGTTAAATTAAACGTGTTATTGCCATGTCATTCCTTATATCTCTAGTAAAAATTTAAATGTAAAATCACCTGGAAGAAAAAAAACCAGACCGTGAATAGTATAATTGGAAGTACAACTAAGTTGAGAAAGTTTTTCTAAATCACCTGTTTCTGTTTGTGCAGCCCTAGACGCATCTCCCCTGATTGTAACTGACACAGCCTGCATGAAACAAAGATTTACCATTCAGTCAGATGTAACTTACTGTAGAAGTTTTAATTACATACAGGGTCTAGCAAGCTTTTAACAGAGCAGGAGATAAGAAATTCCTAAGTAAATAGAATTTGCAATAAAGGAAGTGCAAACATTAGAGCTCACTTTACAGGAAGTGTTTAGGGAGGCTGTGCACATTACTTAGTTACTTGCAGGGAAGTGTAACTAGCACAAACAAAACGATTTAACTCCTAAATGGCAGAGAATTGAGCAGTGAGACTTCAGGGGCATGATCTATACACCATACCTGCTTCATTAAGCTAAATTTATTTTGGTGACTATAGCGTCCCTTTAAATTCAAAATTCACTTTACATTCTAGACCTTTCTCCCTTTAGCAAATACAGAAATAGCAGAAAATAATACTCCTTTTCATCTATAGTCATAGTTTGAGTATTATTACCTAGAACCTAGATAGTGCATATCTGTTCTCATTCAAATAAACCCATGTGAACTTTTAAAAACTGAAGAAGGAATTTTCTGTTGTTTTGGGCTAAATATCAGATTTTGAAAACATTTAGAAAATAGCTTTTTTAGCTTAGTTATTTTTTATGTATTTACTTATAAATCCACATAATAAGAAGAATGAATCCTTCTATCATCTGGGATTTTAACTAAGGAAACTATTAAATAAAGTAGAAATAGCCCTGTACCGAAGAGGGCAAAAGCCTTTCAGTGCTGTACATGTATTTGGACTACAAAATCCAAACATTGTTTTGTTTTTTGCATTCTTTCTTTCTTTATTTTTTTGTGCAAAGAATAACAAGCATACTTGTGTTGCCACAACAGCATTGACAGGTATTTAATCTACATACATGGATATACTCTGCCATGACATGTGAAAAAAGTGCACATTTTTATAAGAAGGAGAGACTAAGTAATATGTCTATACACTATGCTTGAGAAAAAAAAATGTAATGCCTGCCTTTGTTAAAGGCCTGAGAGTTTTAACTAAGAATTCTACAATATAACATGCCTCTGGTAGAGTATAAGAAAACATGCTTAATCACATTTTGCATGTGGTGATCAGCAAGCTAGAGTTCCATTAATAGAAGTTGATTGCAAACCAGGCAGGCATAAGTTAGAGTAACATGTCTAAGCTAAGAACAAATTCTAGGGTGAGTGAAAGTGCTATCTAGCTAGACATCATCCATGACCTTAAATTAAACTGCTGCATAGTGAGCTAAATTGTCATGAGGATCCAGTGTCAGCTAATGCCCAGACTCGGGAATCTATGGGGGCTAGCTGTGAGGCGCCACAAGACAAGGGCTAAGCATGGTATTCCTCCAGCCCCAGGCCATAACAAAGGCCTGCATCTCGGAGCCATGGACTCGGTTACTCATGTAAGAGTCCAAATCCCTCCCTGGTGGAGAACAGCTTAAGCCCCTGATGGTCTGTTGCCGCCTGCAGCAATAAGACCTCAGCTTCCATGGTCTATGCTTTGGGAATTGATCCCAGGTAGGCTAAAGTTGGGAGACTTGGGTGCTTGTCGGGAAGTTGCACTTAGAGGGGTCCATTCAGCCTCCGACTCTCTCTGTTCCACTTTCTCTCCTGATTGGTGATGCCGCAAAATGAGCCTACAAATTTGCCCAGAACCTTTTAAAGATTCCATTCACGCGGGCCAGCATTTGTTCAACTGTGTCATGGTGGGCCTTTACGGGCTGTATCGGCTTGCAGTCATGAGATAAGAGTGGGTTCGCCATCTTGGGGGAATCTTGTGCAGTGTCAGCTGCTTGCAATTTGCAGGGGTAAGTGAGTGGAGCCAGTCAGTGGGGGACTGGTACAACCCCCACCGGTCTAAAGGGGGGGGGGACAGCTATGTTCGGTGCCACACCACTAGATAACGAATCAGGAGAGTGGCCGCCTCTTCTCGGTTCAATCTCGTGTAGGCCACAGACTTTGACTCGGGCGATCTGGCTGCGGGAAGGCACATGTAAGGAATCCCCGGGTGCACTAACGTGCCATGTACCAGGTGAGGGCAGATTGCGGGCAGAACTTCCGAGTGACCCAGAAATATTCCCCGATTTTGGTAGCCAGACGCACAAGCTCTAACAGAGCGCATTTAGTAAGCACAACATGCAGGCTCTGCCCAAAATCCAGACATTGTTCACACTAACAATGTCTGGATTTTGAAAAGCAGATTCACAATGTACCTGAATTTATTCTGGATTTCACCCAAACTGAAAGTTGACAGCTGAAATCTGGAACAGGAAGGTTAACATATGGTCCTCGATGCTTACAAATCAGGGCCGGGAGTTTAAAGATCTGAACTATTTGCCCGCTGGTAGCAGGCAAAAAGAAAACCTTGGCGGTGTTAGGGTTACGTTCTGTGGCAGGTGGCATGCATTTGCTAGTCCGCTTCTACATAAAAAAATAAAATAAAATAAAAACCTATGGGGGTCAATATGACCCTCCTGTCAGTATAAGGGGCATATCTACTAAACAAAGACCAGACAGATGCTGCTCACTGTAACCAAACACTGGAAGCAGGTCAGATATTGTTTCCTAGTTACTAAATCATTACAGCTACACTATAGGCACCCAGACCTCTTCAGCTCACTGAAGTAGTCTGGGTGCAGTGTTCCTTTTACACTTAGTGCTGCAATGTTAAACATTGCAGTTCCAGAGACGTTGCAATGTTTATATTGCAGCTCTGAGTCTGCCTCCAGTGGCTGTCTGCCTCCAGGCGCTTCCTGCACCTAAACAAACCTCTGATCCAGTATCTGACGCTGGATATCCTCATGCTGTGCATGCGGACATCCAGCGTCGGATTTTTCCCCATATGAAAGCATTGATTAATTTCTTTCCTATGGGAAGGGCTAGCGCGTACACGGGCGGAGTGTCGACCCAGTGCCGAGGGACATCATTGCTGGGATAAGGTAAGTAAATAAAAGTTCTTAATTAACCCTTAATTTACAAGGGGACGAGGGAGGCAGGGGGTGTGATTGTGACAGGAATACAGCTTTCCTGGCACTATAGCATCCCTGTAAGTAGTGTGAACAATGAACACATTTTGGCGTCTGAAATGCCCTGTAAAAATAGCAAAGATTGGCTTGGCCCTATTCGGTATACTTTACTTACATAGACCTTTTAGTGAATAACCCATCCAATTCATCTGTTTTCACATAAAATATGAAATTATCTTTGAATTATCAACAATTCATACAAAGCAAACAATCGTTTGCTTCACATTAGCTGCCATTTTAAGTTTATGCAATAACACGTATATGTACAAATTCCTAGATTTTACTATTAGCATGATGTAAAGTCATGATTTTATTAATGACACGGAGGCGAGTATTATGCTTCTCTTTAATTTTCCCTCAGCAGCGAAGAGAGAAATGAGTATAAAAGAGAAAATTAGCATATCATTAACATATATACATATTCAACAGTGCTACATAAGGGAACCTCCCCCTTTCAGTATATAAGGTGTAGCACTCTCTTCCTCTTTCTGTAGCGATCCGAAGACCAGTCAAAACCGAACAAGAACTCTGAACTAGAAACTGTAACCTCGGGAAGTTGTACATCTCTTCCTAGGGGAAAGGTGGAGCCGACCTTGAAGCTCCTTTCAGTCCCTTTGACGTGTGGAATCAGGCTAAAAGAGAGGAGAAATATGGTAAAATCTCGATTGATAACTGGTTGCAACATATCCCAGCATATCTATTGTCCTCTACGTCTGAGAGAAACTTCAACGTCATAGCATCCTGACATAAAACTCGATAGATAACAAGTAGAACCATAATTCAAAAAACTATTGTCGTCTACATCTGAAAAGAAATACAATGTCACAACGCCTTACAGATAACATCAACCTAGGCTAGGCGTATAGTACGAAAAAGTGGGGCCGGGGAGACCCGCCCTGGTAGTATGAGGATAAGTTCTGACTCGATCTAGTCCTGTATGGCTGCGAAAATCCCACCACTTCCAACCCAGGGAGGGAGGGAATAATACTCGCCTCCGTGTCATTAATAAAATCATGACTTTACATCATGCTAATAGTAAAATCTAGGAATTTTATTAAAGACACGGAGGCTCCTATTATGCTATTTTAAAGCTGAGCTATAATCTTATCAGAAAAATGTTGTATAGGTCTAAAGTAAAAGTTCCGGAAAGTGGATTCCGTAGGCCAATCTGCAGCCTTCAAAATGTCTTCCAAGCGACATCCAGCCGCCGATGCTTTTGAGGCCATGGCGCCTCTGACGGAGTGGGATGAGAATACTGAGACATCGATCCCGGCCGTAGCTAGCAGCCATTTGATCCAACGTGCGAGTGTCGGGGTAGATACAGGTAGATGAGGTTTCTTCAGGGAGATGAACAGGGGTCTGTCGTTGGACAGCCGTAGCGTAGAGGTGCGAGACTCGTATTCCTTCAGGCATGATATTGGGCATAGGTTGGGTAAACTCGTGATTCTCGGATAGAAAACCTGTTTAGTAGCTGATTTAGTTCTCCGTGAGATATCGAATGACACTCCCTCCGGAGTGAACTTGCGGGCCCGCCTGTCCAAGGCTCTTACGTCCGATACCCGTTTACAGGATAATAGGCAGAACAGCATAAGTAGCTTTGCCGATAGTTGTTTAAAGGACAGCTCTATGTTAGAGGGCCAGTCATCTAGGAGTCTGAACACGCAGTTGTTGTCCCAGAAGGATCCATATCTGGATGCAGGGGGACGTGAGAAGCGGACTCACTTGAGCAGGTGACAGACTAGAGGGTTTTGTCCGAGTGGGAGCCCGTCCACCTGGTCATGTCCAGCTGATATAGTGGAACGGAATACATTGACCGTGCGGAAGGCCTTGCCTGATTCGAATAGGTGTGTCAGGAAGTCCAACACCGACTTCACAGGGGCTGATACCGGATCCAACGATCGTTCCAAGCACCAATTGGCCCACTGTCTCCATGCCGCAGTATATGTGTGTCGTGTTCCAGGTGCCCATGCATTTGCCAGGAGTTGCATAGTTGTGCTCGAAACCTCTGTGATTTCCTAGGGTCCCCGGAAAGGAGCCATGCCATGAGGCGGAGAAGACCTTGTTCTACTAGGGAGTGGCTCTCCCCGTCCGGGTTGGTCAGCAGAGGTGGATGGTCTGGGAGTAACCTTGGGTGGTCTATCGCCATCTCCAATAGGTGTGGAAACCAAGGTTGGGATCTCCAGCATGGGGTTACCAGGACCAACGAGCTCTTGAAGCGTCGGAGGTGCGCTAGACAACGAGCTATTAGATTGAAAGTTGGGAAGGCGTATGCCCTGCCCTTGGACCAATCTTGGAGGAATGCGTCGGTTGCTATGGCCCCCGGGTCTGGTCGCCAGCTGCAGAACCTCGGTAGCTGTGTGTTTAGTCTGGACGCAAACAGGTCCATGCTCAAAGGTCCCCATAGGAGTGAGATCTTGCGGAACACGCTCGGTTGAAGTTTCCAATCTCCCGAGTCCCTCAAGTAGCGGGAGTTCCAATCCGCTGTGTAATTGTCCAGGCCTGGGATGTGTTCCGCGGTAACGGACACACTGTTCTGTAAACAGTAATTTCAGAAGTCTCGGGCCAAAACTGCTAGTATGTGGGACTTGGTCCCCCTTATATGGTTTATGTATCACACCGCCGAGACATTGTCCAGCTTGAGTAGGATCGAGCATGAGATGCCTTTGGGTGAGAGACTGCGAATGGCGAACGAGGCCGCCAGCAGTTCCAGAGAGTTTATGTGTAAGAAGGACTCTTCCGTGGACCATCTGCCTCCTGTGGATATAGAGCCACAGCGCGCGCCCCAGCCATGTAAGCTGGCATCCGACTCTATCACCAGGTCCGGGGTGGATCCGAAGATCGCCCGGCCGCTCCATGCCTCCATGTGGGTTAGCCACCAGTTCAGTTCCTCCCTGGATTCCATGTCCAGGGTAACGTGAGATTCGTACGAGTGGCCACTTCGTAGGCAGGTCGCTTTCAGGCGCTGTAACGCTCGGTAGTGGAGCGGGCCTGGGAAAATCGCTTGGATAGAGGCTGCCAACAGGCCAGTGACCCGTGCCAGTTGGCGTAGGGATATGTCTGGTCGGTGCATAAGTCTCCTTATCTCCTTTTTGATGTTGTACATCTTTTCCGCCGGGAGGCATAGGATCTGTAGAACGGAGTCGACTCGGAATCCAAGGAATTCCATTTGTTTTGAGGGGATTAGAACCGATCTTCCAGTTTACAAGGAAGCCCAGGTTCTGGATAAGATGTAGGGTCCACTTTAAGTGATCTAGCAGAAGGGACCGTGTCCCGGAGAGTATGAGGATGTCGTCCAGGTAGATGATGAGGCGGACTCCGTGTAGTCTGAGGAAGGCCACCACTGGTTTGAGTATCTTCGTGAAACACCAGGGGGCGGAGGACAGACCGAAGGGAAGGCATGTGAACCGCCACTTCTTGGTTCCCCAGCAGAACTGGAGTAGGTCTCTGTGTATTGCCGCTATCAGGACTGTCAGATATGCATCCTGCAAGTCTAGTTTGACCATCCAATCTCCAGGAAGGAGCAGGTCTCTGAGGCAATGTATGCCTTCCATTTTGAAGTGCCGGTATTGGACCAAGGCATTTAGGGGTCGTAGGTTTATAACCGGGCGGACCCCGCCTCCTTTTTTTGGCGCTAAAAACAGGTTGCTCACAAAACCTGGGGTGTCTAGAGGGATCTCCTCTATGGCCTTCTTGGTCTGTAATTCTCTGATCTCCGCAGAGATGAGATCGAGGTGTGATGTTGGCATGTGGTTTGCCCTTGGGGGAGTGTCCTGAATGGGGAAAGCTGTCAGCTCTAGGTGGTAACCCTCTACCGTCTGTAACACCCAACTGTCGGACGTGATCAAAGTCCAAGCTCGATAGAACAGGGCCAGTCTGCCCCCCACATATATATGGGAAGAATGGGGAAAAATGGTACTCACCATAAGGGCGTTTTCCCGTGGGTGCTCCTCGACTGCCGCGGGTATGCCAAGGCCGTCCTTGTGAGGGGAAGAACGGGGTGAAGGACCATTCCTGGTTCGGCCTCTGAGGGTTGAAGGAGCCTCTTCCCGGTCTGGAAAAGCCCCGGGGGTTGCGGCCGGGTAGACGGCTCCTACCTCTACCGGCCCCGCCAAAAACCTTTGGGCTGAACACCCGTTTGATGGAGAATCGGGCTTTGTCCAAAGCCGTAAAGGTCTTGACGTAGGAGCCCAGGTCCTTTACGAAGGACTCTCCGAATAGTAGGCCTTTTGCAGAGGCACCGGGTTCATTGAGGGCCATGCTCGCAAGCTTGGGCTCAATCTTTAGCAGGATGGCCTTCCTGCGCTCTGTCGACATAGCCGTATTGGCATTGCCGATCATGCATACCAGGCGTTGGAGCCATCCGAACGCCACTTCAAAGTCTAAGGGTGCCCCGCTCGATTGAGCTGTTTCAAGCAGTTCATACAGCTTGGTGACTGGGCCCAGAGTGTTGAGGAACTTGTCCTGACAGTTGCGCAGCGAGTAGTCTAGGCCCTTTTAGGCTTCCAACCAGTCTTGGCCAGAAACTGCACAATTTGTGGGTCAACTTCAGGGGTTTTTGCCACTGCATCGGGTATGATAGGGCGGTTACGACCCTCTTGTGAGAGTTTGTTACGACCCTCTAGTGAGAGGGATTTGCGGACTTTGAGGGCCAGGTATTGAGCTATGTGCTCAGCGGGCTCCCATTCAGCGGAGCGAGGGTGTCTGAGATTGTCTGGATCAAATGCCAGGGTATCCTTAGCCTCACGGGTTGACTCTGTCTCAGGAGCCCCCGACTGTGCTTTGGCCTGAGCCGGTCTGGAAGGGAATTGTGTTCCCGGGAGATCCTCGTCTCCTGAGGTCTCGTCCTCGTAGGGATCTGAGAACTGGTCATCTGACCCTTCCTCCCCATCCTCGTCTGAATCAGACAATAAATCATGGGCCCGTACCCGTTTCCACTCTCTGGCCGCCGTAGCCCGGCCAGTAGCTCTATTGCGCGGTTGTTGCGCGCCATCATCAACAGCCTGAGGCGTGTCAATCAAACCAGGCTTTACCTGGGCATGGGGGGGTCAATAACGTGTCCTGCAGTAGTCCCTTCAGGGGAAATGGCAGACAGTCCTGGCCCAGATTGGGCAGGGAGGGCCTGCCTAAGGGCCTGGGAGATGGACTGTGAGATACTGGAGGACATAGCTCCCATGGCAGAGGAGATGGCCTTGCTAATGGAGTTGGACATAGTGGCGTCCAGGAGGCTTTGGAACTCTTCAGAGCCTATGAGGCAAGGGTCAGCCTGGGAAACAGAGCCTGTGGTGCCCCTAGGGGGGATAGGGTGGTCAGCTAAATCACCACTGGCAGACTGCATGATGGCAGAGAAAAAGGCTAGATAAAAGTTATAGAGCAAGTGAGAAAAAGGTGCTGGATTGCTTAATCCAAGCACAGAACAGAGTTGCAGAGAGAATACCCGGGTCCTGTGTGGATAGCAGGGAGCATGCAGCCTCCACGGAACAGACAAAACCGCAGAGTAAGGTGATTTAAAATGTCCGGCGACAAGAAACCAACAAAATGGCCGCCGCGCATGTTCCGCGCATGCGCAGAGCGCGCACGCGGCGGAAATGGAACTGGAAGTACCCGCCGGAGTGTGCAGCCGGCGGGGGCCGAAAAACGGCCAAGGGGGGTGGGGGGAACATGGGCGGGACCCGGTACACACAGGGACCCGGTCATAGGGGCCCAAGGCAACCCAAACGATAGGGAAATAGAGAGGGTCCTGAACCCACCCCAGCAACAAGGAATAAAGTATAGTAGGAGGAATCTTACAAAGTTAAAATGAAACATAAACAAGCCCTGAATAAAACAGGGGATAGTCAAAGTAAATACAAATGACAGATTTTTCAGCAAGTAAGGTAATAAAGGTACTTAGCTGGTCTGAGGGAGCAGCGAAGGAAGAGGAAGAGAGTGCTACACCTTATATACTGAAAGGGGGAGGTTCCCTTATGTAGCACTGTTGAATATGTATATATATTAATGATATGCTAATTTTCTCTTTTATACTCATTTCTCTCTTCGCTGCTGAGGGAAAATTAAAGAAAGAGAAGCATAATAGGAGCCTCTGTGTCTTTAATAAAATCCCATTTTTGTATTCCACCCCCTGAGTATAGTAACTCTTGTTGATAATTAACTTTTCTGGAAAGCTATTTGGGAGAACAAGCAATGAATGGACTTTAGACTCAGACTGTCTAAAACTAAATGTTTTCTGTGAAGTTGGTGTATATTCTGTGTGGAGAATTTCATGGTGATGGGATAAAGGAAACAGCAGATCTGAAGAAATCTCTAAGCAACTTTTCCTGCACTGCCACTTCTCTTGGGTAACTTCTATGAATCAGCTGAATATTTGGAGAAATACTACAATACAGTACTTCAGGTGAATTTGGCATTGCAGATGTTGACGAATTTAATTTCCCATGATACGCCATTCTTTACTGCCACATTACTGAATTGTTGTGTTAAATTTTTTTTTGTTTTTTCTTAATTATTGTTGAAAATGTATTTAAAACTAATCCACTTACCTCCAGGTCCAGATTTCCTGTAGAGTATATTAATGGGACGCTCTCAGCACCAGAACCAGTATAGCTCAATGTAGAGCGTTTGCTGTAAATTGCTTTTTATCAGTCTATGTAAAAAGACCAAACAAAATGTTTTTTCAGACCTTTACATTTGTCCATTAGGGCACCTATAGTGACTGTCACAGAGCCTATAGAGAGGCTTCCTATTAAGGTGTAGGACTGACTTTCAGTGACTTCACACTCTGCATGTAGATGTCATTGCTCCCCAGAGACGTGCATTGATATAGTGCATCTCTATGAAGAGATGCCAAATGGCGCAGTACTGTGATTGGCACTTTTGTCCTGTAGGCCAACTTTTTTATGTTCGTGTTATTGGGGCCCATAAATCTGAAAGGTCAAGAAATAACTCTGTTAGAAATACATGTTAGAATTTCCCTTTAACGAGCAGAGCCATTTTTTTTTAATTGTGTGGTAGTAGCAGAAAGCGGTCATAGCCACATCCACTATTTGTAGTACTGCTTTTTATTTGCAAAAACATTTTATTTTATTTTTATTTCTCTGCTAAGTTGGAAGGGGGCATGTGTTGTCCAAAAAACAACCTTGGACAACACATGCCCCCAATCTGTTTCGAGCCAAGGCACTCTTCGATAAGACTAATATTTCCAAGCAACACCTGTTTTCTTTTTAGTATTGATTAATTGCAAGGTGAGAGTAACAATTTTAATATTAATACTTATTCAAAAATCATTAACAATTAAACTCTAAAGTCTGCATTCAACCTATTCGTATCCTGATTGCAACGTGCTCTTGACACCAGGGTACTAGTGACATGTTGTAGTAGTTATGGTGCTTCGTGTGTTCCTTTAAGAACTAATTAACACTTTATATTAAAGAAACTAGTTTCGTACCTCCCAACATTTCAAATGGACAAAGAGGGACACTTTAATTTTAGGGGTGTGAGTGGAGGTGTGACTAGGGGCGGGGCTGTTCTGAGATGTTTTTAGTTGACTTACTATTAACAATTCATGAAACTAAAATATAATGTATAACATTAAAGGGTTACTCCAACCACCATGACAATTTGAGTGATTTGAAGTGGTTGTGGTGGTCAGAGTCTGGATGTGCAGTGCTTAAGCTTGAAGATGTATTTAATTGTGTCCTGGGGCCTATTTGCACCCCCAGCACACACAACCCTGTTCCAGGCTGCATACTGTCAATTCTGTGCATTTTTTTTACCTCTGTCATGCTGACAACAGACTTAAAAATCTTCCCCTTGCAGACAGAGCACCTGTTAGTAGAAGATTGCTTTCCCCTACTGCCTCCTTCAGCTAATTGGATAGGTTTTTTTTTGTTGTTTTTTTTTTAATGGTAATACCCCTCCCTTCCCCCACTCCCTCCAATTGCTGGCTCAAACCTCAAACTGCAAGATGAAACAGTCCAATCACAGGCTATTTGAGAAGCATGTGATTGGACCTCCCAAGGCTCCTGTGACATTAGACGAGTGTGGAAGATCAGCACCAGGAGCTTCGCCCGACGCCGGATTGCAGGGATATAAAACTTATTCTTAGAGGTTTTATGGGAGGGGAACCTAAGAGTAATGCCCTATAGCAGCATTTCCCAAACCACTCCTCAAGACCCACCAACAGTCCAGGCTTTGTTAGTATCTCCATTGGAATAAAACCGGGAAATATATAAATCCTGGACTGTTGGTGGGCCATGAGGATTGGTTTTGGAACCACTGCCTTATAGGGTTTCCAATGAGAACTTTATCTACAAAAATGCAATGGTAGAGTTCAATGTCCTTGATCTTAAAAGGGTCATACTATATTAAATCCAGATTCTCTTTCCTTTGCTGCAGGATTCTGCTTCATGGCCAGAGTATTACAAATTCTGAGACTGAAACATTCTCTGTTTTACCAAACGCACAGGACTAAAATGGGTAGTGTGCCTCTGCAGGAGGATGCCCGGAAGATATTTTGGGCTGCTGTGTCTGCTGTGTTGCCACCTCACATGTTACATAGGTCACTGAAAGTGACAGATTGTGGAGACTCCTCTGTCCTTGAGTGTGGAGGGATAGAGTTCTCTCTGAACAGGAATCTGTACCTGGTGGGATTCGGGAAGGCTGTGCTAGGAATGGCAGCCTCAGTAGAGCAGATTCTGGGAAAGCACCTTCTAGAGGGAGTGATCAGCATCCCACGTGGAATGGAAGAAAGCCTAAAACAAGCTGGGAGAAGGTATCTTCAGAGCACTTTAATGGGTATTTCTATGCTACAGCCTACATAAAAGGGTCCTGGTCTAGCACAAAACATTTTACTATGCTAGAATTATACAGTGAGGGAAAAAAGTATTTGATCCCCTGCTAATTTTAAACGTTTGCTCACTGACAAAGAAACAAAGAAAACAAAAACCAGAAAAATGCATGTCAAAAAAGTTATAAATTGATTTGCATGTCAATGAGTGAAATAAGTATTTGACCTCTAGAGTTAGTACTTGGTGGCAAAACTCTTGTTGGCAATCACAGAGGTCAGACATTTCTTGTAGTTGGTCACCAGGTTTGTACACATCTGAGGTGGGATTTTGTCCCACTCCTCTTTGCAGATCCTCTCCAAGTCATTAAGGTTTCGAGGCTGACGTTTGGCAACTCGAACCTTCAGCTCCTTCTACAGATTTTCTTTGGGATTAAGGTCTGGAAACTGACTAGGCCACTCCAGAACCTTAATGTGCTTCTTCTTGAGCCACTCCTTTGTTACTTTGGCTGTGTGTTTTGGGTCATTGTCATGCTGTAATACCCATCCACGACCCATTTTCAATGCCCTGGCTGAGGGAAGGAGGTTCTCACCCAAGATTTGACAGCACATGGCCCTGTCCATCGTCCTTTTGATGCAGTGCAGTTGTCCTGTCCCTTTAGTCGAAAAACTCTCCCAAAGCGTAATGTTTCCACTTCCATGTTGACGATGACGGTGGGGATGGTGTTCTTTGGGTCATACACAGCATTCCTCCTCCTCCAAACACGGCGAGTTGAGTTGATGCCAAAGAGCTCAATTTTAGTCTCATCTGACCACAACACTTTCACCCAGTTCTCCTCTGAATCATTCAGATGTTCATTGGCAAACTTCAGACGGGCCTGTACATGTGCTTTCTTGAGCAGGGGGACCTTGCGGGCGCTGCAGGATTTCAGTCCCTCATGGTGCAGTGTGTTACCAATTGTTTTCTTGGTGATTATGGTCCCAGCTGCCTTGAGATCATTAAGCAGATCCTCCTGTGTAGCTCTGGGCTGATTCCTCACCGTTGATCATGATCATTGAAACTCCACGAAGTGAGATCTTGCATGGAGCACCAGACCGATGGGACTGACTGTTATTTTGTGTTTTTTCATTTTGTGAATAATCGCACCAACTGTTGTCACCGAGCTGCTTGGCAATGGTCTTATAGCCCATTCCAGCCTTGTGTAGATCTACAATCTTGTCCCTGACATCCTTGGACAACTCTTTGGTCTTGGCCATGGTGGAGAGTTTGGAATCTGATTGATTGCTTCTGTGAACAGGTGTCTTTTATACAGGTAACAAGATGAGATTAGGAGCTCTCCCTGACATGCAAATCAATTTATAACTTTTTTGACATGTGTTTTTCTGGTTTTTGTTTTTGTTATTCTGTCTCTGACTGTTAAAATAGACCTACTATTAAAATTATAGACTGATCATTTCTTTGTCAGTGGGAAAATGTTCAAAATCAGCAGGGGATCAAATACTTTTTTTCCCTCACTGTGTATATATTTATAAATTTATTGAGGTGTTTTTTACCCAGAAAAGGAAAAAGTAACACTGGTGGTTCTTTACCTAAAGCCTTACATGCTGATGTATAAAATTTCTTCCTATCTGTCTATAAGTGTTCATAGTATGGGTGAAGGTTGATTTTGACCTGTTTCCTACAGAGAGATGCTGCTATCTTCTGGGTCTTCAATTCGAGTTATGGAAGGTGCAGAACACAACATGGCAGACGAGGCAGCACTGGAAGCTGCTGGTGAAATACAGAGCCTTGCAAAGAAGCTGACGGAACGAGACATCTTGCTTGTGCTTATTTCAGGTAAGAGAGAGAAGAAGGAAAGAAAGGCCAGAGGGGTGGAATTTGTGTTATATGTTAATTGAATTGAAGGTTCTGAGAAGAAGGATGTTCATGGAAAGAGCAGCGAAGATGGCAAAAGGTGAGGAGTATGGAATAGGAGTATTGGAAATGGCAAGGGTACACAGAAGGGAAGATGTCAAATAATGGAGGGGAGGGGAATTCATATAAAGGGTTTAATGCCTACAGTAGGTCACAGCCATCATGCAGTTCAACCCGTAACGATTTTTTGTGTTCTATAATGTTTCAGCTAATATCCAGTACTATTGTCCTTTCTTTTTCTTACTTGATCAGGTGGTGGCTCTGCTCTCTTGCCAGCTCCCTTTCCTCCGCTTACACTTCAGGACAAGCAAACTATAACCAAGCAGCTGGCAATGAAAGGAGCGACCATACAGGAACTTAACACTTTACGAAGAACTTTGTCTAAGCTCAAAGGAGGTGGCCTGGCCATGGCAGCGTTCCCTGCACAGGTTAGTTAATGCATGTGCAATTCACAGAGGCTACATGCAACTAAAATAGGAATAATGATTATTGCACATCTGAAATTGGCAACATTTGTCCTCAGTATAGCCTTTATCAAAGCTATGTGTATTATTTATTTATATTACCCATTCTTACTCCATATTCCTGGAAAGCTGAAGGAGAGGCCATCTGGGCTACTAAATAAAAAGAGAAAACAAGGGTAAACCTAAGGATTAGACCAGTCGAGCTCAGGGCTTCCAGCTGTCAATGGAGAAGGTGTCCAGTGATCCCAGGTAAGTTGTCAAAGCCTTTGCAAATGGTTTGACTACTTACATTGGTTGGGCACCATATTAGATGGTGCGACCAACATTGCCAGATCTTTTTGCCATTACCAGTGTGGGTTAGGGTCTGATTGGTAAAAGAACATTGGATCCTATAAGTTAGAAACGTCTACCCATATTACTACTGACTTCAAAATCTCAATTGCGCAGTACACACCCAAACACTGTGGGCTCCATTTTAACTCATGCAACTGTCTCCATTCGAGAAATATCATAGGAGTCATACCTTGAATAATGCGCCCACTATAAAACAGGGGGTCTTTCTAGCAAGCTCATATATCAAGCGTTGTTATGACCCATGCAGGCATACACAAGATCCATAAGAAAATCCTTATAGCATAATAGGAGAGTCACCAGTATACTTACATATAAGGAACAAAATTAGGGAAATCAAGCAGAAAAAAAAGCTGGCAAGCAGCTCCTATCATCTTACCGGCATGGGAATAGATAAAAAATAAAATTACTGATCATTCGACCTACCTCCTTTTTAGAGATTGACCGATTATCGCTTTTACCGATATTATCGGCCGATATTCGGTATTTTCAGGAATATCGTTATTGGCCAATAAAGATACCGATATTGCCGATAATACATACCAGGACCGCCGGGCCCATGACAAGCCCGGCGGTCCTGTGGGGCCCTCAGCAAGCTGTTACTTACCTTCCCTTCAGCTCCCCTCTGTAAATCTGGCTAGTCCCGCAGCCGTCAGAGCGTTGCCACGGGTTACCATGGCAACGCTCTGTGCGGCACGCACACTGTGAGATTTACACAGGGGAACTGAAAGGAGCTGCTGGGAAGGTAACAGCTTGCTGCGGGCCCCCACTGCACAGTCCATGCCACAGGACCACCAGGAATGTCATAGCCCCCTCCCTGGCCAGGTAACAAGCAGGGAGGGGGGACAAAAATTAAAATAAAACATAAAAAATTAAATTAAATTAAAATAACAAATGCCCCCTCTCCCCCATCTTACACAAATTACATCCTTTCAGAAACACACACACACACACACTCTGCATTATATACACACACTACACAAACACACACACTGCATTCATTATATACACACACTACACAAACACTGCATTCATTATATACACACACTGCATTCACTTTACGCACACTACATTCACTATACACACACACTACACAAACACACACTTTAAATTCACTATATATACACACTACACAAACACTCACTGCATTCACTATACACACTACACAAACACACCCTGCATTCATTATATACACACTACACAAATACACACTGCATCCACTACACAAACACACACAGCTCCCCTGTCTAAACACACTGCATCCACTACATGTGGCATGTAATAGTTTATTTTTTCAAAATGGTAAATGTACAGAATTTCGGCAAGTTATCGGCTATCGGCCTGAAAGTTCACAAATTATCAGTATCTGTATCGGCTCTAAAAAAAAAATCATTATTTGTCGATATTATGTCAATGTATGGCTCAACTAGTATTCTTTATAAAGTGACTCCATATCATGTATGTCTTATAAAAATTAGATCTGTCCAGTCTGATACACACAGTTATTTTTGTTTTACTCTCTCTTCCTCACAGGTAGTCAGCCTCATTCTGTCTGATGTCATTGGTGATGACCTTGATGTCATTGCAAGTGGACCTACGGTTTACAGCTCTTACAGTGCAAAGGAATGTCTGCGGATATTGGACAAATACCACTTGAGAGGCTCAGCGCCTGGGACTGTAGAACAAGTTCTTCTCTCCAGACCTCCGACTCTATTGAATGACAATTTCAACCATGTCCACAACATCCTGATTGGCTCCAACCTCATAGCCTTAGGTGAGGCACAGGAGGAATCTACAAAGCTGGGTTATCATCCTTTACTCCTGTCCACATCCATTAGTGGTGATGTCAAACAAGTCTCCTGCTTTTATGGTCTCCTTGCCCGAGTGATCTGCTCCATTATGACAAATAGTCCAGAGCAACAGCAGTTGCAACAAGAAATCCTAAGTCTAGTTGACAAGATGACTATTCCAGACCTCAAACTTGCTGATTGGTTGCAAGAACTACAAACATATGGAGATTTGGGAGCGGTTTGTGTTCTTTGTGGAGGAGAGATAACTGTGTTGGTACAGGGAGAAGGAAAGGGTGGGAGGAACCAAGAACTAGCACTGAGGGTGGCTCAGGAATGGCATGATACTCAGGAAGGCATGAAGGATTGTGAGGTTCTGTTCTTGAGTGGGGGTACCGATGGGCAGGATGGTCCTACAGAAGCAGCAGGTGCTTTCTCCTATCCTGGGCTACTAATGGATGCTCAAGAAAAAGGATTAAATGTAGAACACTCTCTGAATCACAGTGACTCTAATGGTTTCTTCACTAGATTCCATGATGGCAGATACCTTCTGGTAACTGGACTTACAGGCACCAATGTGATGGATGTGCAGGTGCTACTGATACAGAAAAACAGGAGACAATGAAAATGAACTGTTCTTTCCCCACACACAATGGAGAGACAAAAAAAAATCACTATAGGGTTAATTCACTAAACAAGAAGCTGCAGTTTATTGCCAACCAATTTGCTAACTTAAGATTTTTTACAATATTCGCTATTTTGGCCTGCTGTTTACAAAAAGGCTGACAATTCGGCACACCTCTTTGTTTTATCTTTATACCATATCATTTCTGCAGTGCGTAATTATACGAGCAATAAACAACTGCTACATTTCTGTGCATTGCCGTCTCCTGTTCATACAACCTGCCTTGAATTGCAGATGTACGCAAATGCCAGCATAACGAATGGGCAGGCATACATGTCATAATTATGGGCTTTTCATTTGTATGAATAATGAAGTCTTGGAGGGTACCTTTTCGTATTAAATCAGTTGTTGCAGATGTATAATAATACTCAGATTATGCTGTAGTTCACAATGGCCAGTGGTTTTGAGCCAGTGCACTCTTTTATCTGCAGAAGTAAAGTAACTAGTCAAACAGTGCACACACACACATGCTCTCTTCCATGGTTTCTAGGTAAACATCCTCTTCACCTTAGCTGTCATCTGCCAGATTTTTCGCCAGTAAAGTGCTTGATGTCCCTGTGCACTGATATGAGGCCTTGCTGTGACAGCTTACCATGTCATGGACAATCATGTTTTCCTACAGTGTTCTGATGCCTCCCCCAGTTTCATTTTAAACTGTTTTTCAGGAAACTTTTGGCATAAACTGGAGTTCTTTCTACCACTCAAAGCCTGGTGCCAGCTGCTTTGTTTAAATTGAAGTTAATACTTTAACATTATCCGTTTATCTATTAGTCTTCTCAGACGGAACACAGGGATCTCTGCATTGCATGCCACCTCAGAATGAACTCAACGATCTGAGACAGGTGCAGAGGAAGAGGTAGAGTGGGAAAAGAACTGGAGCCAGTATGGCAGATACACACAATGACACACGGTGACACCCCCGCACATACACAGTATGCTATACACACCATTAGAAACATTGTCCACATAATGACACCCTGCTACACATATACAGTTCTACGCGCACCGTCAGACATAGTACACACTTTTCAGGGACTGTAAGTTGATTTTTAGTGATTTCTGGAATTTCCAAATTTATATTTTTTTTCCTCTTATGTCACGCTCTGTGATGTTATGTAATATCATGTGATGTCATACATACATAAGAAAATTAGCATGACCCATATTTTATCTAAGAAAGGAGGCAAACCGCTGATTTTGGGGGGTTGCGATCCACTCAGATGATCTGTCGATAGGCGAGGTGTGCTGTGCTAGGCTTCGTCCCTCATATATTTCCCAACCCCTCTTTTTTAAGCTCTACCCCTGCACAATCTGCTCTGAGTGGCTGAGCGGGCAGGTAACTACCTGAATGGATGGAGCCTAGCACTGGACACCTTGCCTATCAACAGATCACCTGAGCGGTCCGCAGCCCCCCAGGATCGGCTCTGGTGGCAACACAGACTTACTCTTGTGGTGCATGGTAAGATGCCTCTCCCTCAGACCTGTTAATAGCAACTGGTGTGGGAATTGACAAAACATTATGGTGTAAGCTCTACTTATTGACAAATTTGCCAATCTCGGCTTTGCCCACAAGACAAGGTAATTCATAGTTATTCTTATATCTATTGATTGTGATTGAATTGCAGTGAAATTCCAATGGAGTCTTGAGTATACGTAAAAGAGGTATACCACTACACAATGAAAAAATATAAAATGGGTAGAAAAAACTCCAAACAAAAGTGAACAAAAAAAAAAAAGGGGAGAAACCCAATACAAGTTATATAAAACACGGTGTAAAATTATGTTAAGAGAGATGAACATAATACAACCTGGTGACAGGTTAAATTGTTAATTGAGACTTGAGTGTCTTAAATCAGATATGAATATCTAGGACAGGGGTAGGCAACCTACGGCACTAGTGCCATGCACGGCACTCGAGGTGTCTTTGCACGGCACTCGAGGTGTCTTTCCACGGCTCTGGCCTATCAGAAGTCCCAGTAAAACTTCAGATATCTGCTAATACGAAGAGGTGGTGAAGGACAGTCCTCAATTTATGCATTACAGCACATAGAGTTAGTGATCTCAGAGCACTTCATTCCAGCACTTGTGAATGGGAATCCACACCGTAGTAGAGCAGCTTGCAGTTGCTGTTGCAGCTCCTGTCCTTGACCTGTACCTGGCCGGCCTGGTCCTTACTGGAACCCAGGGAAGCCACCCACACTGCTAGATATACACAGAGCTGCACAATAACCCTCCCCTCATACAAATAATATAAACAGCCCACACACAAACATACACACAATCCGCACAAACTCAACACCACTAACAATCCACATACATGCACACAACCCCACATGCAGCCTCTCACATGCAATACCCCAAACAGCCCCCACACATACACACACTACAAAACACACAATGTGACATATCCATCCACACACACAATTCCACAAGCAGCCCTCATACACCACCCACATTCATATGTATCATACACGATACCACAAACTACTAATGAACATATACAATATAATAGCTCATATACACACAAATACAGCGATACAAAGCTATTCCAGTAAAAATAACACAAGCATAATACCACAGCATACACACCTCAATTTAAAAAAAATAGGATCGGCACGCTACCGGACATCACAATCCTATATCGGCACAGTACTGCTAAAAGGTTGCCTATCCCTGATCTAGGAGATAGACAGAAACTGCATATGGTGTAATATAGTAAAAACTAAAAAGGAGGAGTGGTGGGAGAGTACTCCCAATATATGAATGATCCCAAGCTTGTTTCCCCCACTGGGGTGTATCAGTTATAACTATATCTTTATTTTTCAGCCACCTTTACGATGTATGTAGCAGATTAAACAGCAGGATGGTGCAATATTGTATATAACAAAATTAATTAATGGGTAATTGTACTTTCAAGAATGTGGATAAAACAGGCATATCTCCACTGCAAGTGGACCACATGGAAGAAGGTGTTTGTGAGCAGAGGACGTAAAACCATATCGAAGCAAATCAATAAGAAAAAACAAAAGCAATGCAAATCATGTCAAACCTGGACAGTCCAAAATGGATCTTAAGTAAGCCAACAGATCTGACCATATCAGCGTCCTATATATTCTTGAGAATTACATACCCTTGAGGAAATCCAGATCGGTCGAAACATGTTGGATTATTCAAGATTCCTTTTGGGTGTTTGTTTTGTATCAATTGTCCAAGAGATTTTCTTTATGAAATACTAAGCAGAGACACAGCTGCTTTCACTTTCCATGTAATGGCTACGTTTATAAGTAAAAAGTCCTTTATTGGCATACCAGTGGGTTTAATTGAACTGTAGTTCTTTGATCTTAACATGTATAGCTTGGAGGAAAGACGAGACGGGGGGGGATATGATAGAAACATTTAAATATATAAAGGGAATCAACACAGTAAAGGAGGAGACTATGTTTAAAAGAAGAAAAACTACCACAACAAGAGGACATAGTCTTAAATTAGAGGGACAAAGGTTTAAAAATATCAGGAAGTATTACTTTACTGAGAGGGTAGTGGATGCATGGAATAGCCTTCCAGCTGAAGTGGTAGAGGTTAACACAGTAAAGGCGTTTAAGCATGCGTGGGATAGACATAAGGCTATCCTAACTATAAGATAAGGCTAGGGACTACTGAAAGTATTTAGAAAATTGGGCAGACTAGATGGGCCGAATGGTTCTTATCTGCCGTCACAATCTATGTTTCTAGTTCTCAGAAACTCATTCTACAGCGCTATGGAATTTGTTGGTGCTTTATAAATAATAATTATATTAAACACCTTTTTACGGTAATATTCTTCAAGCGAGGATTGAAGCATTTTATGTTGAAAGAGAGGAGCAGAAAGCAAAACAAATGTTTTAAAACAACAAAAATAAAGATTAATAGATTAATGATAGTTAACTGTAACCTAACCTAGAGAACCAACTTTCTGTATGTAAATATACCCCTCACATTTGGGCTGCACTTGTCATGTGCTGGCTATGAAGAAAGAGTTCTATTTAGAAGAATATGCCTGAATTGCAATCCCTTCAGCCACTTTACAAGATTGTAAATTATAACTATGGGTTAAATAATGAGGCGAGTACAGAACAAATAAATTACATTTATTGTGGATTAAACTACTGATGAAATTAATAAAACACACAGTTCCATTTAATACTGTAATTTGTTCTTTCCACCACTAGGGGTCAGTCGCTCACCCTGCGGAATGCATAGAGGCGTGATTTACTGCCTCCTGCCAGAGAAGACTAAGCACGGTAGGCGGGTAAGTAACCCTCCCACAGAGTAACTTGGTATCGCCCTGGTAACTCTTAGCGTCCGGTCTCCTAGAAACGGAAAGTGCGACCGTGAAAGTAGGTAACGTCATGTGTCTCTATATAAACCTGTGTGCGTTATATCGGAATAAATCCGTGCCTTTATACAGACAGTTATATATAAAGCCGTGCAATGCAGCTATATGAGGGGCTGTGTGTGCGTGTAACGTTATTTATTTGAATAATATGCGTTATTTGTGGATTATTTATGTCTGTACTGGGAGTGAAACACTGGATATGAAATACTCTGGGCTTTTTATCACAGACAGATATTATCTCTCTATTTTAATTTAATAATTTAAGTTATTTATGAATTCACACAGGGATTGCATTATATGGGAAGCTGTCCAGGTGTATTATATGTACATTATATAGAAAATCACATGTATAAATCTCTCTGTGTGTGTATATATTTATATATATAATTTAATTATCTATTATTAACTTTGCTATTTTGATACAACTTTTTTTTTTTCACTTCTTAAACAACACATTTTAGTACTTTACAATATATATATTTCCTGGTGGAAGTTTGTTAGATCATACTTCAACGTTGATTTTTTTTATTTTAAGCAATAAAAGCTATGTTTTATTTAAGGTCTTGAAGTGCTATCTAATTGGAGATTTTTTTTTTTAACTTTTTTGCTGAAACGCACCAGGGAAGTAATACTTGATTTTAGGGAGTGCAAGATTGTTTGTAATGTATATAACAAAACACTAAGCCCTCAGTGAACACTATTCTAGCAACCTACTTTTTTACCCTACCCTTACCTTTTTGTGTCATTTTACCCCACTCCCTCTAGCATGTAAGCTCATTGAGCAGGGCCCTCAACCCCTCTGTTCCTGTGCGTCCAACTCGTCTGGTTACAAATACGTGTCTGTTAGTCCACCCATTGTACAGCGCTGCGGAATCTGTTGCCGCTTTATAAATAATATATATATATAAAATTATTTATAATGCGCCAACAAATGCCGCAGTTCTGTACAATGGGTGGACTAACAGACGCGTAGCTGTAACCAGACGAGTTGGACGTGTATAAAGTGTTTATGTGCAGTCTATAATGCTAAGATATAAATTGTTTTGACTTGTACATCAGTATTGATTTTTCAATTAACAGGAGGGACATATATTAAAATCACAACAAATTGCTAGGTAATTTTAGCCCTTTAGTGACACAGCTTCGTTTTGCTTGCTTGTTTGTACTTAAAGGATCTGTAAGGGCACCCAGGCCACTACATAGCAATGAAGTGGTCTGGGTGCAGCGTCCCTTTGGTTTTACCCCTTCAATATAAAACATTGCAGTTTAAGTTTAGCAGATAACTCAATGTTTTGACTGGAGTGGTAAATACGCCTCCAGTGACTGTCTTCCTGGAAGCCACTAGAGTCACTGAGGACGTATTTGGACAGTGTAGTATAGTGTCCTTTCAAAAGGAAAAAGGATACTCCCCATTCACACATAAAGCTCTTCAGCTTGCTGAAGTGCTTTATAGGTCAGGAGCATCTCCCCTTAATTGCAGTTTATAAAGTGCTGATTTCTATTTTATAACTCATTTCAAAAACACCCCTCTGGCTGTCAATCAGAGTGCACCGACCTTCTCCCCCAAGTTAATGTGTACCTGTCGGGCGTGCCCACAAAGTCCACTTTAGCCTGTCTGCAGACTCATTGGCTTTAAGCCTGGAGAACTTAGGATAAAAGCCATGATTGTGTGCGCTTGCTGCTTGCAATCAGCCTATGGTTGGTCATTTCACAGACCTTCAATCTGTGCCGGGGGGAAAAAAGGGAGGACTTTCAAAGCCTGCAGACAGTAGATCTGCAACATTTGCAAGATTTTTTTTAGATATAACCCCAATGAAAATATGCAGCAACAAACTTTGCTGGTTGTTTTTTTTTTCTTTGCATTGGAGTGTTCCTTGAACAGGTGCCCCTTGGCAATAGCTCCTGGATTCATCAAAATATATTTTTAAATACGTCATTGCATACACTGATTACCTTTTTTATATTTGCTTAATTTTTGAGAAATAGATGCCTGTGATCTGACTTTACTACCTCCATTGCAGAGGTAAGTAGCCTCTACCAGGGATGTATTTACCACAAGGCAAACAAGACATTTTCCTAGGGCGGCACTTTCAGGAGGGGGAGGGAGGGCGCCAAAAACGCCACCCCAAGCTCCCAAACAAATGCCTTGTTTGTCTCATGTCCTGGGGCTGTCTTTCTTAGCCCCCACCCCTGAGGTGTTAAACTATTAATATTCTAGCCAGGCAGCAAGGAATCGATGTCCTCCACTCTTATTGCTCTCTCACGCTCTGCGAGTGAGTGTAGCGGTTAATGTGTGTCTGTCAGAGTGTGTCAAATCAGTGAGGATGGGTATGTCTGTGAGTGTGTGTCTGTCATTTTATGTGTATCTGAGAGTGTGTGTCAGTGAAAGTGTGTGTTGGTTAAACAGTGTGTGTGCCAATGACTGTGTATCTGCAATTGAGTGTATGTCAGTGTATGTATCAATGAGCGCCTGTGTCTGTCAGTCAAAAAAGTGGCCTTTACACGAATTGGGGGGCAAATTAAGATTTGTGGGGTGCCTAAATTTAGTTGTGCCTAGGGCAGCACAAATCCAAAACACACCACTGGCCTCTACCATTCCTTTGCTGTGAATTACATTTGCTTGGATGCCCTGCTGCTGGAGGTGTCTTTACTGTAAACCTTTTTACAAGATCCCACACTGCTATGTTATTTTCTTTACACACTCTCTCTGTGTATGGATAACCTTCTTTTTGTTTTGTTTTTATGAACAGTGGGATCATGAGTCACATACAGAAGGATGTCCCGCTTTCTCCCGTGAGGATCTCTTACCGGGCATTTTCTCATGTCACCCCACATCCTCCAGTACTTACTATGGATTCAGTGCCAGAGGACAGCCATATGCCATCTAGGAAATATCCAGTTATCAAACAGAGGGGATTCTATTCTGATATCCTGTCCCACAGTTCATTTCCACTTCTTAAAGTGAGTCTAAATTTCACTCTGTTTAACTTTCTCTTTAATGCTCGCTGAAATATTTACTCTCAATTACCTTCTCTGCTCACTGACACTAGTTAATACTCAATAAATACTGGTTTATTCTTCCTTTCACCCTCAATATACTTCATTTATTCTACATTATCTGATAACAAGTGCATATTTTCAGTAGAATATAATTTTATTATCCAATTCAACCAGACATCAATTAAAGCTGAAAGAGCCCAAGCAACACATCTCATAAAGTTATACACTTGCATCACAAATGATCATTTTCTGTTAATCTCTCTTATAATGGCTATTAATTAGCACACTCACTTCTTCTTTGACATCATTTAACCTGCTAAAAAAATTCCCAAACCCATATTTTGTCTAATCATTACACGTTACTAACTTTGCACTCTTTATATGATTTGTATTCCCTAATGTACATTTTAGGATGTAAGTGCTGGACCCAATGTGCAGCCAAATCTTCTCAGACAAGCAGACTTAGAGCGTAATACACCCAAAGGTAAGCATATCTTTTGTGGAATCTCACAAACTCAGCATGATGTAAACCAAGCTTTAGAGAATAGTAATCTTCAAACCATTGTTCTGTTATACTTGTATCTTCCACCAGTATCCATCTAATCAGCATTTGTACACGTTTTAGGAATAGAGCCTGTCAAAGTTATAGCCCTGGAATAACAAATATACTAATTCTAACTTTGATTATGTGTTCTCTACAGTCACAAGTTTCAAAGTTCCACAGAATCTTCAGTCTTACCTAGACAAACAAGTATCTGGTCCCACCACTGAGCTGTTGGTGAAATCTGACTTTTCAAAGAGTAGTTACCAGCCGAAAGTTCAACTTCCTTTCCTTCTGCCACCGGGGAAGTGTCCTCGGAGGATTGAGCTAGAGAGGTGAGATATGCTCATCACCTTGAGAAAGTGATAGCTTTCTGATAATACATAACTGGATCTGTGCTTATGTTTTGAAAAAAACACATATTGTGTCTCACCACGGCTAACCTAGTGTACACAGGAATAGGAATGGCAATCAGAATTTAACAGAAATGATAGTATGCATTAGAGTTTTGGATTTATTCATGTTCCATTGTATTTCTTGTTTTAAATCTTAGGAGAAGACGTCAGTATTTGAAGCTTAACATAACTCAGCTGTTAACTAATGAAGAAATAGACTCCAACCAGTTAATGCCTCGTCACACAGATGCTAACAATCTGCCTAATATTGGGCAGAACAATGGTGAAGTTCTTCCCACCTACTTAGCTTTGGAGGTAAAGTATACTGTATTAACTAACTTCTTCTGAAAGTTTGTATTGGTGGTCAGTACTCATAGAACCTTAAAGGGACACTCCAGGCACCCAGACCACTTATGCCCATTGAAGTGGTCTGGGTGCCAACTCACACTACTCTTAACCCTGCAAGTGTAATTATTGCAGTTTTTTATAAACTGCAATAATTACCTTGCAGGGTTAACTCCACCTCTAGTGGCTATCTACTAGACAGCGACTAGAGGGCACTTCCTGGATCATAGCACAGATTATCTGTGCTAGAGCATCGCTGGACGTCCTCACGCTGTGTGAGGACCTCCAGCGTCGCTCATTTTCCCCATAAGAAAGCATTGAAATGCATTTTCAATGCTTTCCTATGGGGAGCGCTAATGCGCGCCGCGCATGCGCATTAGGTCTCCCAGGCCGGTGGGCGGGATCAGTCTCGCCCACCGGCCGACGCAATGCAGAGGAGGAGCGGCGGCGGAGGAGGAAGCAGCGACGTGGGACATCTTCGCCGCTTCAGGTAAGTTACTGAAGGGGTTTTCACCCCTTCAGCAAACGGGGATTGGGGGGTGGGAGGGAGAGGGGACCTGCAGTGCCAAGAAAACGGATTGGCACTGGAGTTTCCCTTTAACAAATTCACATACCTATTTTTATAACAAAGTGGAAAAGCTAATTAAAACATTATATCTCATTATTTCATTGACTCAAGCAATACATGCTCTGTGAAATTCCAATTATAAATTACATTTTTGTTGTTGTTGTTTTTTTACCACCAGATCTTTGACGATGAAGAGTTTGATATTCACACATGGTCTGATTGGCTAAATATGGGATATGAAGATGGGTCTAATGAAAGGAAACCTATACCAGGCCATGCTCTTCTACCTTTGGATGACGCACTGGGGCATGGTAAACTCTTATGCAATTAATTCATACCAGTGACCAATATTTAAAAAGAACAATCGTCTTGTGTATTTTTGTGTGGCACTTTCACTTTTTTTACATAATATAAATCAGTTTTAAACTGGTTCCCAACATATTCCTGTAATTTTCTTCTAATCAAGTAGCAATAAGTTTAGTTGTATTGATGACAAATAATACATTCTTAGTGGAAGATGCTGATTTGGAAAAACAAAAGCCTCCTTTAATCATGTGATTTCTGTAGCCAATGAGAACCTGAGTTTTCAAAAATTGAGCAGATAATCTCCCCATGTTCCACAGTGGTAGCAATGGTTGTTTCACCTTTCAGATGATGCTGAATACCTTTTTTGTGTCCAAATGAAAACCCAATTAGCTAAATATATTAATGTATTATTATTACAGAATTATTTGGCAGTTAATCAATAATAAAAAATTGTCTGCTAAAACACCCAGGTGCACAAACATAACTTGCTTGCACCTACATACGTCTTTTTATTGCTTTTATATTAGAAGATCCAAAAAATCCACAGATAGTGTATGAATGGTGCAGTGTCGGTGTTCTGAATTATGATGAGAAGAAGAAGCTGTACCTTGTACACAAGACAAAGGACAACATCCTCATGAAAACGTCTAAACTCCATATAAACCATGTCTCAGGTAAAGTAACAGCCTCAGAAAATTGTCCTATTCCACTTGTCCAGCAATAATTCCTTTTAACATTGTCAGCCATTTTTGTACAAATTTGGTTTTTGACAAGTGAAGCTTGTTGATAAATCTTAAATTAGTCTGGGGTCTTTATGAATATTCTATATTAGGACATCAGGGCCCATAAGGTGCGCAGTCTCCTGGGCCGTTTGTAAAATAGCGTACAGAAGATGCCCAGTCCTGGGCCTTAAGGCCTCATGATTTAGGATCAATAGAGCCCTGGAGGTGCACAATCTCCTGGACCTGTAAAGGTAACCCTTCAAGTGGCTAGGGGAGCCCAAGCCACTCACCCAAAATAATTCCCTCCCTACCCAATCACTGTAGTAGATCAGTAGTGTTTTGATAGGAGTCAAGGTTACTGTTCAGGGGTTGCATGACTACATGGGAGATAGCTGAACTGTGCTATGAGTTTAAAGGTCTGGATTAGATATCAGATTACTGTTATAAGGGAATCAATAGAAAAGAAAGGAATGTAGCTTTGATTCCTAACTTGTTTTTTTGGAACCAAAAATGTAAGGCAATAATTTGACGACTAGTTAATTAATTTAAAAGTTAGCTTTGTGACATATTCTTTAAGTATGAAGTAATTAACATTAACCCCTTGAGGACACATGACATGTGTGACATGTCATGATTCCCTTTTATTCCAGAAGCTTGGTCCTTAAGGGGTTAAAGCAATTCTTACTGCACTGGGGAGGACAATGACCGTCAACAGTTTATTGTGGGCAATTGCATTGGTTTAGATGAATATAATGAGTTTTATTAATGCGGACACCCTAAAATGGTATGAAGACCCAGGTGTTAAGATTTATTGGCCTACAGCAGATGTGGCAATGGTAGATGATGTAGAACTACATCCCTGTAAAACTATACCAGCCTTTAACCCCTTAAGGACACATGACATGGGTGACATGTCATGATTATATTTTATATAGTTTTGTCCTTAAGGGGTTAAGCGATTTTAGTGTTTGGAATACAAATCTGTATTCCTAACACTATAGTGCCCTCTGTTCCATACATCCTTCACGCCCCCCTACCCCGTAGTAGAAAAAGGGTGAAAAAAGATTTACTAACCCGATTCCAGTGCTAATGTCACTAGGTGCTTGGTCGCTGTCTGCCTCCACTGGCGTATTTCGACCGAGGGACCTAATTACTTTGCAGGACTAAAGGCAGTCTTAGTCCTGCAAATTAATTATTGCAGTTTCTCTAAGGACTAAGGAGACAGGGACATTGCAACCAAACCACTTCAATTAGATGTTTTTTTTATTTATCTGGACAAAATCCAGTGTATAGTGAATAAATGAATTTAGATTACTTTAAAAATATTATGCTTAATTCTCTAGTCTAATGTTTCAAAAAAGTATTACAAATGTCTCTCAGGTCCCTCAGGGCTGACACTCTACCAGTATTGGGTACCACGCATCAGGCTCTTGTTTTGCGCTGAGGATCCACGTGTGTTTACTCAGAGAATTGTTGCTGCCTGCAAACTACGCAAGCAAACAGAGGCCCTTATATTGTACAACCTGTACATAGATTGCATGCCAACCACCGGGCACTGTAAGATTGCAGCAGAGAGTCTAAGTCGGATGAAGAAACATGTGCTGACCACATCACGTCTAAAAGCAGAAAAAGAGTATGTAATGTGTCTACAGGTTTTTAAAAAACACTTCACTACCAAGTTATTTATAGTCTGACAATAAGCATACATAGCATTTACATTATTTAAAGGGACAGTCTAAGCATCAAAACCACTCTTGCTTTATAAAGTAGTTTTGGCACATAGATTAGAAAGCCTGCTGTTTCTCTGCTCAGTTCTCGAGTCAGTTGTTTTCGAGTCAAATTACTTTATTTCTGCAATCCTATTCTCACACCATCTTTCTGTGACTCACATTGTTTCTTTTTGCACTTCCTGAAAATATATATCCATTTTGACTCTATAATAAGTTCAAGTCAGGAGAGTGTTTACTTTAGTACTTGGAGGGAGAGATTAGCTTCATAACTCTTTGTTAATAGCTGTTAACCTCTTCCCAACGTTAGGGCGTCCCACACTGTCCTCACAATGAGCTTTATCGTTGTTTGGATGGCATGGGACGTTCTACAGTTTGGGTGTGAGCAAAAGTTAAACCCTGCTCACACCAGAGAGTATCACGTATCAGTTAATGCCTGGGATTCCCCTCTTTCAGCTCGGGCCATTTCTGGTGGCCGCAGACTGGCAGATGAGCTGTATGCAGCGCTCAACGAGCGCACTGTATACAGCTCATTAAATGTGCTTTTAAATCCCTGATTACACCAGGGATTATAAGGTATCAATTGATATCTGGCGCTCCTATCTATCAATTTTTATTGAGACACAAGGGTAAATAGTAAGAGACACACAATGGTGGCTGTGAGACACACAGATGGGGGGGTAAGATACACTAAAGGTGGTGTAAGACACAAAAAGGGAATACGATACACTAAAGGTGTTAGTTATTTAAAAGAGGCAATAAGAACAACAGACCGATACACCACTCAATGCTACTGACACGAAAAAACTGACACGAACCCTAGCTCACGTCACTTCCAACAAGCTTAATCATCAACATGCATATGTTGAAAAAGGAGGTGTAACTGAGCCTCAAAGTAAGCACTAGACATACGTACACTCCCCTACGTGGGTAACTTGTTAAATATGCCGGTCACAACAATCATACGTTATCACCCTCTGCGAAGGCTAATGTTCAAATGCCACAGATGTACCGGCTCTGCATTTCATACCGCTTGTCAAACATGCATTACTACCCCTCCGTGGGTAAACTGTTTCTTATATCTGCCTCAATAAAAAAAGGATTTGATACAAAAGAGGCAACAAGAAACATAAAACGGCTAAAGGGGTCAAAAGGACAGTTAAGAGACACACAGGTGAAGCCATTCTTGCACTAGCACTGCTGAAATTTGATTTCCATTAGTAATTTATCATGATTCCCTAAATCATAGTAGGCAAAAATGCCAGATAAAATGTATGGTTTATTGAGTACATGCCATTCAAATCTCTTTAAATTTTCCTAATTGTCAGTTTATCTTATCAACTGGAAAGTTTGGAAGAGGAAATCAGTCTGGACTATGAACGTACCATGAACAAGATAATCTTTGACAGGCATGTTTCCTCAAATCCCCACAAATTCACTTATGTTACTTTACCAGATAGATTGGAAGACAAGGCTCCGACGAAAGGTACATATATACTGTGTTCCTCTGATTCTGATGCCAATTTTTAAGTTTGTTTTATTGATAGCTAAAATAAAATCTGCGCTGTTTTAAATTCAGGGCTGGTTGACGTTCCAGAGTATAGCTTTGCCAAGAGCCGAGCAGCCTTCACTTTTACCACTCTTTTGACGCGGCCAGAGGTCATAAAGTCTCTCTGCAAAGTACGAGCAGAGTGTAATAAGGTGTCCACCATGTCTCTGTTTCACTCAACCCTAACAAAATGTGTCAGACTAGAAGAATTTGAACAGACTCAGTCACAGATCTCCTCTCAGGTAAAATCATTAAAGACATCTTAATTAAATATGATTGTTGATGTACCTATGTACATTTATTTATTTTTTAAAATCTTTTCTTGTTTTTTTGTGGTGAAGTTAATTAATCACTAAAATGGAAGCAGTTTTGTTCTTGACATGCTTACATGGTACTGTGCCCATGTGAAAGATCTTCTAGGAGACTCCCTCAAAGTCTGTGTAAAGACGTCTTTCAGGTCTTAGCCACAATCTTAAATTATTATCTCTTATTTAATATTCATTCTATGTCTTTGCAAGGTCAAAGTTGTGGTGGATGGCTATTTGACATATTTAATATTTGTGGAAGGCCCTTTTGCATGTTTATATTTCATGTTATAAACTCTCCTCTTAGAACATTCTGTAGAGCTCACATTTTTTTTAAGCTTATACTGTTAACTACTTGTATCCACCTGTCTCAGGTTCAGTTGTTTCTCAAGGATAGCTGGGTTAATACCTTGAAGAACGCAGTGCGTGGTAGTCTGCGGGATGTAGGAAAAGGCTGGTATGACCTTAGTGAGTGTAACTGGAAAGTCTACTCCATGTCCAAGCTACGTCAACTGATGGAACTCATCAAGTTCAACTTACAGGACTCACTGAGATTTTTGGTGCAGGATTCTCTGGTCAACTTTGCTCAAATGATACTGGATGCATCTTACAGCATTTTGTCCTGTGCCGAAAATTTGGAATGGGGAGGAGACCTTGTCAACAGCCCATACAAGTAAGAAATAATTGAATAAAAATAATATAGCAATACTTACATTGTAGGCCCTGATGAAAATGAAGATGCCATTTTTTAGAAGTCTATTTAGAGTAGAAAAGTGGGCAATGGACATCTGAATTTGAACATTTTGTTGGAAAAAAAATGTTAATTTGTGGCAGATGTCTTGAACTTCAGATTTGTACAATGCATTGTTAAATTAGAATGATGTATTTCCAGGTAAAGAGTTTTGTGTTATTGAGTAACAGCACTTGACAAATAGTACCTGATAAGCATGCTACTCAAACAGCACTTATTGCACACAATATATCCATATAATAGGAACCCCCAGAAATAGGTGGCAGAAAGATGGCAGCTTCTGGTCCATGCTGTAGACAAGTAGAAAATAAAACGTCAGTCACTCCGTGAGTAATCTGAAGTCTTCATTATCTACCCTATCTTATGGAAACAACCATAGACACATTTTAAAGACGAGACAGGGGGGATATAATAGAAACATTTAAATACAGAAAGGGAATCAACACAGTAAAGGAGGAGACTATATTTAAAAGAAGAAAAACTACCACAACAATAGGACATAGTCTTAAATTAGAGGGAAAAGGGTTTAAAAATAATTTCAGGAAGTATTACTTTACTGAGAGGGTAGTGGATGCATGGAATAGCCTTCCATCTGAAGTGGTAGAGGTTAACACAGTAAAGGAGTTTAAGCATGCGTGGGATAGGCATAAGGTTATCCTAACTATAAGCTAAGACTAGGGATCTAATGAGAGTATTTGGAAAATTGGACAGACTAGATGGAGCGAATGGTTCTTATCTGCCGTCACATTCTATGTTTCTATACAGGCAGAAGTCTTAGTATGTTTTTGTCACGGCTACCCTACCCAATTTAAAAGTATAGGTCAGGAATAAATAGAATAAATATTACTGTCCCTTAGAATAGCTGGCTTTAACTTAAAAATGAGAGAATGAGTAAATTTAAAACAATCCAGGATCAGGGTACCAGAAAAATGTAAATACAATATAACTAGCTAAGTCAATATTACAGAAGTCAGAAGAGTCAGCATAACAAGGCAAAATCAGGGAAAAAAATAACACACCAAGAGGAAATCACGACAGGGCACTGATTGGTACATTTCATCCCTGCGACCCCAAAAATGCAGAAACAGGGTCGCAGTGATGACGTTGCGCTGCCTTAATAGGAAATAATGCTAGGCGTCATATTAATATAAATTGAGGGGTGCAGTGTCCCTCTCTATCATTAGGCTAAATAGCATTCGCCTCCCGATGCAAATGCAGATCGGAAAGGCTGAAGGAAACCATGAGGCGGTACTTCCCAAATGACATGCGTTCAGGAAGTCCAGAGTGCTTTGATCAGATAAGTACCATGACAGTTTTTTGATATTCAATCACATCCTTCATCTACCTGAGTATGCTGTATTTGGACAATAAAATGCTTAGTGGGTTGTCTGACCATGTCCTTCATAGAATGGATAAAATTTACTATGCAAGCAGGAAGGAACTGTATGGCAGAATTTGATCTTGGCAATAATGAAAATGCTGGAGTCATGTTGATAATTGTCATTTACAACTTGCTTCCCAGACCTCGTAAAAACCCAATATTTCTGTTGGATTTGGTGCTGGACAGTGCCGGTGTTCATTTCAGTACCCCTTTGGAGAATTTTGAGGTGGTGCTCATGACGCTTTTTGACAAAGGAATCTTAGCAACACACAGCATACCGCAGCTGGAGAAAGTGAGTAGTATAGAACAAAATCCCATGTAATGTATTCATCACAGAGCTAAGCCATGGTTAATTATTTGTGTCGTAACCACCCGTTTATTTAGATAATTTCTAGATTTTTTTTTTCTTTTCTCTTCTTTCTCCATCTTATGGAAACATATAATTATAGGAAAAGCTCATCTGAAAATGGGTGATAAGTAATGTGGTATAAAAAGTACCAGGTGGTCTTTAAGGAAAATAATCCCACACCGGATATATATTTTAGTTTTATGTGAAAACTTTGGTATGCTTTGGGATCATTATTATTAATATTTTCTCCATCTTCTGGGCCTTGATTTTATTCTATCAGTCGATAAATATTAATAGTTTTCGGTTGCTATTTTTATCAAAAATTTCAACTGGATTTAATGCCAGCTTAAATTCTAGCAGCCGGACTCTATAAACAGGTCAGCTGCTTGAGAAAAAACATCCGATAAATGTGCTTCTTAATGAAGAAGTGAGACTTCCTTGTCAGAGTTCTATGATTGGTTGGCATACAAGCCAACCAATCAGACCAGTCTGACTGAGATTGCATAGCTTGGGAAAGCCCTTATAAGGGCTTTTCCCATCATGCAAGCTCAGTCTGCACGAAGCCTGGATGTTCCCACCAATGGGTTGGGACTTGAGTGGGACTATAGATCCCCACCTTTCATAATTAAAAAGTTACTCCAACCACCTGCTTTTCAAAGTGGTTATAGTGGCAGGAATCTGTATGTACAGAGTTTCTGCTGGATACACTGCACGTACAGAGAAATGTCCAATTTTGTGACAGGGTCTAGTTACACACCCAACACATGTGACATACATAGCCCTGAACTCTGTTCTGGTGTGGAAAGAAAGTACGGGAACTTCACCTAGTGGTTGATTCCAAGTATACTTTCTTATTTTATTGCTTTATAAAGGGGGGAGGGGAACATAATAGTAATTTTAGATGAAAACAAACAAACTATTATTTTAAAAGGGTTACATTAACCCTTTAATAAAATTAGATCTCCCACCCACCACCTGTGGGTGGGGGCTGGGGGGAACATTAGGTACCTCCATTAATTATAATTAATAGATTATATAATTATTATATAGATTATAATTATAGATTATACATCCCACCAGTAGTCAACTGGGGGGGGACACTAACTCTCCTTATTTAATATTTAGTTTAGTTGTTGTCTTTGTGTTTTTTTATGTCTAACTATATAATCTATATTTGTATGATTTCAGTTTGTCCTGGAAAACCTCTTTATCAGTGGCACTCCATTGCTGGAGTCTGTTGGACTGCATGAACCCCCTGTAGAAGAAATGCGTAAAAATATTCACACAGCAATACAAAAAGCCATGATCCCTTTAAAAGCATATGCCAAGGAATATGAGAAATATTTAGAACTTAATAATACTGATGTAGAAACTTTCATAAAGTGAGTCTGGGCCTAGTACACAATACACAGCTGCTGTTTTTATGAGTCATATAAATACATTTGAGATTCAATCTGATCTGATTTAGTTGATTTCAATAAAAAAATAAATAAAATATTGTGTTCATGATTGCAGCTCCAGTTCATTTGATTTTATTGATTTAAATTAAATATCTAATGAGGTTATTCAGTAAACCTGGGATTTGTGGATAATTAACATGAGACTGCAAATTTTATGCCTAGTTGCAAAAAAAAAAGAATTGTTCCAGTTCTGCTATTTTATTCTTAAATTTGAAATTCCCTTTTCAGTTGTACAAATAACCGCAATTTTTACAGCATAGATCATACAAGTGTATACTTCAATGCTTTTTATTTTAAATACCACCATCCAAACAAAAGTGAATAGTTTTTAAAGGGGAACTACAATAACTACAATATGTATGCTAATATATAACGTAAACAGGAATTATTTCAGATTTACACAAAGTACATTTGATTTTTAATTATCAATATGCTAGAAAAATGTTGATTGACTTTGATTGGCATTGAATTTATCTACATAATCGTCTTCTACAGTGTGGTTTTGGTGGCAAGTTCTCAGCTACATTGAATTTCCAAACTTCTGTGTGGATTTCATTACAGAGCATTCAGCGCAAAGATAAATTCTGCTTCAGAGGTAAAGGCTTCTGTGGAACACCATCTTTTGGAAAAGGAACGACTGGACAATGCTCTCCCCAACTCGATCATTATTGGTCCTTTCCAGATCAACGTTGAAGGCGTTAAGCAAAACCTATCCCGAAAACGCAAAACCTTGTCTAATTCACTGCTGGAGTTACTAGCCAAGCGTGTGCGCCATGAAATAGATGAGGTAACACACAACCGCTTTGACATCGTAGTCCAGTCTAACAATGTTTGTCCGTTTTAAGACTTCTTGGATGTTTACTTCAACAGTGGTTGGCTATTATTGATATTTCTTCTGTTATTTAGGTCTGGGCCTAATCCTACCTCTTTGCTCACTTTATCAGGTCTCAGAACAGTTCCGAGCCATCAGCCGTAAAATGTTTGACAAGCCAAACAGCGTAGAGGAGCTGACAGACCTGAGGGAATGGATGAAAGGAATCCCAGAGCAGTTAAAAACCCTGGAGGTATGCAAGACTTGTAGCAGGCCTTTTTTTGTAGTGCAATAATGGAGGATGCACAACTTATTAGTGAGAACAAGCAGCAAGTCACACTTAAAGCACCACTATAGGCCCCCAGACCACTTCATCTTCGGTTAACCCTGCAGCTGTAAACATAGCAGTTACAGAAAGGGTTAATCCAGCCTCTAGTGGCTGTCTCATTGACAGCCGCTAGAAGCACTTCCACGCTTCTCACTGTGAGAGTCCCCAGCACCGAGGGAGCCCGGCGCTTGAGAAAGGTAAGTGTTTAACCCCTTTAGCCCGGCGGAAGGGGGGCCATGAGGGTGGGGGGGACCTAAAGACCCTACAGTGCCAGGAAAACGAGGACTATAGTGGTCCTTTAAAGAAAGTCTCAAATGTCACCTGAAAAATAAATACTTGGAAAACTTTATAATACTCAATATAAGACCAAGTAAACATGTCATGTATATTTCTAACTTAATCCACAGGAGCAGGCTGCTAAAGTTATTACCGATTATGATGTCATGGATGAGTTTTTTTACAGCCTTTCCCAAGAGGACTTTAATGCAAAGTAAGAACGCATTTCTATTTTTTTTATCTAAATATGTTGTATACATGCACTCTACGACTATGTTACATTTGCAAATGTGACTGTGGTATTTGTTGTCTCTGTGCATCTGTGTCAGGTGGGCAGCTATTTCATGGCCATACAAAATTACAAAACAGACTGATGAGATTCAACTCCAGCACTCGGAAGATGAAGAAAAGTTCCGTAAAATCCAAGTGATGGATCAGAACAATTTCCTGGAGCGCCTAGACTCCCTGCAGGTCTGTAACATATGATCAAAATATGTTTGAACCTCACCTCTGTGCATATTATGTTACATAGACACTAATTGCTGCTGTCACATATGGCTCTATTTCACAGATAGTTGTGGCTGCATTTTCCACACATTTCGATATCAATCGCGTTCACGAGATAGCCAATGAAGTGAGGAGAGTTCACAAACAACTGAAGGAGTCGCAGGAGTTGGCTCAACTCTATAACAACAGGGAGAGACTCTTTGAGCTTCCTGTCACAAATGTAATGTTCATTTTTTTTTTTTTTATAATTTCCTTTTGTCCTTCATTTGTCCTTTATATCCAATAACAAATCTAAAAGAAAAACTGATATTTATCATCTACTCTATATGCACCAAACTACTCTCCAGTGTATGCAACTTTTTTCAAGCTCTGCCTGTCCCGTTAGTGTCTTCTTATATTACCTCCCTGACCGCTTCTAACTTGTTTAGATTTGTCCATCTTCACACGCCCTACAAGTTAATATATGCTCCTTTGCAACCGACATTTGACTTGCTCTAATCTCCCAACCTACAGGAATCCTATATTAAAGGCCTGATCTGATTTCTATGCTCTATTCTTCTTTCACCTCTACATTTTACTGGAAATACTGCCCTTATCTAAATAAATGGGAAAAGGAGCTTGAGAGAGAAATTACTAACAAGGACTGGGTAGATATGTAAGAACTTACCGCTAAGTCTTCAGTCTGTGTAATTTTACAGGAACAGGGGATTCAAACTATGCTTCACTGGTATTTGATTCCAGTTAGACTCCACCATATTGTACTCACTCCTTCAGATTTGTATTGGAGACTATATGGTTTGTCAGGGAACGTATATTCACAAGTGGTGGTCTTCCCACTTTAATATTTGGACTTCTATGTGCAGTCTTCACCCACTCAGCTTGTTTTTCCCTTTCACTTCCTTTACTCTGTCTTGCTTCTCTTCTTTTCTTTCAACACTTTTCCTGATCAGTGTTATCATTTCCTTCAGATTCAACTGTATAATGCTCTGTTGAAATAATTAACCAATGAACTGCCTTTCAGTGTGATGTCCCACAAGGGCTATGTTTGATTCTAAAACTCCGCACAACCCACAGGTTAACCTGGATATGATGGTATAGTTTTGATAGGTCTGTGTTTGTACAGGAGCTTTATCAAGATAGGGGAATCCAAGGAAAGGTATCTAAACAAGGGAAAGGCAGAGGGCAGAGTCAAGTGGTCCAGAAGTCAGGTCAGGCTGTAAGTAGGGAATTCAGGAGGCAGGCCTAATGTGCTGCAGATCACAATAGTAGAGCCAGGAATAACAACTCTAGGAGTCTGAGAGCTGCTAAATATCCAAACACTTACTGGGAAGTGGGTGCTGGGTTTAAAAGGCTTCTGAGTCACAAGTGGCTGGGTCTCTCTTGCAGGCAGGGTTTATGCAGGTCTTTAAATCAAACCATCTTGCCTGCATTCTTGTCCAGGCCTGCCTCCAGTCTTCTCCCTCTCTGTCCTCTGCCACGCTGGTTGGTCTTCTCACATGGCGGTTGCTATCTTGGTGATGGAGCAAGCAATGTAATAACCTGCAAAGTCAATGTTTTTGTGTTTTGGCAGTATGACAAACTTTTGAAGCTGGTAAAAGACTTTCAACCTTTCCGGGATCTGTGGACCACTGCTTCAGATTGGATGCGCTGGTACGAGAGCTGGATGAACGACCCACTTACTTCCATAGATGCTGAGCAGTTAGAGAAGAACGTGATGGAGTCATACAAAGCCATGCATAAATGTGTTAAACACTTTCGAGATATTCCAGGTAACAAAGGATAGAACTTGCAATAACAAATGAGTATGTCCTTTCAGACCATATGATCTCATAGTATTTTATAAGAGATAATGTGTTCTCATACATCTACCATGGCAGTGCTCATCTATAGACTTCCTTTAGATCATGGGTGTGACAGGGAATGTGTGTATTACCAAACTACACATTCCTTTTCTTAAAACCGACCCTTTGTGACCTAAGAAAAGTAAATCTGAGAGTATTAAATTTTTTAGTTATTAGGCATAAAATAAATTGATTACATCAAAATGTTTTTCATGCAAATTAAAATTCTTTCAGGCTGTGTCTCATAAGTATTTAATATTAGATGTCATCAATGTTAAATATCTAACAATTTAAAAATGGTAATGCTTTCAGAATTAAATTATAACACAACATATGTAAAGTTTTTAATTTGCTAGAAAATACTTTAAAATTAGGAAACATGACATAACTTTAAACATCCAGTGAACATATTAAATCAAAGCTACATTTATAAAATAGAATACACTTTGTATTGGCTAAAATAGTATGTATTTTATAAAATCCATGCAATTTTATCTTTTCAAGACGACGTCTCTGATTCACATATTAGCTGCATTTTCCTTCTATTTTTTAAAAAAATAGCCAGCCATTCCCTTTTGGATTACTAGTGCTTTATGTGTCTTTGAGTCATGTTTTCCTTGAAAGTAAACCAGTATGTATTATAGTGCAACAAAATCTGTTTACGTTGATGTGTGCACCAATGAATGTCTACATTTTATACACTCGTAATGATTTTCCTCAGCCTGCCGAGATGTGGCTCAAGACATCAAGGGCCGTATAGAAGAATTCAAGCCCTATATTCCACTGATCCAGGGATTACGCAATCCTGGCATGAGAAATCGCCACTGGGAAATCCTCTCTGATCAAATACAGATCAGTATTAAACCTAAGGCCAACTTGACCTTCACTCGTTGCCTGGAGATGAATTTGCAGGATCACATAGAGAGCATTGCCAAGGTGGCAGAAATCGCTGGCAAGGAATATTCAATAGAGCAGGTGCAGTAGTACTTTTATTTAGGCATGAGTATTTTTCTTATATTTCTTTTAACTTGTAATAAGACTTAATAACTTTATTCTCAGTGCTGTACAGAAATCAGTGAGATTCACTCATGCATGAACATACACAACTGGCTCCCAATGGTTTCTAAGGTTAAATTTTGGATGTGTTCAATATAGTCATGACTAACTTACATTGTCTATGCAAAACAGCAGTGATATCCACTCTGGAGTGTCCCTTTAATTAACTGGTACATTTGTTTTCTCTCAGGCTTTAGACAAGATGGTGAGTGAATGGGAATCTGTGATGTTTACCATACTGCCATACAAAGAAACTGGGACCTATATATTGAAGAGCCCTGAGGAGGCTTCACAGTTGCTGGATGACCACATAGTAATGGCGCAAAGCATGTCCTTCTCCCCGTACAAAAAGCCCTTTGAAGAACGTATTAGCACGTGGGAGGGAAAACTACGTTTAACACAGGTATAGTGAATTTGTCCAATCTTTGCTACACTATTTCATGAGCTGAGAATTTTATGAGACAATTGGCATGAAAGATATGGTTAAAAAGCTGCCAAAATACAGTTATCACTCTTGCTGGTGTAAGTCTCAGCATTGCAAGGGTTACAGAATCTCAGGGCAGGAGTCTAATGTCTGAGGAATTCAGCCAAGCAATGTGAAAATGGCAATCTTCCTGGTTGGGTCAGACCGACAGAAACAAAACTAATATCAGGAAATAAATGAACTAGTAGACAATAAATACTAGTACAATTAATTGGACAAATGTACAGGAAGGACTAGCACACAATGTGGCTGACTGAAAAAGTCACATGACTGGGCAGAAGCATTTAGGTCTCGATCTAATTTTGTTGGGTAGGCTTTTCAAATGATTAACATTTTTAAATAAACTTGAAATTATGTTAATTTTGTAATATTTTGATGTGTTTTATATATTTCTTTATTTTTATATATATGAAATTGTTTTGATATACTAATACTTTGAAAAATTTTTTTTTAAAAGTTTATCCAAAAATATGAAAAGCTTATCCAACAATATTGAGGTCTTAGTAGGGCAGAACTCAGACTTAGGTAGCACCGGAAGCAGGAGCCTTAAACCGCTGTAAGCACCTGGAAGCTCATCAGTTAGATCGTCACCTTATATAAACATCCACAAGTTGAGCCTCTGTGAACGTGTACCTGTTGGGTCTGTTTTGAAAAGTTAAACTAAGTATGAACCCATGCAGCATGTTATAGATATATTGAAATTTTGCATTCCTTTTATCTTATATCAAAATACCTCATCTGTTTCTTGCTTTAGGGTGATAAATCATAAGCATATTGTCAAATTATCCGTTGATAAGGACAGCAATCTTAAGTGATTGTTAGTACACGTTTTGATGTTTTGATCCATTTTTTTATGTTGTCAACAACATAGATCCAAACGCAGCATATTTACTGCTGAAAATTATGTATGGGATGACAAGCTGGTCTGGTGAAAGTGTTAATACTGCTGTTTATCTTTGTATTATTACCAGGATGTTCTGGAGGAATGGCTGACCTGTCAGCGTTCTTGGCTTTACCTGGAACCAATCTTTAGCTCAGAAGATATTAACAGACAGCTGCCCGTTGAGAGTAAGCGTTACCAGACCATGGAAAGGACCTGGAGAAAAATTATGAGAAACACAGAGGAAAATAAGCAGGTGCCATAACTGTGTGGAATGTCTGTGACTAGCTGCCTGTTTAGCTGTATTAATAGTGGAGTCTAGAGATAACCCCCTTTTGTTCTAATGCATTTCGGAAATACTTGATTAAAGATGCAAAACTTAAAAAATACATTCTCCCCTTTAATATATGAATCCCCAATGTCTGCAAAGACTATTGATCTGTGAGGTTAGCGTAATAAGGCACTCAGTAGGTTTAAATAGATTTGCTGACCTACTAGATGTTATTGAATTAATTACATTTATTTGTGATGAGCTAAGTTTTTCTATAGTGATAATCCTTGTATTTGCAGATTATCTCCTTGTGCCCAGATCCTCGTCTATTGGAAAACCTGCGTGAATGCAACAAGCTGCTGGAGCTCGTACAGAAAGGACTCAGCGACTATCTTGAGACAAAGAGATCTGCTTTTCCCAGGTAACCTTGCAGTATTCACAAGTGGGACAGAAATGGACTTCTGAGCTGTTCACAGCTCACACTGCTGAAATTTGATATCATATCATTCAATTTTCAGGTTTTACTTTCTTTCTGATGATGAACTTTTGGAGATTCTGTCCCAGACTAAGGACCCCACTGCTGTGCAACCTCACCTTCGAAAATGTTTCGAGAACATTGCACGGGTGAGCTCCAGTGACAACTTCACACTTCATGTTATCTTACATTTTATTGGTACAACTAATTACATTGCATTTCACATATTGCAATTATATAAAGCAATCATACATCATACAATATTACATGTTACAATTAAACAAGATAGTTATATGATACCAGGTTTTTTTTTGCTGTCCTGTGTTGGAAAAGTTAAAATAGTAGCTTAATTTCAATAATCTCTGTGTTCACCTTTCTTTCCGTCTTTTGACCTCCCACTATATCTATTACTCTTTGCTCTTCCAGCTTATGTTCCAGTCGGATCTACAAATCACTCACATGTATTCAGCCGAGGGAGAAGAAGTCAAGCTGTCTACTCCCATTTATCCTACAGGCAACGTGGAGGATTGGTTACTAGTAGTGGAGAAAGTCATGAAGGCCAGCATACGTGATTTCATCGAGAAATCTATCAAGGTGTACCCACAGGTAAGAAGAACGTCTATAAAAGATAATGCAGGAGAAAGAGCCAATACATGTCTGACACAAAACTGGTTCAACCCAACTCTTATCCTGTGGTAGCACTGTAATGATTGGGAAGAGTAAGTTTTAGAATGAAATTAATAGTTTGTATTATTTGTATTTTTAAATAAGAGAGCAGCAGGTTTTATTTACAGCAAAGTAAACTCAACATTCTATTTTTTTAAGATAGATAAAATCAACACCATTGAGTTGGGTATCAGTAATATATTTAGCGTCTGCTAATTAGTCTTGGGGCACAAATCTATATGACTATTATTATTATTTGTGTTTTATTTTAAACATTAACACTTTTTAAAAACTCTTGAGGACCAAGACTATTTTGAGATGCAACGCATTTGTAACCAACGCCAACACGCTTTCACCCTTTCTATTTAAGTGCTTTCTCTTGATATCCAATATGTATACATAACACAATAATAAATGGGAATAAAAAAATGAAAAAAACAAACAAAAAAATTCTTACTTTACGTTAAATGATTTTAACCCACCAAGTACAATTAAAGAATACAAAACCAAAATAGATTCACTAATTAGTCCTGTTAAAATGCCCAATATGCCTAGGGTTTCAATTTATTTTTAGAAGTTATAAAACAAATATTGCAAGGAGTGAATTACGGTTCTAAAGCTAAAATTTAGCATGCCGAGATTTTAACTTTAATTGTAGTCACATTATCCAAAACCGCTACACAAAAGTATATATTTGTAACAAATGCATCTTTCAGGCTATTTACCTAAGAGCATTTTGACACTTTTCATTTAATTAATTTACTACAAAGCTTGGTCAAATTTATAAAAAATAAATTTCGATCATGTTTTATTTTGGGATAATTCACAGAGCAGGCGTTTCCCACTACTGCAAACACCGCATATTTGTACTCTACTACTGTTCTTGTGTACAATGATACCCCACATATGGACCTTTTTCTACTAATCCAACCCTTAATCTAACCCTTAATACAACCCTTAATTCTACCCCTAATCCTACCTATAATCCAAGTCCTGATCCAATCCCCTAATCAAACCTCTGAAGAATTCCATTAGCTGATGTCAGTACTGACATCCGCAGAGAGATTTCAGAGCTCACACAGTGCTCTGTGTCCTGTTTGATTGCAGCATGAAAGGTAGATCTCCCTCTCATGCCTCACCAAGTCTTTTACCAGGTAAGTTAGGGTGTTTTGTGTATATTTTATTGTTTTTTTTTCGGTTTTGTTTTTCTTCAAAGTGTTAAATGTATGCTTCATTTAAAATTCATTTTCAAAATGAATTCAGAGTATTCAGACAGATCAACAATAATTTTTATCTGAGTGTTGAAAATAAATGAGGCCAGTACTTCCCACTATTCATTTTGACTTCACTCTTACTGTATTTTTCAGATGCCCCGTACAGAATGGGTGATGCGTTGGCCTGGGCAGGTTACCATAGCTGGATGCCAGGCATACTGGACAAAGGAAGTATCTGAAGCTCTGGAGGCTGGGGACCTGTCCACTCGGCTCTTTCCACAGCTTGGAACTCAGGTCAGTGCTCCACCTCTTATTATTTTTGAAATATTACATATATATTGTAATTTAAAACATATAATATATTTTTATGGGTAGGGAATATAGGGTACTATAATACTACTAATTTTGCTTATTAAGATCTGTAGTGTGTTTTTCAGGACCAAACACATCCAATGTATACAGTGCATCTACTTATAGAAAGGGCTGAGGCCTCAATTTAATATTATTAAGCTTTCAAACTGATTAAGTACTTTTGGATAAACGTTTTAAATGATTTAATATTAGAAAAACATTTTACTTTTGTACATTTTTAAAATATTTTCGATATATTGATATTTTGTTATATACAATATGTTTTGAAATTTTAATGTTGAAATAATAATTGTTAAAGTTTATCCAAAAATATGAAATAATTTGGAAAGCTTATCCAACAATATTAAATCAAGGTCTAAATGTCTGAGAGTATAGTTAAAGAGGATTACTCCAACCAAAAAAACATTGTTTTTGCACCCCCCACCAACAAAAGAAAGAAAATAAAATTGCTATAATGTACAGCACCAAGACCAGGTTTTACCTGCAGCCCAATCCTCTTGAGATGGACCTGCAAGAAAATCAGCGTTTAATCATTAAAGAGCATGCTGTACAGCAGAGATTAATCAACACAAATGTTTGGACAATACAACATGAGCCTTACATTTGAAAAACAAGAAATTCAACATAAACACGGTACACAGTTGGTAAATCATATAGATGGAGATGGCACAGTACTAAATTACTATGAATTATGTATTATGAATCAAGTGTTTAACACAAACATTTGCAAAATTTCTTTGCAGAGAATTTCTTTATAATTGGTTTGTACATATAACAGCTGTTACTGGTTAGTCCACCTAAATGTTTTAATAAAGAGGGTTTGAAAGTTCTGAATAAATCTCCCGGAACAGAAAAGTTGGCAAATCTATGGGGCCTTTATGCTCATGGGCAACTGCCCGGCATGGCAATACATTAAAACAGCTCTAAATCCCATCAGATGTTAAAGGAACTGTGCTCTTCATTCTTTTATAGCTTTGTTCTTATTATGTGACATGTAGACTTTGCTGTAGCGTAACAGTCATATTATTTTTCAGCTAAGTGACCTTGTAGGACTGGTACGTGGAAAGCTGTCCCGCATGCAGCGTTCTATCGTATCTGCTCTTATCGTGATTGAAGTCCACGCTAAGGATGTTGCTGCCCGTCTCATAGAGGAAAATGTGAACAGTGTAAATGATTTTGAATGGATTTCTCAGCTCAGGTTTGGCACCCAAAATTAGTATTTATGTTATGTGTCTGTCTAAATTTTTGTTGCATTTGACCCTTGTTGACCAAGAATCACATAAACCCAGAAAGGTTAATTTAATGAAATGTGAATTGTCGGGAAGTTTTTCAATAACAAAACTGAGGCCATTTGGCCTAAAATTTTACATGAACTTTTAATTGCTTAGTATTCTTAATTTATGTAATGGAACAATATATCAAACAATACAAATGTGTATTCCTAACACTATAGTGTCTTCTAGTTGTTCAAGTCCCTTCTGTGCTCATGAAAAGGTATTTCACTTTTCTTTTCTTTCTCTGTGCGATGCTCTCTCTACGGCTGGTTCTGTGTCCGTGATCGATGAGATCGATGATCTCAGGCAATCCAGTGTTTTCCCATAGAAAAGCAATAGGAGGCTACTGCACATGCACAGCAACCACACTGCACAAACCAGATGGTCTATTTGAGACCATTTGATAAAAAATGGCAGAGTTTTACTCTGCTACTTAGACGGAAGCGCCTCTAATGGCTTTCAGGTTTACATCCACTAGAGGCATTTAAACCCTGCACTGTAAGCATTCCCGTTCTGCAGGAATGCCTGCAGTTGCAGACATAAAGCTACAGAGACATGGCACCAGACCACTTAGTTTAGATGAAGCCGTCTGGATGCCTATAGTTTCCCTTTAACCCTGTGAATGTTAATCTATGCATGGCACAATAAAGGACTGTTATATTGGGACTGTCATTTATTGGCAAAATAATGTAGAAATTATTTAATGAAAGCTGTTCCCTTCTTTGTTTTGTATATGTATATGGTTGTACTTATTAAAGAAGCATGTTGTATAACAGCATATACGATAAATATATATCTTTACTATTTCTAAGATTGCTGCATTTTTATTTTTTATTTATTTGTCTAGAACTGCCAGTCTTGCGTTTGTGTGTGTAAATAATGTTGTATAACCCCTCCTTGTGTGCAAGTTCCTCTGCCTTAAAGTTTAAATTTGTCAATATGGAGTATGGGGTAAGCCTTGTTTAGTTTGGTTGTATTTTGGATTTGTGAAATCAGTTAATCCCTCTGCAGGTATTACTGGGCTAGAGAAGATCTCTATGTGAGAGCTGTCAATGCTGAATTTCTTTATGGATATGAATACCTTGGTAACACAGGACGTTTGGTCATAACCCCCCTCACAGACAGGTAATGATTACGTGGATAATTCGTTTCCGATGGTTGGCTGATCACAGCAGATGCCGCTGAACATAATGCTTTATATGTTTTTTTATGGGTTTAGGTGTTACCTCACACTGACTGGGGCACTGCATCTAAAATTTGGAGGTGCTCCTGCTGGGCCAGCCGGGACAGGAAAAACAGAGACCACCAAAGATCTGGGTAAAGCTCTTGCAATCCAAACTGTAGTATTTAACTGCTCTGACCAGCTTGATTTTATGGCCATGGGCAAGTTCTTCAAAGGATTGGCGAGGTAAGTAAACAAGCAGAGTGATCCATTTATGGTTCTCCCATAAATTGCTGCCACTCATACTGAGAGGAACTGCTCAAAGATTTTCTTAAACATTTTTTTTTGTATTGCTGTATATACAGTTCAGGAGCTTGGGCATGCTTTGATGAATTCAATCGGATTGACATTGAGGTCTTGTCTGTGGTGGCCCAGCAGATTGCTACCATTCAGAAAGCCCAACAGCAAAGAGTGAGTTACAGTGAAAGTTCCAAAGTTGAAGTGGCACTCTCATGCCAAACTTACCTTTCTCCTAGTGTTTCCTCTTCTCTTCCTCTTTTAGAACCTGTTTTTCTTTTCTATATTTCTGATCTAGTTTTCATTGAAACATACGATACAGTAGGGACTACTATGTCTTATGTGTTTTTTCTACATTTGACTTTCTTTGACCAAAGGAGGAGCTTAAGTCAGCTCCATTTCATGTGTCAAGGAGAATAGTGAGTACTTTCTATGACACAGGAAATGGCTTAAGCTCCTCCTTTGGTCAAAAAATGTCACCTGTAAGAAAAGTCCCTACTTTGTCTTATGGTTTAAAGAAAACTAGAACAGAAATAAAGAAAAGAGGAACAGATTTTGATAGAGGGAGAGAAGACGAAGCGATAGGAGAAAAGAAAGTTCTGCATGACAGTGCCACTTTAATGTTCTCTCTTCCCAGGAAGGTTCCTTTATATATTACTTGCTGGTTACTTCTGTATTGTTTACATTATTTTTCTTGCAGGTGGATCGCTTTATGTTTGAAGGTGTAGAGATCCCCTTGGTGTCTACATGTGCAGTATTTATTACAATGAATCCTGGTTATGCTGGACGCACAGAATTACCTGATAACCTGAAGGTAGCATAACTAGATTACTTACTTTCATATAAAGTTAATCAAGTATTTACTGGATAGAAAATTATATTCTCAGTCCTTGTGCATAACAGTAATAATTATATCCATATATCCAATGTAAATGGTAGTGATTACTGGATCTGCATATAATATATGTAGCAATGATTATTGTATTCCTACTTTGTGTTTATAAGTATCATCATACAATAAATGTTTAAATTGATTTATAGGCTCTTTTCCGTCCAGTCGCAATGATGGTACCAGATTATGCGATGATTGCTGAGATATCTCTTTACTCTTTTGGTTTCAACAATGCGAAGATTCTAGCAAAGAAAATTACTACAACGTTCAAACTTTCTTCTGAGCAACTTAGTTCTCAGGTGGCTTTCAAAAAACATATCCATCATCTTATCTACCACAAATCTACAACTTACAACTCATTGACAACTCACTACTCCATCTTCTATATACTTAAACCTTTTGCCTGTTTCCCAATAAGAGCCTTATCCTAGCCTTATCCTAGTCTCCCAGCCACAAAATACTGCCTACCTCCGAGTCACTGCCCCATCCAGTAGACTTCTACAACTTACTGTCCTTCTTACAGTCACTGCCTTGTCCTGTACATTGTTACACTTATTGCCTGTCTCCATATCTCATCTATTGTCTTACCAACTTCTCAGATGTTTTTGTTTTGCATTGCTACAGAACTAGATGCTTCACATTTGAGGTATCATTTTTCAGATGCCTTTGTTTACCTTTCCCCCATCTCTCCATCTTTTCCCCCTTCCTTTCTTATCTTTTTTAGGATCATTATGATTTTGGAATGAGAGCTGTTAAAACAGTGATTTCTGCTGCTGGAAACCTGAAGAGAGAAAATCCAACCATGAATGAGGCAAGTTTTTCTTAGGTTTATAATGATCTAAATGTTTCCTTTACAGGACAATTTTGTTGTGAAGAAGGCCGATAACAATTAAGGATTGCTTTCAAGCCTTATCCTTTATGGGCAAGATGCCTAGTGCTTGTATGAAGTCCATAAACGATTTACTAGATTGTAGGTTGCTTTAACGGTAGACTTGCAGACATTAGGTCAGAATAGCTTTTTTCCTATCATGGTAAAATTTGCATATTAATTAAATGCACAAAGAAATCATGTTCAATATATGAATCCCATAGGTTTATGTGTATGTCATCCAAAATAATGGACAGTCACCTTGTTTGAGGACAAGTGGTTTATTTATTTGTGAAGAAAGTGTAATACAGGCAATGATATCATGTCTATGTGTCTTTGCAGGAGCTGATCTGTCTCCGGGCTATCCGTGATGTTAATGTGCCCAAGTTCTTACAAGATGACTTGAAGCTCTTCACTGGCATTGTGTCTGACCTTTTCCCACGGATTGAGGAAGAACACATTGATTATGGCAGTCTAGAACAAGCAATTCGCAAAACCTGCATTCAGAAAAATCTAAAGGATGTTGATGGTGAGGATACACCGTCAGGGACTTACAACATTCATTTCCAGCTGCTCAAGAACTTGTAAATGAATACAGATAGTATGGCTTAGCTAACTTAGATAATATATGTTCCTGTAGCTTTGTGAATAGCATTCTTCAAGCAGCTATCTCCTCCATATACTATTTCTCTGCCAATGGACAAATGTGTTGATGCAGATAATATTCTTCTTTCTTTTCTAGGCTTTGTAACAAAATGCATCCAGCTCTATGAGACAACGGTGGTGCGGCATGGTCTGATGCTTGTAGGTCCTACAGGTTCGGGGAAAACACAGGTGAGATATAAACATAGTCATAGTTGTTACATGTTCCCAGCGTATGTGTTGTGGTTTTTTTCCAGAGTTCACTTTTATGAAAGTGCTTTGTGTTTATTGACAAGAAACATTTCTCTAATGTGTCAAACAAGGCATTTCTAGGGTGAGTTATGATAGGCATTTTTTAACTGTCATACATCCTTTCTGTTTTTTCATTAATTTATAATATTTATATTATTCTTTGACCACAAATGTTAACGATATCACGTTGTTACATTAGAAGACACTGAATGTATCTCTATGTAGAGCAAAGTCAAAAATCAGTATGGAAACTGAGTTCTGAGCATTGTACAAAAATATATATACCTACTTAATATGCAGAAATACTGATAATGTTTATCAATCCAATTGGTACTAATAGTTCACAAAAAGGATGGTCTTAGATATCAGAATCACCCCATTTATGTAACAGAGTATGAGAATCGGTTAAAATGATACATAACAAGGCCCCAACACAGAGTTTTTTAAAATCACATTTTATTGAATTTTTTAGTTATTACAGAGATACAACAGAGCTAGCAATGAGGAGGCACGCAGGCCTCTATATATAGAGATATATATATATATATATATATAAAACGATTATTAAAATTTAGAAGGCAGTAAAGGCAGATGGATTAACAATGTGTAGAAATGGTACAATTTGCAGGTGGGAAATGAGAAATAACTCAAGGGTATTAACCGTGGGGTGCCCTGGAGTGCGACATAGCACTTATTGGTCATTACTCTACGGAAGTCAAATTTCCAAATTGTGTCAGGAGCTTTCCCTGCTCATGGTAGGATCAGTAGCGGTTGAGGGAACATTATGGCTGAAAGTGCCCTATGTCAACAGTGATAACATTGACATTACGATTCAAGATCTCCCTTCCATATGGCGGGGTTATTACAGTAGCTTTGCCACGTCTCCCCACATACACGCAAGTGTGTTTCATAATCGCTACTTTGTGTTACAGTTTCAGACACAAAAATCCTAATCTCTGTAAGAGTGAAAGGTGAACCATCCACGTTGTTATTTTGGGGCAGCTCCACCAGATATGTTCGACTGTCTCCTCGCCTGTGCCCCACCTCCAGCAGGATGGGGATATACTTGGAAATATAGGAGAGAAGGCGTTCTGTATCATGATGACAGTAGTTTGTAGTTAGTTTCTTGATACCTAGAGCTAATCCAGCTCTAATGGTTTAAAATTAATACTTTTTCCCACTGTGTGTCTTTGAGCATCTTGTTTAGCAGTTCTTCCCATCGCCTCTTGAAAGTTGTCTTCGTGTTTCTGTCCACTATTAGTAGATGTTGGTAAAGGACGGAAATGGCCTTCTCCAGGGTATAACCCCCATCACAGAGGCCCTCAAACCACGTCAAGGTTAGATGCAGCAGTGCTGTGTTGGGGATCTGTTGGTAACAGTGTCGCAGTTGGGAATGCTGAAATTTAATGAGAAGAGTCGGGGCTTCTTCCCCCATGATGTACTTCGTGAGGTTCAATTTGAGACCTGATAAGCTGCCATAGGTATCAAATGCTATCATCAAACATGGCAAGGTAATCTGTGGATTGATAACAAAAAAGAGTATTTCGTCCACATAAGTTGCCACTTTATGTTCCGAGACCTTGCATTGGAGTCCTGAGATGTCTTAGTTTTTTCGGACCGCAATGAGGAATGGCTCGAGGGAGATGGCAAACAATAGAGGTGAAAGAGGGCAGCCCTGCCGTGTGCCATTAAGGATCCAGGGATAAAACCTGTCTGCTCTGGGTGGATAAGATCAGGTAGACATGCTTGCATCCTGGTCGGTGAACAATTTAACGTTCACATTCAAAAGAGAGATGGTAGCTAACGCAGTTTTCGGGGTCTTTATTTGGCTTCATTAGCACTGTGATCATTACAGCTAATGGCTCATTGTAGAAATTTCCCCCTTTTGTTAGCTTAATCAGGGCTTTTATTAGTCTGGGTATCAGGGGGCCTTATAGTATCCAAGGGTAAAGCCATCTGGTCCAGGTGGTACCAACACAGAGTTATTTCAACAATTATCTGACTCTTGCCACATAAATGACAGGCTCATCTTCATGAAATGGAGTTTCTTGTTAGCAAATTGTACTTTGTATTGTTAGTTAGCACAGCTGCTAAGAAACACTAGAACAGCAGAAATTAATCAGGCTGTCAAGTATATTTTGATGCCTGCTAGAGTTGTGTTACTACTATCCTAGCTAGAATACACATACCTCTACTCATCCAAAATGCCTATATCCCTCACTCCCCAGACAGCCTGCTCCTCTCCCTCCCTATCATGCCATTTAGTCTATTAATCTTGTTTAGATGGAGTCATCACAGTCCAGAGGATGACAAGCAATATCAAGGAAATGTTTGTACTTACCCTGTGCAGAGTGCACAGTTGTATTACTGTATCTTGCAGATGTGGGCAGTTGCTCTTATATAAGATGGTGTCAGCTACTGGGCTGATGGAATCTGTTGTTCTCTGTTGGACCTCTTTAATTTAACAGGCTAGGACCAAATACTTTTCTAATGTACGCTGAAGTTTAATGTTACCCAGATCATGTTTTGTTTGTATTGAGTTGTAAAAAATTATTGTGTTTGCTCAGTGTTATATAGTGCTTGCTGCTGCCCTTTCATCACTTAAAGGGATGCCATCAGTCAGTGGAGGGACCTATGAGACTGTACACTACTACATTTTGAATCCAAAATCCATCACAATGGGTCAGTTGTATGGAGAATTTGACCTTTTAACACATGAGTGGTAAGAATATTATTATTTTAAAAATATGTATGTCATAGTAATAATTTGTAAATCTTGGATTTCTTTGTTAAAACAAGTGATGGGAAATAACACTTCCAATGTGTTTAACTTCAAAGGACAGATGGAATCCTCTCGTCACTTATTAGAGGTGGTGCCACATCAACAGAGCCTGACAAAAGGTGGTACATGTTTGATGGACCTGTAGATGCTGTGTGGATTGAGAATATGAACACAGTCCTTGATGATAACAAGAAGCTTTGTCTGAGCTCAGGAGAGATCATTAAACTTACAGAGGTAATCAAAACCTAGAGTTTGAAGAACCTCAATTTTCCACCAGATATTGACAGCTTTCATGAGATGTTAAGGTCATTTATTTAACCAGCAAATCATAACAAATATCACCTCTGCTTTCTTTAAATTTGTTAAACTCATGCTCATCCAATTCTTGACATCTTTACTTGTGGCTCATAACCATGCTATATCTAAGAATATATATGTATGAGTGTACGAATGTGTGGAAAAAGATCATGTTCTATGAGTGATAAATGCTTAGTGCCATACTCCAAGCTGTGTCAAGGTGTCTTCCTCTTTGGAGCTGCTTCATCTCAATGCACAAGCAAACCAAAGGAAGAGGTCATATTATCAATTCTACTCCTGCCCATCACACTATAAACTTTATATCTTCTTCACATTAAGTTTTATCTATAACAGACCTGTAAGTTTTAGTACCTCCGTAAGATTTAGACTTAGAACCATGTGGATTCCAGTTTATCACTTCTATCAATTATGTCTCCATGACAAAACCACTGATTACCATAATACCGCACACCCTAAAACACGTCAATCACCCGCTGACATTTATAAAAATGGCAAACTTCATTTTTGTAATCCAAGGGTTTTCACATCGTGCCATCTGTTCTGCTTCCTTCTTAAACACTGCATAATATGTCTTTAACATGACAGTTACATATTGCTTCTTTTCAGGCCATGACCATGATGTTTGAGGTGCAAGATCTCGCGGTTGCATCCCCAGCTACTGTTTCTCGTTGCGGAATGGTGTATCTGGAACCCAGTGTCCTTGGTCTAAAGCCTTTTACTGAATGCTGGCTCAATACTATCCCAGCCTTCATGAAACCCTATAGAGAGCAGCTGGACTCTTTATTTTCTCGCTTTTTGAAGGTAACAGACCTTTAACATAGGACACTTTATTAGTAAACATGTCTTAAGTTATTTTAGTCCACATAACAACCTTATGTTATATAGAACCTGAAATTTCCACTGCAGTGAAATGTTTCATTTTTGTCATTAGTTTCAGCCACACCAAATATGTGGCCCCATGCCTTGGTCAGATAGCTCGGTGAATAGTGACATAGCCTTTGAATCTCTACAGAGAACTGTTATTTATGTTTACGTTATTAATTGTTTGTGTTTGTGTATAACATATTAATTTTGTATTACTGGCACTTTTGGAACTACATGTGAAAGCGTATAATTTAACTTGTGTATATTAGCTGAATAGAATGTCTGGTTTGTAAACCCCAAAATAATTAACCAGCATTGTAAAATTCCAGAGAATTTAGTGGCACCTATATGTCACACGCTAATCAACACTGGGCATTAAAAAAATATGTATGTGTTAGTTTTTCAAAAGTCTGTTCTTTTTTTTTTGATAATTCTTTATTTTCATTTCATAGGTCAAGTAAACATTCTTACAAAAAGAATAAATGGTTAGGTGGGTAAGAACAGTGGGGGATAACATTGAGTTGTCCGTGGGTAGGTCTGGCATTGAAGTCTCCGAGAGTGTGTGTTATACCGTCTGTTGTGGACCGGTGTGTGGTGGTGTCTCGTGCGGTCTCAGATTAGGCAATGGTCCGTTTTGTCGCCTGGTATGGCTGAGGGGGGAGGCATAACTTGTGAGTCAGCTGAGCCAGAGATGTTAGTCCAAGTCTGTTGGGGGGGGGGGGTGGCTGATTTGGGGGTTGCTGTCTGGAGTAGATTTGTTGGGAGAGGCTGAGTCAGCAGAGCCCATTGGGTATGTCGTTTTCTATGTTCAAGGGGGCGATGGGGCGGGTAAGGTGGGTGTGTGGGAGACTGGGGTGGGGGGTGTTGTGGGAGAGAAAAGGCGGGATGGTGCTGCCCTCTTGAGTACCCCCCAAGGCCCTTTGTGGAATGGGGTAGGTTAAGGGCGGTAGGGGGAGCGAGCCTCAGATTTGCATCATGTTGTGGTTTTGCTTGGGTGGTGTTGGTTGGTGGGATTGCCGCGGGTCACCATGGGAGGGTATTGTTCCCTTCCAGCCATGGGTCCCACACTTTGTGGAATGAGTTGGGGGTGTCATGTGTTTGTTCAGTCAGCTTATCCATGTTTACGCTGTCAGTTATTTTAGTGTGTATTTGCAGTTGGGTTGGGATGCGCGGTGTGGACCATGTTTCCGCTATTGCTCTTTGGGTGGCTAGGGCTATTCTGGCAATGAGTTTGTTTTCGTTACGAGTGAAGATGTCAATGGGTTTGGAGAGGAGAAGGGCCCAAGGGTCTAGAGGTACTGGTTTGTTAAGTAATCTGGTTAAGAGTGTAGTTAGCGTTGTCCATAGGGGAGCGACTTTGGGGCAGGTCCACCAGCAGTGGAGAAACGTGCCAGCATCGCCGCACAGTTTCCAACATAAGTTGTTGGGAAGTTGTTGCATTGCCTTTAGGCGGAGGGGGGTGAGGTACCACCTAAAGAGCATTTTGTAGGCCTGTTCCTTATGGGTTACGCAGGTGGAGATGGATTTGGTGGCAGTCCAAATGTCTGCCCAGTCAGTGGCGTCCTCAGGGGGCCCCAAGTCGCTCTCCCATGCTGCGATGTATGGGAGTGCTATTTGGGTGTGATGCGTGGTTAGGGCTGTGTAGAGGTTTGATATTTGTCTCTTTCTGGCCGGGGAGTTGAGGGTGTCCCTCTCAAACCCTGTCAGGGCCAAGGTGGCTGCTAAGTGAACCGTGTCTGATGCTGCAAGGCTACGGAGTTGGAGATATCGAAAGTAGTCATGGGTGGTTAACGATTCCGAATTAGGAACCTCTGCATATTGTAGGAGTTTACCATTGGGGTAAAGGTGTCCTAGTCTAACTATGTCTCTGTCTTTGAAGTGGGCGTAGTGCCTTGGAGTAAGGCCGGGTGGAAACATTTTATTACGGAGGATTGGGGTGAGGGGTGATAGGCCAGTAGATAGGTCGAATTTGGCGCTTAGGCAATCCCAGAGGTCCAAGGAATGGGTAATCGTTGGAGAGGTGGGGGGAGGCAGAGGCCTATGCTGTTTTGGGATCCACATGTATTGGGAGGGGTGGTCCTGACCAAAGATGAGGTGCTCTAGGTCTACCCACCTCTTGTGAGCGGGGGGGAAGGTGCCAGTGTTGGATTTGTGTGAGGTGGGCGGCATGTAGATAGTGTGTGAGGTTGGGGAGGCCTAGTCCTCCAGAGGGTTTTGGTACATACAGTGTGGTTCTGCGGACTCAGGGTCTCCTGCCATTCCAGATGAATCGGTCTATTGCTGTTTGTAAGAGTTTGAGGTCGTGTTTTTTGCAGGGGATGGGTAGTGCTTGGAAGGCATAGAGGAATTTGGGTAGGATGTTCATTTTAATCGAGGCTATCCTCCCAAGCAGCGAGATGGTCATGGGCTGCCAACGTTCAAGGTCCAGGAGTGCTTTGTGTAAGACAGGGGGGTAGTTGGTGGCGTATAAGGTGTTGGTGTCGTTGGTAATTTGGATGCCTAGGTATATTATGGTCGTTGGGCAGATACGAAAGGGGAATCTGCGTTTGAGGGTGTTCATGGTGGATGTGTCGAGATTGAGCGGCATAAGGTCTGATTTTGCGGCGTTTAATTGGTATCCTGAGATTGTTGAGTAGTCGTGTAGGGTTAAAAGTCTGTTCTTAAGTAACAAAAATCCTACCTATTCTTAGCTTCAGAGCTTGCTTTCTGCAGCTAAACTAATCTGCCCACTTTCTTTTCCCAGCATAAACTTCCTTGTTAGTGCTTGGCAGTGACCAATCAAATGCTTCTCAGAGAGAAGCATTGTGGACATATGGAACATAAAATAGCATTTTATGAACACTTAGTCAAGTAACGATTGAGTAAATATTCCACACACATATTTGGAATATATATATAAATATAAATATATATATATATATATATATATATATATATATATAAATGCATGAAGATAGATATTAGAAGAAAATATCTATAACATCATTAAACAGTTGAATATTGAATATTTTACAAATTAGTTTAAAACATACAAAATAATGAGCTTCACAGGGCTGAGCAGGGAAATAAGAAGGAAACGTTTGAAAGTAAACACTCTGCTGAAGAGCTTTGCTGCTGTCTAACTAATATCTATCTCCCTAGGAAGTGTGAAGGGAAGTAGCATGTGATGTGAGCCAGGGGAGGTATGGCTAGTGCTTATTTACTTGCCATCAATAGCTCTGTAGAGCACAGGGGTAATGGTAAACAAGTAAAACTTAATGCTGGGAAACATAAATTGTAATTCATTTTAAACAGCTTATTATTCTGCGACAATTTATTTTTTTAACAAACATTAACCAAGTTTTCTATTGTTTTCAGGATGCCATCATGTTTGTGCGTCGCTCTGTTAAAGAAATCATTGCGTCAACTGACAACAATCTGGTCATGAGTCTTCTTAAGCTGTTAGATTGCTTCTTTCAACCTTTTATCCCACAAGAGGTACTTATAAGTCTGGCATGGATAGACAGGGTGTAGAGAGAAAGTAAGACAATATCTATAATTGATACAATGTGTTATTCATCACGGGTATGGTGGTGGTACATGCCAATTTAATTTACACCAAGTCTGTTCTTTACACTATTACTGAACTAATTCTGTGTTCCCAGGGACAAAAGAAAATTGCAAAGGAGAAGCTTAGCCGCATAGCGGAATTGATAGAGCCTTGGTTCTTCTTCTCTCTGATTTGGAGTGTTGGAATCACCGGAGACTCAAATAGCCGTGTCCTGTTCAGCAAGTGGCTGAGAGACAAAATGATTGCTGAGAAGGTAAAGCATTGTAATATACCCATCTCTGACATTCTGGAACAGGAAATTATGTATTTCAGGAGACACACAATGAAATCCTGGGTTTCCAGCTATACCTTTTCATCCAGTTTGCTTTCATGTTTTCCCACAAAATGTCTCTTGTTTTTTTATCTCCCTCCTTTGTATTTACTCCTCTAGTAAACAGGGACTAGTTACACTCCTATTTACATCAACCAGAAATGGCTTGAAATTTTAATCTGGTCCCAGATCAGGCGATATGAAATGAAAAACTATGGGATTAGATCATATCTAGTGGGATCCTGCTTTAGATTTCCTCCTATTTATGTATTTTTTTGTTCTTTCATGATAAGTTTCTCTACTCCATGTTTGCTAATCTGCAAATCTCTTACTTCTCTTTATTGTTACGATGTCTCCACAGGCGGTAATGCTTTTCCCAGATCAAGGGCTGGTGTACGACTATAAACTGGATGATGCAGGAATTAGCAGTAGAGCCGATGAGGATGATGAGGACGTTCAGAGAAAGGTAAGAGGCATCAGTAACTAATGGGAGGTTATGCTGTACAATCCCTGCCATTTAGATTCAAAGAATAGGTTGACATATATACTATTCCCAAAGAGTAACTGTTTAAAAGCAGATAGGTCTGTTTTTTGCTGATGCTGCTTTGTTTTGCATCTATGGGAGCCTCTGTTTTCCCCTGTCCATGATTTAATGTCGACACCAATCATTTCTATTTGTTTAGGTGAGTTGGGTGAACTGGATGGAATCATCTGCTCCTTTTTCCATTGCCCATGACAGCAGCTATGCAGATATCATTGTCCCAACTCTTGACACCGTTCGCATGTCTCAAATCCTTGGAATGCTTTTGACCAATAAAAAGCCAGTAAGTATCTCTAGGTCCGTTATAATATTATGTATTTCCAGGAACATAGGTGGCATTATTTTATTGAGGTGGGTGTTGGTTAGGCATCAAAAAGAGACACTGGTATATTGTGAAGAAACATATTAGGCTTTACTTGTGTAGATAAAACAGCAAACATTTAGAGCATATCAGTTACTTGAAATAGCAGCCAGCATAGTGAAAGGTAGAGAGACAAAGAGCAAGTGAAAAATCAAAAAGCTTCCATTCCGTGAGTTCTAACAAGTTGATATACATATATAAACAGTACTCTAAACTGCACAGTGCTATCTACAGCTCAAGTGCTAAGCATATATATATATATATATATATATATATGTTATGCAGTACATGCTGTTGTATCTCCCAACATTAGGTCTTATTTAAAAAAATTCTCTATATGATTGTGTGCAGGGCCGGTGCAAGGATTTCTGCCGCCCTAAGCAAAGATTAATTTTGCCGCCCCCTCATGTCACTCACTCACTGACAGACACGCACTGACAGACACACACACTCACTGACAGACACACAAACTCATTGAAAGACACTCACTAACACATACACGCACTCTCTGACAGACATACACTCTCTGACAGACACACAAACACACACACTCACTGACAGACACACACACTCATTGAAAGACACTCACTAACAGACACACACACACTTACTGACAGACATACAATAACTCACTGACAGACACACAAACACACACTCACTGACAGAAATATACTCACTCACTGAGAGGCACACAAACACACACACTCACTGACAGAAATATACTCACTCACTGACAGGCACACAGACACACACACTCACTGACAGGCACAGACACACACTCACTAACAGACACACACACACACTAACAGACATACACTCACTCACTGTTATTACAGAGGGTGCGCGAGGGAGGAGTGAGGCTGCTAGAACAGCCTCCCTCGCCGCATGCCAGCTCCATCTGCTCTCCTACTCTCCTCGCCCCTCTCACCGGCATTTAGTGGCAGAGCAGGCACCTGCCATCAAGGTAAGCGGGTGCCTGCTCTGCCTTACCTAGCTCTGCATCAGGGGCGCCCTGAGGTAGCCATATGGCCACCTCCTCGGTCCCCTGTGACAGGGCTCCTCTCTGCCCGGCGCTGGGGGCAGCTCAAGAGTCACTCTCCCAGTGCTGCGGCCCCAAACAGGGGGAGCCCACCAGGAAACATCCCAGTGGGTGCCCCCAGCAGGCCGGCACCCTAGGCGAATGCCTAGTTCACCTAACGGTTGCGCCGGCCCTGATTGTGTGACTATGCTTCACAATATGGATCCAGCAGATTTATTCATGAACATGTGACTATGAACATAGGCTGAACAGGTGAATATTGTAAAGCGCTACGGACTATGCTGGCGCTATATGAATACCAGTAATAATAATAATAATATGTACAGGGATGTACGTTATGTGTACTTGGTTACATAATATGCAATATGCAGTTATGTTGCTCTATTTATCTGCTGCGTTTCTATGTTGTTCTATGCTACCAGACCATAGGTGGTATACACGAGCCAGCTTTGTAATTATTCTGACATATCCAATGGATTTATGGATTTACTTCATGTGTACAGGTTCTGTGTGTTGGGCCCACCGGGACCGGAAAGACTCTTACAATATCTGACAAGCTGCTCAAGAATCTTCCACATGAATTTATCAGTCACTTCCTCATGTTTTCAGCAAGAACTTCAGCCAATCAGACGCAAGATCTTATTGACAGCAAACTGGACAAAAGGCAAGGATACTAATCAAGTAATGTATGGAGAGATATCAATAGATGACATAATAGAGGTCCAGGCACTCCTTGGTTCAAGACAGGTACTTTATTAGGAATCACAACAGCAATGTTTAGACCCCAAAAGGTCTTTGTCAAGCTTGACAAAGACCTTTTGGGGTCGAAACGTTGCTGTTGTGGTTCCTAATAAAGTACCTGTCTTAACCAAGGAGTGCCTGGACCTCTATTACTTTATTCATTTTTGGAAATCTGGTGTTTGATTCCGGTTCAGCAAGCACCCTGGCTCAGATTCATGGTAGTGAGTGCAGTTCCACACACACTACTAAAATCCATAGATAAAAACCACTGTTAAAGCACTTTCTGCACGATGAATATGTATGTCCACATAATTCATACAATAAAAACATATTTGGCTTGTTTACAGTATTTTCACAGTTTAAACAATAACATCAAACGAAAGTTGTTTAACGCCTTCGGGAGCAGTGACATATTAGAATTGGTAGTTAACTGTCAGGATCGACGTAGAACCCAAATGTGCAGACTATAACACAACAAATAGACAAGCGGTATACCCGTCCTTAGTGTGGCCGGGCTAACATTAGAGTCCCTATAAAGTATACAGGAATTTTTGTAGATAATTCATTTTAAAGATTTTTTTTTTTAACAGATTGGGATCATTTGAAAAGCTTATCCAAAAATATAAAATTGAAGCATTTATCTTTTAGAAAGATAAATAAATAAAATATATAAACACATAGATAGAGCATTACATATGAAAACACATTTTACTGGTGATTTGCAATGTATTTTTCTATGTTGGGAAGAAGATAGGTTACAGTCAAATCCTGATAGCATCATTTCTTGCTTTAGACAGTACACCCAATTCAGATTGTAGCAGCAAATTAGGCTTTTTTAGAGAGTGCAACCAATTTAGACTCTTGATTTAGAGTATATATACTGTATAAACCCTAACAACAAATTATCCATCATATTTAAAGAGCTATTCAGGAAAATTAGATATGTACAGTGTGCATTACTAGCTCAAACAGCAAAAACAAATACAGCAAGCTCTGACATATTTGTATATTCGTTGTGTCTTTACAGGAGAAAGGGGGTATTTGGACCACCTCTTGGGCGCTACTTTATCTTCTTTATTGATGATCTAAACATGCCTGCACTTGAGACATATGGAGCACAACCACCCATTGAGTTGCTCCGTCAGTGGATGGACCATGGTGGCTGGTATGACCGCAAGCAGATAGGTATATGGACATTTATCATTATTATTATTGGCATTTATATAGCACCAACTTATTCTGCAGTGCTTCATCATAACTGCATTTTATTTATGCAACTAGTGTCTTACTTTCTTTAAATGTTTTCTAAGAAAATAAAATTATAATTCCATCACTGCACAGTTAAGCATGGATTCACTTGGAGTTCAGTAATCATATAACAGAAATTTGGGCTTTTAAAGGTCACAAAATTAGTTTATGAATGGTGGGATGGGAGTTACATAAATGGACATATAATAACTTATATTAGGCCAGGCGTTCCAAAAGCTTCAAGAGGGAAGCTGTATATGCCAAAAGGAGTTGGAGTCTCCAGTCTGCTTATCACCAACTGATTAAACAATGTTCTAATTTAGAACACTGCCATGCAGATACAAGCACTTAAAAATATAGGCAAGACTGACCAAAAACACGCACTATCTTATGTAATATTTCAATTGTGCTTTCCTTCTGCAGGAGTTTTCCGTAATTTAATGGATATCAATTTTTTATGTGCCATGGGACCGCCAGGTGGTGGCAGGAACCCAGTGTCCCCACGGCTTACCCGGCATTTTAATTTCTTGTCCTTCACTGAGATGGAAGACAGCAGCAAGAGCAGGATCTTCTCTACCATCCTTGGTAGCTGGATTGGTGAGTGAAGACTCAATGACTTATTAGAGTGGGGATAGAGGCAGTAGTGTATGGAGAAGGTGTGTAGTAGATGGAGAAGAAAACATATTAAACAAGACAGGGATAAGATGTAAAGAAGAAAAATACATTATAGGATGGAAAAGTGCATTACTGAAAGATAAATAAAGGAAAGTATTTATCGTCATGTGAGTGAAGTCACAAACAGTCCTGAAAGGGTAAATAATATAAGGGAGGCTCAGCTATGTCAGAGAGGTGGTGCATGTGAGGAAGGTATGGCTGGTGTGAGTAAGGAGGGTTGTCAGAAAGTTATGTGCCATGTGGTGGATTAAATGATGTGAGGGAGATGGAGTCATACATACATTAATCATTTTCGTCTTTGGTAATCTGAGAAAGATGGGGAACCATTAAAGAGAAAAAGTCATGGGACATAGTGGGAGGTGGATTATTGGATATTGATTCATTTACATTTGTAAATGAATGTCTAGTAGTGTGAGAGAGTGAGGTATGTAAGATTGGGCGAGAAATATGGAGAGGATAGATGTAATAGAGAGAGAATTGAGATGTGAATAAAGTTAAGGTGAATATGATAGCTGTAAAGGTGAAATAAGTGTAAGAGATGTGAATTTGGAATTTCTAAGATAAATGTGAAGGTGGAATTTGGAGAAATTTTTTTAAGAATTTGTGAGTGGGGGCTAGAGGAATGAGGGAGCATGTGGGAAAGGTGTGAAGGTGTTATATGTAGAGTTATGTCAGGGAATGACAAATGATGTAGAGGAGGTTGGAGGGGAATAAAATGATTGAGTTATGGCTGTATGCAGGAATGGAAAGAGTCTTGTTAGGCTGCCATAAAGAACTGTTGGTGCAGTGAGAATACCGATAATTATCATAGATAGATAGTGGTGTTAATATGTGAGATATAAATTGGATATATAATCCAGAAATACTGAGTGTTTCTTTTTCCTCGTTGGATTACTTGTAGAGATATATAGCAATCAGTACCAGCAGAGTGTTATGACATCTAGTTATCCTAGTTGGATAGGAAGTTCTACTTCTTTTACATGGTCGCCCGCAGCCCCACCTGAGTCATTCTTTCTCTCTGTGACAATTTGTAACAAGCTATTTCACCCATTATTTTGGACATTTGACTGCTTATTGACCCGTGTTACCTCATGTTATCTCATGTCTCAGAGCGGTCACTTTATATAATCTCAATGATTGGCCATCTGTTACCTTCCAGACTATCACCTTGTGCCCTTCCTAATGCCATGCTTTTTATCAGTGGTGGAGTTTGTTTTCGATTTTCTTTCCTTACAGCAGGGGCACCAGCAGTGCAGCACCTGACGGGACAGTTGGTCGATGCCACCATTAAGATGTATAATACTATTATATCTCAGTTGCTCCCTACGCCAGCAAAATCTCACTACACATTTAATCTTCGAGACTTGTCGAAGGTATTTCAGGGAATATTAATGGCAGAACCATCTAAAATGGAGGTGAGTGTTCTAATTGCTGGTATCCATTCAGGATGTACTGTATTTAACCTAACTTATCATCAGTTAAAGTACTAGAGTTAAAGTGTAGCCAGGGCAATAATGCCAAAAAAAAGCAAATTTCAGTATTATTGATAAATTTGAAGAGTTAATATAACCCTTTTGAAAGGGGCCATTATCAACGTAATATGCATTATTGGGCACTATAGGGAAGGTCCCCCCCTTCAATTAGCAGTACAACCTGCAAACAAAAGTTTTTACTAACCTGGAATCCAGTACCGGGCAAACCTTCTGGCACTGATTTACCACCCACCCCCTCCGACATCACTGGGGCTCGCGCTGGTCCAATCACAGGCTTCTCATAGAGAAGTCTGGGATTGGACCATTTTGCTGGCTCAAAGCAAATGCGCACGCTCTGGACGGGTGAGGGAATAGAGGTAGGGAGTGAAGAGGAGGGAAGCAGGAGGTAGCAATGTGGGAGCGGAGAGCCATCATCCTATTGCTCGGCCTGCAAGAAGACAATTTTCACGTCTGTTCATAGTGTGCAGTGCTCGCTGTAAACAGACATATTTTAAGCACAGAATTGACATTAAACCGGGCTGCCAATGTCACGTGTGCTGGGGGTGCAACTAGCACAAGTGCAAACATCTCTGTATGTGCAGTGGTTCGAGCTGAAACACTGCACATACTGACTCCTACCACCATGACCTCTTTAAATCACTGAAATGGTGATTCTGGTTGGAGTATCTCTTAAAGAAGTAGAACTTTTCACTAGGCATTAATTGTTATTGTAACTAGAAGGCTATTTATGATTATGAATTAAATTAGTGCATAAACTTTGCAATCTCAACACATTCTTCATTTATATCTTAAAATGTACTGGTAATTGACAATCCACCATTGCTTCACAAGTAAAAGGTGTGTGGTGGTAAAGCCAATGTCTTACATTCTTGTAATTCTATCAGGACAAGTTTCAGCTCTTGAAGCTGTGGTATCACGAGTCCTGCCGCGTATTCCAGGACCGCTTAGTGAACCAGGAAGATCGGAACTGGTTTGATGAGCTAATGAAGGAAAGAATGCAGGAATTTGGTGCAACCTTCGAAGAGGTTGTCCCTCAGCAACCTGTGCTGTTTGGAGATTTTATGTCTCTAGGGGCAGATACAAAACCCTACCAGCTCATTACCGACCGAGAAAAGGTAATTAGGCAACAATTTTGACTTCAGTTTTTCTACTGCCCCCTGATTGCAGGGGGCTCTGGTACTGTTGGCTTCTTCATGTTGAAGTATGTTTGTGTTTCTGTATGGGGCTTTTTATGTGAAGAGTTCCATTTGTTTTCTGAATTTATTTTAGATTTTTTGTTGTTTTTTTTTTTTTTTTATATAGTGTTTTAGGGTCCCTGTGTCTTGTTCACTCAGTTATATGTGTGAGAGATATTGGTTTACTTGTATGATTATAAATAGCATAATCGTTGTAGCAAGGTTATTCACTAAAGGTAGAATTGCTGGGAAATTCAAAGTCAATTTAAAAATTTAGACCAAAAAGCCACATTAGAAAAACTCTTAAGTGTATTTTCTTTTCAGGTACGTACCTTTCTCATACATTTTTTTTAATCTATGGGAAGCCAGTGATCATTAACTGAAACTCTCTATCACCGCAGCCAATGCCAAGGCTTCAGCCTTGAAACTTGGGGTCAAAGGAGGAGACACAGAAACCTGGAGGACAGGTGCTGTCTGCAGCACTTCGGTGGTTAAACTGTTCATAAACGATTTGACCCCTTTAGTTATTACAGCATCCAGCACCTCCAGGCGCCATAATAACTTAATTGTAATGAAGTTGTTATGGTGCTTAGTGTGTTTTTTTAAATCTGAATTTCACTTTGAATTCCCAGCAATTCTCACTTCAGTATATTACCCTGTATGTGTTTATGTATGTGTTCAGAGGTCCTATTTCCTGTTTGTTAGGGGCACTATTCTTGCGTGTTCATACATATGTCTGGTATGCTGCTACCTGTATGTCTGTAGGCATTTTGTTTGTTTCTGTGTGTCCGTATTGGTGTGCCTGGTCTTCTGTAAGTGTTTTTTGTTGCTCTGCTTTTCTTCCAGCTCCATCGTATAATTGAGGAATATATGGAGGATTTCAATCAGATCAACACCGCGAAGATGAAGCTGGTTCTTTTTATGGATGCCATTCAACATATTTGTCGAATCAGCCGCATCTTACGACAACCACTAGGAAATGCTCTTCTGCTTGGTGTGGGAGGCAGCGGGAGACAGTCTCTAACTAGACTGGCAAGTCACATGTAAGGATAGTTCACCTTTATTAATACTGTGCCACATAAATACCCAATGAACACTGTGCACAATCTGCCTATCATTGATGTGAGTCTGTTTTTTTGAATGTCAGTCTTTTGTATTTAAATATAAGATATCTATATTTGGCGAGTCTTTGATGTTCTGGGTAATGCATCCTGTCTTCTCAGGTCAGAATATGAATGCTTCCAAATTGAACTGTCCAAAAATTATGGGATGACTGAATGGAGAGAAGATATAAAGGGTATCCTGCTGAAAGCTGGTCTCCAGAATATCCCCATAACATTTCTCTTCACAGACACACAGGTTAGTAGAATTTAACTTATCACTTAACACATAAATGCTCATTACAGCCAAACTCGTACAGTTTTCCTTGGCATTGCTGGCTACACATCACTGATAATCATCTCATTACGCTAATAAAAATCTAATACAACTCATGCTTAGTGAAACAAAAAAAACAACTTATTTCTTAGTTACACAAGAGTGAGTAATGTACAAGATTCATTCAAACTCTTTTCCTTCAACTTTAGATTAAGAATGAGTCTTTTCTTGAAGATATAAACAACATTCTGAATTCAGGAGATGTTCCCAACTTGTATGGGCTAGATGAGCAAGACCAGATTGTCACTGTCATGAAACCAATTGTGCAGGATATGGGACAACAACCAACCAAGGCCAACCTAATGGCAGCATACACCCGACGGGTCAAGGGCAATATCCATACTGTGCTGTGCATGAGGTATTGGGCTACTCAGGGTGATGCTGCACATGAATACTTTCCATTAAATATTATTCTCTTTTCTTTGACACATTTATGCACATTGCTGCACATGATCTCCAATTTTATTGGCACAATGCACTTAGCTCTTCAATATCTTTTCAAGATTCTTGGAGTCTATGTTTTGCTTAAATACCCACCTCTTAAAGATAAATTCCCACCTAATTCTTTGACTTTATATTTTGTAAACATGCATGTAGTCTCTCTGCCATTTATTGTATTCTTACTAATTTCTTCTTTACCTCACTCTCAGTCCAATTGGAGAAGTGTTCAGGGCTCGTCTCAGGCAGTTTCCAGCATTAGTAACTTGTTGCACAATTGATTGGTTTAATGAATGGCCAGAGGATGCTTTAGAATCAGTGGCATCATCATTCCTGGTGGAGATTCCTGAGCTTGACTCAAAAGAGTCCTCTGTTTCAGGCATGGTGAGTTTTGCACAATAAACAGGACATTTTATTTACATTATACAGTACATTTTTTTCACCTTAAAAATGATTTTTTGGAGATGTGACTTCCCTTTCCTTTTCCTTTGCCTCCTACACTACAGATCAAGATGTGCGTTGAAATGCACCAGTCAGTAGCTGTAAAGTCAAAGCAATACTTGGCAGAGCTCTCACGTCATAATTATATCACCCCAAAGAGTTACCTGGAGCTGCTAGGAATATACTCAAAGCTTATTGGAAAGAAGGTGATGGAGATAAAAACTGCAAAGAACAGGATGAAAAGTGGACTTGACAAGGTGTGACATTAAAGGACCAGACCCTTCCATTGTTTTATATTTTATGTACCGGTATCTTGTTGTTTTTTTTATCACTTAGTCCCATGATCTCTTGATTTTCTTTGTTACATCTATAATTTGGCAACTTTTTTCCTTCATGTGCCACATTTTTTTTAAAATAATTTTTATTTTGTTTCAAGTCAGAATAAAACAGAATCATGGACATCGGTTGTACAGTATCAACATTTTTGAGACATATGGTTGATTTGTAGGTCGTATAATGGTAAAACATTGCATTAAAATTATGCAGTAAACAAATATCAGGAATTTTTTTTGTAAAGAGGACCACAGCCTTCAAGTGTGTGCCCTGCATTGTTTTTTTTTCTTGTTTTTTTTAAAGCTGTTTATTGAGCAGGACATACATACTTAGAAACATGCAGAAAGGTGCAACGTATAGCCTGAACGCGCAGGTCCAAACATTAATGTCAATACAAACATAGTATACAATAATATACATCATTACATCTTTCCGTAATGCAGGTTAGATATCAGCGAATTGTGCATTGTACCGGAATATTGGCCACGACAGTGTCTTAATCGACTCTCGGCCTCAGGTGGCATAGTGGTGACTCGCAGACATTGAAATATCAATCAATGAACAATACCGAACAGATAGAAAGTGTATAGTATAAGCATCATATGGCTTTAGATATGCACAGTATCTGTTAGTCACTTTGACCGTGAACAGAAAGTACCTGTCTACCCATCTGTATAGGGGCAATTGTATGAGGTTGGAGAAGAGAGAACATAGGATGAAATCGCAGATTGAGGGGAGAAAAAAGAGAGAGGAGGAGAAAAAAAGGGGTGGGGGGAGTTGAGGAAACAGGGGTGAGAAGGGGGAGGGGTGGGGTTTGGAGGTCAGGAGCTATCCCAACTGCTTAGAGTTTGCGGTTCCCCCACCCTTTGGGGATGGTTCCAGTGGCGGTTAGGTATCAAGGGTGTGTTGCAGAGGAGGGTAGCCCTGAAACGGGGTAGGAGTGCTCAAACTCTATCTCCCAACCCACCCCCGCATCCCACACCGTCACGTATGCCAACCACGACCGCCACCTCTCCGCATTCTCCTTAGCTCCCAGCAGCGATGCCTGCACTGACTCTCCCATGTATATCTCCTCCACCCTGCCCTGCATTGTTCAACAAATCCACCTCTCTTTTTCCCCTTCTCATCCTCTCCAAAATTATCCAAAGTTAGGACTTTGCTACTTCAGTGCTTCCAGTTTCTGTCATAGGCCTGCTGTATTCATCAAAGCCCAGACAACGGCCCACAGTGAACTGACTACCGCCACAGCACTGCCTTCTCCAATGGGACTCCTCTGACACTAGGAAAAGTCTAATAAAGGCTTTTGTAAAATTTAGTTTTTTACATAGTTAAAGAATGAGCCACTTAGTGAATTTGAAAATTCAAGAATGGGTCACCAAGCTAAATCAATAAATGTATTTTGAGATCTTGTTAGAAACATTGCCATAAACCATTCTCACTATTTTTACTCTCTTTCCACAGCTCCTTCACACAGCTGAAGATGTTGCAAAGATGCAGGAGGAACTAGAAACAATGCGGCCCCTGCTGGAAGAGGCAGCCCAGGATACAGTGATTACAATGCAAAAGATTGAGGTGTGTTTTGATGTTGCACTATATCTGCCTCAGACAATTGTTTGGTACCACTGTTTTCTGTTTAAGTTATCAGTGCTTAGTTAAGGGCGATGCTATCTTTTACTGTCTTTTCTTATCCTCCACGTCCTGCCTTTTTATCCTATAGTTACACCTATATGAGATCAGATTAATTGCCAAAGCTATTTAAAAGGTAGATAGATAGATAGATACTTATTGCTTTGCATATACAACTCTGGCAGCAAATTCTGTTTAAATTCTTTTTGTTCCACCAAATCTTCTCTCAGGAAGACACAGTTGTGGCAGAGGCCACTCGTCAATCTGTACAAGTCGAGGAAGCTAAAGCCACAGAAAAGGCTCGCATGGCTCAAGAAATTGCGGCTGACGCTCAGAAAGATCTCGACGAGGCTCTTCCCACATTGGATGCTGCCCTGGCCAGTCTGAAATCACTCAACAAAAATGATGTTACTGAGGTGAGGAGCTCAATGGTTATGGTAGCTAGATGTTGGTTGACCTAATGAGAACTGTGAATAGATGTGAAGAATGGAAGAATATGAGGAGAAGGCAAGAATATGAGGTGCTGGAGAATACCTAGAAAGGTAGAGAAGATAAAGGTAAGAAAATAACAAGTTAATTAAAAGCTGAATACTTATAGATTGTCAGCTTTAGACAGAAGTTAATGTGTGTTAAGAGGTTATTGAAAAGAAGGAGATAAAGTAGATGATTTTATGAGAAGAGCATGTGTTTATACTGGATCTTGGCAAAGTACTAGTAAAGCATCACGACAAGAAATATTAGAGAACAGATGTGTAACGAGAGTGTAAAAAGTTCTACTGTGTTACCTTAATAACTATATCTAGGCAGTGGTGTTCTCTGCCTTTCTGTAATAATATATTTAACCTGCCCTCTTCAGGTCAGAGCTATGCAGCGCCCTCCTGAGGGAGTCAAACTTGTAATAGAAGCTGTTTGCATCATGAAAGGAGTTAAACCAAAGAAAATTGCTGGAGATAAACCCGGAAGCAGAATAGATGATTACTGGGAGCCAGGAAAGGGTCTACTGCAAGATCCTGGCAAATTCCTAGAGGGCCTGTTTAAGTATGACAAGGTGAGTTACGGTACTTGTATACATCATATAAAATATGGTATGCAAGCTGAGGAATTAAAGCTGTAGAAAAAACATGGCAAACTAAAGTTTATAAAATAGAAAGATAGACATGTGGTGATAATCCGCGTAACTATGGAATCTCTATATTTAGCCAAGAAAATCTCGATTTTCAAGTCAAATTTCCAAGATAATGTTTAATATCAAAAACCATTGCAGTGGTTGAAGCATTGCTTTGATTCACTTTGGGCACTTAAATAAAGAGACACCACTTTAAAGGATGTGCTGAATTTATTTTTCTTAATTTTGGATGTATATACTAGCTTTGGCAGAGTCAGATTCCTTGCACCCTGGCTGGCAGGTGATGTTTCCCTGTTTCTGTATTTACTTTCAGTTTTGTCCTAATAGGCACACTAGGATGTCTATTCGTGACCTCTTCTCCTGGCATATTTTCTGTTACTCCTGATAACCACTTCTATTTTACTGATCGATCCTGATATTTCTGGTATTAAGTATGCTACACTTAATCTATTATCAATGCCAGAGGTCTTAATATTCCAGAGAAAAGATTCCATGCCCTTAGACCTTTTTAGAGTCAGAAAGCTCAAATTGTTTACGTTGAAGAGACACTTTTTTGGGGGGGTTAAGTTTTGGTACCTATTTTAGGTTCACGTTTTGTACATTAGCATGTTTAGTTTTTTAGTATTATTTATTTATAATAAAATTTATTTATTTTTTCCTTTATTATTTATCAGTTAAGTGCTTTGTCTGCCGGTTATCTTCTGTGTAGATTCAAACACTCATCTCTCAATTTTTTGAGTAGATATCTATACCATTTAGGTACACTTCCTGTGTTCCTTCTATGCTAGCAACTAAAGTCACAGAAGGAGATTAACGTATGCAGGCTAGCAGGCAAAGCTTACTGAGCATCATTAGTAGGAAGTAGAAGGAAAAACAAAGCGAACAAAAGGAACAAATACCTGCTAAACATGAAAGGGAAATTGCTATGCATGCCAAATACTATATCTAATGTTTAGCTTGTGTTCAGACGATTTCATTGACATTACTAACCCCTGCACTGCTCTACCACAACCTATTGGAGGCTTAAAGAAATACACAGAAGTAGATATCTCAGTTTTTCTCTGACAGTGACACAGATTTAATCTCCCTGTTTTCCTTGTGGAAGGCACACAAATGTGTCATGAGAGAGTTTTTATCGCTAAGGGGGCTGAGCCCAAGAGGGCCCAGACAGCCCAGCTTTATCACATAATAGAGGAGATTGGGCAACATGAGGCAATACACAAAAGGACCACTGATCCTTCTCACTTGTCCACTATTACCATGTTAGGGAGAGATCTCTCCTGACTTCTCAATGCCTCGGATCTTGTAGTCCTTCTTTTACACTAATGCTAAGAAATACAGAGCATTATTTGACCCACAATTTCAATAAAATCAGATCTATATATCCAGAATCTGCAATACCAGAAACCAACTCTCATATCTACCAGACAAGACAGCAGAGACATGACTTCTCCTAGCTTCCACAAACAGTGCCCCATTGCTGAGAAAGAACTGTCCCATGCCACTTTGCAGATATCTTGTTTGCTTGCATTATTACAACATTTAATTTAATTTAGGATCGGCTTTCTATTTGGTCTCCAACATTTCCCTAATCCACAAAGAGGATGTAGAGCATCGCTCAAACTATTGGCACATCTCACTCCTAATTTGTGAGTTTAAATTGTGTATGAAAATTCTTTTTAGATGCCAACAACCTTCCCTCCTTGACCCGATTCAGAAGGATCAAGTGGGTTTTGTACTGATATGGGAGGCAAGCTATAACACAATTCAAAACTTGTCCATAGTTCGTCTCGCCTTTCGTCTGCTGTATTAATGTCCCTGGAGTGATAGCCGTGCATTTATGACCTCATTGTTTTGTATTCTAAAGTACAACAGATTTTGGACTCTGAAAATGTGCCCTAATAATCAATGTGTTCACATTTATGGATGCTTTACAGATATGTCTAAAAGATAATGCAATGTGTATATGATTTGCTCTGATATTGGGTACAATATTATTGTGCACTCACTTTCTTTACCTGTATTTAAATTTTTTTAATAAAATTCAGGGAATAAAAACAAAGTTTCTAGAATTCTCAAGAAATGTGTGACTACAACAATGATTATGGATAATTAAATATATTTATATGAAATTGTATCTACGTCTCTAGGACAATATTCCAGATGCAGTCATAAAAGCCATTCAGCCCTACATCGATAACGAAGAATTCCAGCCTGCAGCCATTGCTCGGGTCTCCAAGGCTTGTACCTCTATCTGTCAGTGGGCACGGGCCATGCACAAGTATCACTTTGTGGCTCGAGGTGTAGAACCCAAGCGAGTAAGTACCAAACGGCTACAACTCCACTAAAAAGCCAGAGCTGACACACATTTTACTATACATGCTACACTTCAGTAGACAGCAACACCTGCCTCCATATAGCATAACATCATCTGTAATATCGAATGTTATAGTAAATTGCCATAGTGACACAATTAAATCTTACTAATCTGTCCATAGCAAGCTCTACGGGAAGCTCAGGAAGATTTAGCAGTGACCCAAAAAATCCTAGATGAAGCCAAAGCTCGTCTTGGTGCGGTAGAGGATGGGATCGCAACCTTAGAAGCAAAGTACAAAGACTGCGTGTCCAAGAAAGAAGAGCTGGAACATAAGTGTGAGCAATGTGAGCAGAAATTGGGTCGCGCTGACAAGGTAAGAAAGCCAGATATATAAATGTCCAAGACAAAGGGCAATCCTTCTGTGAAAGCAACTCACGAGGCTGCAAGAAAACTGTATATAAATGTATAACAGATTGATGTTTATTATGGTGTGTGAATCTAGTAAAAAGGCACCTACCATCTACACAGCTGTTAGTATTTAGCACGGACACGTAAGGATTCATGTGATTCCCCTCAGGGTGCCTGTGAAACAGATCTATCATGTTTTCTTGGACACATATGACTCCTACATACTGATGGGTACATACTGAAGTGTAAAATGCTTCAGTACAGTATGTAGAATTCATATGCTACAGGAACGAAATTGATTCATTAATCAAACTGGAATCTCAAAGGAAATGCCTTGTTTGAGAAAGCTAAATACAAGAGGGCAGCGATTTTCATGTACCACCGGACAGTGTGCAGAAGTAGTATGTGTCCGGAAACATTTAATGAAACTGGTAACACTACATGTAACAGAAGTAAGCCTATATGAAGGAGATGGGCACACCTTTGCAAAACCTATATGTGATATATGTGATCAAATAGGATATAAAGCACTATGTGATACAAAGGGTTCAGGAAGATCAGGTTCATAGGTATTCAGTGGAGGATTAAAATTAGGTTATAAAGCTAGGTGTCATGATCCATAAAATCATGCAAAGAGACCCTCATATATAGCTGTTATCTATGGGCAAGTTTTAAATAGCTGTCTGTCAGAAGTTAATAAGCAAAATAATAGCTATGTAGTCACGCAGCAGGGTCTATGAATTTGTCATAATACTTGAGAAAGTGTCATTTGCCTTTAAATACAAAACATTAAGTTATGACATTTGGTCATGAGACTCCTACTAAACCAGACATTAGTTCATGGGCAATCTGTATCTAGTTTACTTAACCTGAGATGTCTGCCTTTCTGTGAGAAGATATACTAAATACTTCAGATCCCCTGTTATTCAAGGATTAATGGATTGTTTTCTTTAGAAAGTAAAAACACAAACAAACCCAACTGATGTAAATTGATATTCATACTTTTTGTTTCTATTCACCATGTTGCGCATATCCGTGTCTGCTCACTTTACTGTCTCGTGGCATCTTTCTCTGTTGGCTTTATGTTCTTGTCAGTCATCTCTCGCTCTCTTTCTTCCTTGTCCGTGGTGATAGCTCATCTCTGGCTTGGCCGAGGAGCGCCAACGTTGGCAGGATACCGTTGTAGATCTAGAGAACCTTCTGATCAATGTCACTGGAGACCTGCTTTTGTGCGCTGGGTTCCTTGCCTATCTGGGGCCATTCACGGTGAGAAAACCTACATGTGATACCCTTTGTGTATTAATTTATACCCAAAGCATCTTATATCTTTTATGCATGTGCGTCTATGGATTTGTCTATATATTTATACTAATACATATTACGGCTGATCAACCTATTGTTCCTGTAACATTTTGTACTTGTTTCATTTATTGTTAAATTTCCTCCTCCTATAATATTGTAAAGTGCTGTGGAATATGTTGGCGCTGTATAAATCTAACAAATAATAATAATACTTCTAGTGTTGCATATTAGTAAAAAGTTGATTCTGGGTATTACTGTGCATTGCTACTACTGTAAATGTGTTTTATTGGCATGTATACATTGATCATATATGGGTGCTGTTTTTTCATGTATATCATTTGTCTCTATAGGGTCCGTATCGAATGGCACTTTTTGTCCAGTGGACTAAGAAAATGAAGGAATTGAAAGTTCCATGCACAGATGAGCCATCCTTGATAGGGACACTGGGTGATCCAGTAAAAATTCGCTCCTGGCAGGTGAAATAAATCTAAATGACAAGAAATCGTGATGTACTGCATTTACTCGAGAAACTGTAGTACAATGGGACAATAGGTCATAGTGAATGTGGCTGATGAGTCTGAGATAGTGATCATGAAGAATTAACAGATCATCGAGAATGTTTTCTAAATGCTAAAGGGTGTTATGAATCCTTTGTCTTCCCAGATTGCTGGGCTCCCGAATGACAACCTATCTGTGGAGAATGGAGTAATAACTCAGTATGCCCAGTGTTGGCCTCATTGCATTGACCCTCAAGGACAGGCTAACAAATGGATCAAAAATATGGTAAGGAGATAGTGAACTATCTGGGAATGTCTGGGTTAAAACAAGTAAAGTCTCATTGGTAGGCCTGGAGAGCAAAGTGAGGTTTATGTAGAGAATTACAAAGTAGAGATGCTCATGCAGAGGTAGCAAAAGGTGATCTGTATGATAAGGATCTAGACTTAAAGAAGAGTCAACATGAATTGCATAAAAATTCATATTTTTTGTGATGAACTATACAAGAATATTACTGATATAAATTGACGATAAACTGTTTGGATGCACCAAATGCAATATACAAATATACTTTGCAAATGTCCAACTTTCTGTTTTATGGCTACACCCTTGCAGGAGAAGAATAATTCCTTGGATGTTGTGAAGCTCAGTGACCGTGACTTTTTAAGAAGTTTGGAGAATGCAATACGTTTTGGAAAACCATTTTTGATGGAGAACGTTGGAGAGGAGCTAGATCCTGCTCTAGAACCTGTGTTACTCAAACAAGTAGGCAACAAACACTTTATCCCAATTTGATGCACTGCCACCCATTTTTTTGAAATGGGCTGCTTATCAGATATTGACATGTACCAGATATTTCACCTTCACCTCTGTACTGATCATTTACTGTTTTACAGACATACAAGCAGCAGGGGAGCACAGTACTACGTTTAGGTGACACCATCATCCCATACCATGATGACTTTAGAATGTACATCACCACCAAGTTACCGAATCCTCATTATCCCCCGGAAATAAGTACAAAGGTTACACTTATCAACTTCACTCTCTCTCCAAGGTAACATTTTAAGTTATTTTTATTAAAAATAATAAAATAAAATATATATATTTATATATATATATTCATATCCATATATATGTCAGTACAGCTCTATCTATCTTGAGCTGTCTTCACCTCTTCTGTAAATTATTCCTTTTTTTAAATATATATATTCTTTAGTAAATATTTTTATGCTATGCAATAAACGGCCTTCACTGATTTTACATATGGGCAAAACCTGTTATTTATAGATCAAAGGAAAAAAACAAGTTCCACCACAACAAGTTATGCTTCATATTAGGTTTGGGATAAGAATAATTAAAGGCCATCAAATGTATTAACAATCATACATGTACAAATACATTACATTACATTGGACAAGAAAATACAAACTTTTATCTCTAAAATGCCCGGGAGAGGAGAGAATTTACTATATAAAGGTTTTAAATATATCTGATCATTTAGGCTAATTTATTAACTACCTTCACCAATTTGTTTGTTTCTTATCCTGTCCATTGATATAAACCAAAAAAAAATAAAAAAAATTTAAGTTTATTTTAAGAATCTTCTATAATTACCTATTGGGCTTTTCTGCTAGGTCTATTAGTTCCCTGCATGTGTTCCAAAGAGATGACTTCTTACTCATATTTTGTATACTAAACGTTTGTTCCATTTTAATCTGGAAATTAAGTTGATTTTTAACTTGTACCCAAGGGATGGGGTTTCCATTTTTTCAGTTTCTAGCTATAACTATTTTTGTGGCTTAAAATAAATGAGTTATTGTTAATTTGATCTCCAGGGGCATAGGGGGCTAGTTTAGATGAAGTAAAACTACTAATGGGGATAGTATCAGTTCAAAATTTAGATTTGTTAAAATAAATTGATGTAATTCTTCACATATTTTTTATTTTATTTTATACAATCCCACCAAATATGTAAATTTGTTCCTGTAGATAACCCACATCTCCAGCATAGATGATCTTCTGTAGGAAACATCTTGCTCATTTTTTCTGGAACTAAATGCCATCTGCTAATTACTTTAAAATGGGATTCTGTTAGATTTAAAGAATGTGTGATTTTAAAGACATTTATCAACGAAGAACCCCAATTTTCCATTTCCATATTGATGTTCAGTTCTTTTTTCTAAGTAGTTAAAGCTGTAGGTATCTTTTCTTTATTCAGGGATCTGCTCAAAAACAAAGCTTTTGAGAACAGTTTCTCTAAAGAATGTGAATTGAATATTTTTTATTATTCTATTAACTGAAGAAAACTCTGATTTTTATTAAATGGGACCTTAAAAACTTTTAATTCTTAAACAGTTGAATAATTCTTTTGATGGCAAATTAAATTCATTCATCAGTTGTAGAAAAGGTTTGAGTACTTCATTTGTTAATAGCTGTCTAATAAGTCTATAAGAGATATAGGGCGGTAATTTCTAACTGATTTTGTTTTAGGATGGGTAAGATGTTTGCCCTGGCCATTTCTGCCGGAAATGAACCTATTTTGGCCGCATGATTAAAAGTATTTGTTAAATGGGGACTGATCTGTTCTGTATATAACTTATAAAATAGATTACTAAATCCAACTGGACCTGGGGTTTTAAATTTTTCTAAATATAGCTTGTTTTACTTCTTCGGTATTTATCTCTTTGTTTAAAGAAAGTCTATTTGAATCAGTAATTTTAGGTAAATTTGAATTGTTAAGATATTGTTTAATATCCTCAATAGTAGTAGTTGACCGTATATTATACGGTTTACTATAAAACTAATTTAATTGTTGACCTATTTCATTAGGTGTTTCTAAAATTCTATTATTATCTATAAGTTTTTCCACTTTGTTTCCACTATAAGTTTTTCCAAATTATTCCAAGAATCTGTAACTATTTCTACAAACATCTACTTACTCAGCATAAAGACTGTTGGTAAGGACTTTATGCACCTTCTGCGTACATTGCTTACATATGCAAACAGATGTAATTTACCCTGCTGTCAGTGTGTCTTGAGCTAGTTGCAAGACAAACACCATCATGCCCATTTTATAGCTATAGCCTCTCCTAGGCTCCTAACATATGATAGAAGCCTCTACCCCTTCTGTCTAACCTAGCATCTTCCCCAATCCAATGTGTTTCTAGTTTATTTGCTAATGTTTCTGTTGCCTCCCCGACAGTGGCTTGGAGGATCAGCTACTTGGGCAAGTGGTGGCTGAGGAGAGACCTGATTTGGAAGAAGCTAAGAATCAGCTGATTTTATCAAATGCTAAGATGCGTCAGGAGCTGAAAGAAATTGAGGACCAGATTTTAATGCGCTTAAGCTCCTCACAGGGAAATCCTGTAGATGATGTGGACCTCATCAAAGTTCTGGAGGCCTCTAAGCTGAAAGCTGGGGAAATCAAAGTAAGCAAAAATTAGAGGACAAAGAGTCTGTTATTGAGATTGAGTAACTGTGTGGCAATCAGATAATACATTATATAAATGTCTCAATAGTTAATAACTAGTGCACATGTTTATTTCTTCACTAAACTGGGAATTGTTGAGAACAGACAATGGAATAGTCGAGCTTGAAAATTGGCTGAGTTGAGTTTAGTTTTTGTGCCCTAATGCTTTCTTTGCATATACTTAACACCTTCAGATACTGAGAGCCAAACACCCAAAAGCATGTTTTGTATATGGTGTTTATTGCATATATTAGTGTACATCTTTTTCATTATATTAATGTTCTGATTGATGATCTTCCAAAATGCTTTGTGTTTTCTCAGTCAAAAATGGTTGTGGCAGAGCAGACGGAAAGAGATATAGACATCACCAGGCATCAGTATGTCCCAGTGGCTGTCCGGACACAAATCCTCTTCTTCTGTGTCTCAGATTTGGCCAATGTGGATCCTATGTACCAATATTCGTTGGAGTGGTTCCTTGGCATCTTTTCAGCATCTATTGCTAACTCTGAAAGAGCAGGTAATGTTACAGAGTACAAACTGCCTTCCATGCACAAGAAAAAAAAAGTAAATAGTGGGGGACATAAGACATAGAGTGGAAAAGGGGAGAAGTGGTTATGAGGGAAGGGGTTGTGGACAAGATGCCCAATTACGGGAGGTGGTGTGAAGAGCCCAGTATTTTCATCTTCTCTGCATATTAAGGGTTGTTTCTCACTTGTTATTTATTTAGAAAAATGCACATTAGGTGCAGGGCAGAAAATGCGTTTAGAAGTGGTTAACCAGGGTATAACCCCGGAGTTCAAATATAGAAAACAAATGAGAACTGGTCTCAGACAAAAAACTGGTACCAGGACTCGCAATGTTACCACTATAGATATTCAGGTCCTATCTGTAGCAAAATAAAAAAAAAACCAAAAAAAAACTTTATTGACGTATAGTAGTGGCAATGACGTATAGTAGTGCCACATAAAATAAAAATGAACCACAGATAAACACTTAATTGTGATAGTGTCACACACAGGGAAAATCAAAAGTGATTAAAAAGGGAACCAATTGCTTTCAAGGATGTACATAAGGTAGTGAAAACACTAGATGTAATATTTAATAGAGTGTATCATGAAATTATTGTAACCATAGGCGTGCGCACGGGGTGTGCTGGGTGTGCCTGGGCACACCCTAGTCCCCGCGGCACGCCTGTGAGTCCTGCAGGAACGCGTGGGAACGGCGTTCCCGCTGTTTCTGCAGGCACTCTGCCGCCCCCAAATGCCCTCCTCCTCCCCTGTGTTCCCCCTGTCATTGGGGGGGTTGCCAAGAGGTGATACCCCCCTCCCCCGTCGCGCACGTGCCTCAATCTCAGCCGCGGCGAGGGAGCTGTGTGCTCTCTGCTCCCTCTTGCCGCGCGGGCTGGCTGTCTGCTGTAGCTGGGAGCCGGAATATGACGTCATATTCCGGCTCCCTGCATCAGCAAACGGCGCGCGGCGAGAGGGAGCAGAGAGCACACAGCTCCCTCGCCGCGGCTGAGATGGAGACAGGCGCCCACCATACTGGAATGTATGTGTGTGTGTCTGAGTATGTGTGTGTATGTGTGTCTGTGAATGTATGTGTGTGTGTCTGCGAATGTATGTGTGTGTGTCTGAGTATGTGTGTGTCTGTGAGTGTATGTGTGTGTACGCGTGTGTATGTGTGTAAGTGTGTGTCTGCACGTATATATACACAAGTGTATATAATTTCTTTGGGGGGGTGGGAATCTTGGGAGAGTTCCCACCCTTTATTCCCCAGGACTTGACCCCTCACACAAACAGCACACTCACACACAGCACACTAACAACACCCTCACAAATACATGACACAAACAGCACCCACACAAATACATGACACAAACAGCACCCTCACAAATACATGACACAAACAGCACCCTCACACAGCACACTAACAGGAGCCTCACACACAGCACACAAACAGCACCCTCACACACAGCAAACAAACAGCACCCTCACACACAAACCACACCCTCACACACAGCAAACAAACAGCACCCTCACACACAAACCACACCCTCACACACAGCACACAAACCGCACCCTCACACACAGCACACTACCAGCACCCTCACACACACATCACACTAACAGCACCCTTATACACACAGCACCATCACACAGCAGTGTATGTGTGTGTGTTTGTGTGTGTACATATATATATATATATATATGTATATATATATATATATATATACATACATACATGTGGCGTGTGTTTGTGCTTTAGGGTGCACACCCTAATGCAATAGGCTGCGCACACCAATGATTGTAACCAAAAGTTATCCACCTGGCTGTTTGATACAAAAACAGTGTTGCCAGGTTAAACAGTGTCACTTAATAGTATCTGTTTCCTTATGAATTCTAGGCTATATTAGGTGCACAGTAGCTATAATAAAAAATAGTAAATGAGATAGCACTTAACCAGTTGTAAGCCAGATTACAAATCCATAAGTACTATTCAACATAACAAGATGCCTCCTAAAAATATCCAATCTAGTATAATTTAGAATAAATGCCAGGGGTAAAAAATATATACCAGATAATATATCACAGTAATACTGCATTTGTATCTAATATACAGCTACCACAGAAATAGATAGGGAACTGGGAGATGAATAGGGAGTAAAAAGGTCTAGTGTGGGAAAATACCCAATAAAGTTTCTTGTTTCTTGATAAATAACATACACCAATCCACCTCCTCCACCCGCCTTACTACTTCATGTCAGTCCCCCTCAGCATCTAAACTAATAGTGAATAAAGAAAATTACATGAAAGCAAAATTAATTGGAATCCCTGAATAAAAGAATGAGTAGCATCCTCTCAATGCACGTTTCGGCACTCAAATGTGCCTCAGCCTCTGAGATGAAGTGGTCTGGGTGACTATAGTGTCCCTTTATGTGACACTGTTTAACCTGGCAACACTGTTTTTTGTATCAAACAGCCAGGTGGATAACTTTTGGTTACAATCATTTCATGATACAATCTACCCCCAAGCTCTTAAATATTACATCTAGTGTTTTCACTACCTTATGTACATCCTTGAAAGCAATTGGTTCCCTTTTTAACCACTTTTGTTTTTCACTGTGTGTAACACTATCACAATTAAGTGTTTATCTGTGGTTCATTTTTATTATTTGTGGCATTACTATACGTCATTGCCATCTAATAAAGTTTTCTTTTTTTTCAATTTTGCTACACATAGGACCTGAATATCTATAGTGGTAACATTGTAAGTCCTGGTACCAGTTCTTTGTCTAAGACCAGTTCTCACTTTTTTTTTTTATAACAACCAGCATATGCACCATCAGCATTTTCTTCCCCAATATGAACTTAATATATGGGTTCTCCGTTTCATATTCATACATTCTTGTATAAACATAAACACCACTGATAACAACCTTGTACAACACATGGCAAGCAGTTTGTAGCTGTTTCACCTTGTCCTCACTGAATATTCTGTTTTGCTTGAATAATGGATCTCAGAGGCATGAACAGTACTAGACTTCTTTCACATGACGACTATCATCAGTGTCACACATTAACACCCTGTATAATCCTGTGCCCTGCTCTGCCCTGTTTGCTACACAAAGCCCAGAATATCACGGGAAAGGTATTCACAGATGATACAGTAATGTATACAGTCAGACATGTCTCACAGGCCTCTTTCACCCCATGTAACACTATGGTATTGTCATGTTTGTACAATGGATAAAGGCAAAACAGTGAAGGGGTGAGAACTGAAATATATATTGGAGTAATAGAAATAGATTAATTTATTGATAATAGGGATATGGCTGATTATAAATAATCATGAACATGCTTTAAGATTTGCCCTCTTATTGGCTGTTTCAGATACGGTGGAAAAAAGAATACAAAACATAAACTCGTTTTTCACCTTCAGCTTGTTCAGTAACGTGTGTCGCAGTCTATTTGAGAAACATAAACTCATGTTCTCCTTCCTGCTTTGTGTGCGAATCCTCATGGAGCAAGGACTTATTAATATGGTGAGTGTTTGAGTTCATGCTCAAAATGCTTTGGCAAAGTCTCAGCCACATGGGCTGTAGTCAGTGGCGTACATACCGCGTTTGCAGGGGTCGCAGCTGTATGTATGTGTGTGTGTATGTATGTGTCCATTGGCAGGGGTGTATGTGTGTGTGTGTGTCTGTATGTATGTGTTGGGGGGGGTGCCACGGATCAGTTTTGCACCGGGGCCCCATGGATTGTGTGTATGCCACTGGCTGTAGTGGTATCAGCAGTGAGTGGAATGGATTTATAATATTGCTGCCTTTATTACAGTGCAGGATGGTTATAGTGCTTTTTATAATGGTCCTGGAACTTGGGGTTAAGGGGAACATAGAGAGAATTAACATCTACAGTAGCACGTTGTATTTCAAACTATCTTTGCATTTGATATAATTTACTGTCAGTCTAGATAGTATACCCTTGGGTAAATCTGTATGACATACTTAGGCCAAACCTGTAACTCAAACTTATAAGAGAATCTTCCATTAGGGAGATAAACAGTTATTTTAATGAATTTACAGCTAGGAGTGGCAAACATGGGGGAGGAGTGGCAAACATGGGGGAGGAGTGGGAGGCACAAGAAACATTTGTGGTATACAATTTAGAATTAGTACACTATAGATAACAATGATAACATTATTATAATAAAGTAATAATCTAGTGGCAAAGGTGAAAGAATTCTGGTGCAGCATCTTCTGAATTTCAATCTGTACCTTAAAGTAACAGCATTCAATTGAAGAGGCTAATTGCAGAGATGGTTTGGGAATTTTCAATCCAAGATATAATAACACTGTTGTTTTGTCTTACAGGACGAATGGCGTTTCTTGCTGTCTGGTGGCATAGCATCCACACTGGTTGAAAATCCATGTCCTGAGTGGCTGCCTGAGCGTGCTTGGAGGGACTTACAAGCTTTAAGTGCACTGAACAACTTCAGCAAAGTCACCGAACAAATCGCACAACATAGTGCAGAGTACAGAATAATCTGTGACAGCCCGGAGCCACACCGGTAAGAAGAATATGAAATTAGATTAACATTTTTTTAATGGATGATATAGATATTTAATTAGTAAAATGATTATTAATAATTCATAATTATATATGCAAAAAGAAAAAAAGGTCCTGCTTTTTGTGCAAAGTGTCAGATATTACAACCACACTGTTTAGCTCTGCCCTTTCATTTTGGACCATAAACATGTCTTCAGTGCAGTCCAGTTGGGAAGATCTTTCTATCTGTCCAACTTGACTGCATAGCTTTAGTGGGCCCTTGCAGGTCCTGCTGCTTGAACAGGCCACTTACTGCAGCATGTCCTGTACCTCCTGATCGTGGCCCTGATCAAGAGTCAGGAGACAGAAAACTAAACAAATGTAATAGTATTTAACTAAAGGGCTATGGCCATTACAACTTTTCAAAGTGACATACATTATATGATATATATAAGTATATCAAAAGTTATTTTACATAGATATTTCCCCTGCAAAGCATGCATTTATTCAGATGATGAAAGTGACTCAATGCGAAAACTTAATTGTAATCAATGAACGGGACTAAAACTAAGGGTTCAACATTGAATCTGCTGTTTTAAACTCATCTAAGCAATTAATGACCAAGGTTAGCATGAAGGTAGAAATGTCACTATATTACTTCAGGTTTATCTACAAGGTGTTGTGTTTATGTGCCGTTACACAAGTTTTATTATTAAAAAAAAATTCTTCAGTTCCACAAGTCTAGCATTAGACATGGTTTTTAAATTATTAAAATATCTTCTGCTTATGTGTTACCTTTTAGGGAGCCACTTCCTGGGGAGTTGGGAACATTTCTGGACTCTTTCCAAAAGTTACTTATTCTGCGATGTATTCGCGGGGACAAACTGACAAATGCCATGCAGGACTACGTGTGTCAGCACCTGGGACAGCGGTTCATAGAACCACAGGTACCATACAACATCAACTAAAGTGGGAGGAGCTTGCTACAGAGGATGTAGATACTATGTTGACATCTGGGGCTGGGCATAGTTTGGTCCTCCTTCAAGGTGTGGTGGTCATGGAGTTACTATGAATGGATTGACAACCGCCTGACCCTAGCACATTATCAAATTCAATTTAATTTTGATGCTTAATTTGGCCCACACAGAATGGGAAATCAATGCATCTTATACAATGTCTAATATACCAACCCTATCCTGGGAATGTTACAAAGACAAATGTCTAGAAACAAATATAACTTGCAACAATGTGCACATATGAATTGAAGTATTATGCATATATGGAAACCAGAGACTGGCATACAAAATGATGAATCAGAAAAACAGTGTTGGCAGCAAAGGCCATTACTGAAAAATGCAAATACAAAACATAAAAACTAACACATTGCACCCCAGCCCCTTAAAGCACTTTAGCTTACTGAAGGGCATTGTATGTGAAGAGTGTGTCTTCTGTTTTTTCATTTTACAAACAGTGCAGATTTCAATAGAAATTGGCACTTTTATAAATTAACCTTGTTACACTCCTCTGGCTGTCATTTTTAGACAACCAATCGTTACTTCCTGGTTTCGTTGACCCAGTGGAATTAAAGTCAAGAAGCAGGCAATTGCTCAGAGCACACCTGCATTACACATACTTCTTATTGAACTGCATTGGGAAGTCTGTGATTGGGCAGTCACAGTCCTTTTGGGCTGGGGAAGAAGGGGATGGCTTACAAAGGCTGCAGACAAAAGATCTGCAGCTGTTGCAAGCTGTTTCTAAATATACCCCAATGATAAAATGCATAATTAAATGCATGCCTGTTTTATTGGAGGTATATTTTTATCTTATCTTTTCTTGTATTTGGGCAGTGGAGTGTACCTTTAAGGGGGAACTAAAACTGCTGGAAACTCTTTGTGCACGCAGTGTTTTGTAAACAGCTCTGTGCACAATGAATTAAAAACGCAAGGCAAATACCAGCCTGGATCCATTCTTCAGTTCTTCGTGCATATCCTAATGCATTAATATATATTTATTTAATTTTAGACAGCAGACCTGGGAGCTGTGTACAATGAATCGTCTCCTGTCACTCCTCTGATCTTCATCCTATCTCCTGGCACTGACCCAGCTGCAGATCTCTACAAATTTTCTGAAGAGATGAAATTTTCCAAAAAACTAACAGCAATATCATTGGGACAAGGACAGGTACACTGCTTAATACTTATAGAAACTATCCAACATAAGTGACAGTGTTGTTTCATACCTAACCCAAACACATATACCTTTTACCATTATTATGACTTCTGCTAGTGCTCAATGGTCTACTTTCTTATTCTGCCTGTAGGGTCCTCTAGCTGAAGCAATGATGCGCAGCTCAATGGAACGTGGAAAATGGGTCTTTTTCCAAAATTGTCATCTGGCTCCCAGTTGGATGCCTTCATTGGAGAGACTAATAGAGAGTATTGACCCAGACAAGGTATTTTCTTTCTTCACGGCACTCTCGCACCATCCATGATGCCAAAATGACACACACTGGTTCCTGTGCCAACCTTTTTATTGTATTTTCAGGTGCATCGGGATTTCCGCCTATGGTTGACCAGCATGCCCAGTAACCAGTTTCCAGTGTCCATTCTGCAGAATAGTTCAAAACTCACGATTGAGCCTCCACGTGGAGTAAAGGCCAATCTGTTGCGTACTTACCTAAGTCTTAGTGATGCAGAGCTGAATGAGAGCAGTAAGGTGCAGTTTGGGTTTTGTTTACTTCAACTTACACGATAAGACTAATGTAAAATCTTCTTCCTCCTGGAACTTACCGTAGTGAGCGGTTATTCCGTAAACTTGGAGAATTGACAAATGATCTGATAAGTTGGGAAGCTCTGCTGGGGACAGTGGTTCTCAGAACAGTCCCAAGATAAGCATAACTCGGTTTTGTTACTGTCCCCATTCAAACAATGTTGGTCCTTAAGGAAGAACCAATAATGTAAGGAATGGGTTGTTTCTGTCCATGCAGCCCTAGACACATCTCCCCTGGCTGTGACTTACAATTGTAATAAATTGTAACAATTGTAATAAAAATATATTTTATTTTTTCTAAAAAAAAGTAAGTATAAACAGAAAACAAAATAAAAATAGAAACAATAATGTACAATGGAAGACAGTGTGTGTTTCAGCAAAACCCTCTGCCTTTCCTTTGTCGAGGGAAATAACACTCTCAGGCTTATTTGCTAAAGTGAGAATTATGGGGAATTCAGAGTGAAATTAAAATTTAAGGACAAAATAGCCAAACTGGAAAAATTCTCCAAGTCAGCTATGCTTGCAGTTTGGCTATCTTGGCCTTATATGTGAAATTCATTGTGAATTTCTGGCCATTCTCACTGTAGTGAATAACCCTGCAATGCCTGTATAAAAGCAGAGGGTTTTGCCATATTGTCTCTGTACTCCCATTGTAAGTTTATTACTTGTCTTCATTTTTCTTTTCCATTTCTGCTTTCAAAACGTTAAACCGTAAACTTGGTATTCATTGATTTTGGTGCTTATTGTAAAAATATAATTTTATTTCTGTTCTAGTGTGTAGCTCTGTTGTTTTTTGTTTTCAAATAAAAATAGGAGCCATTGCAGGATTTTCTTTACAGTTATAAATTCGAAACTAGGTTAGGCAATAGACTTTTTCCAGAACCAAACAGAACTTGTAGGGGTCATGCAGATTCAGAAGATGCATACTAATCCTATTACAATATGTGAGAGGATTAGGGCTTTAGTATAGTGAATAAACAGGCTAACGGCAATATGATTTTTCAGTCTTATCATATATTTATGGCTCTCAACCAACAGGCTCCTCAGTATAAGACCCTACTGCTGTCTCTCTGCCTCTTCCACGGAAGCACATTAGAAAGAAGAAAGTTTGGACCATTAGGATTCAACATACCTTATGAATTCACAGATGGAGATCTCAGAATTTGCATCTCTCAGCTCCGGATGTTCCTTGAGGAGTATACAGACATTCCATATAAGGTATCAATGTCAGGCATTGAATGTAAGAATACTATGCTGATCATAAGTATGGCAGGTTGTAGCAAAACAAACAGGAGAACACATATACCAGCATAAATATCTTGACCATTAAAGCAGATCTGTCACTTCGGGGTTCTTTGCATAGTTCACAAAGACCACCTAAACTGACAGTTCTAATGTTGGCCAGTGTGTAGACGAGAAGTTTTACTTAACTTACATCAGTTTAGTCCCTGGCAGCCTCCGTCATCTTCGTCCTGCTGTCTTCTTCAGCTCCTGGTGCTTCAGTTGCCAAAAGCTATGCAAGTGTTGTACTCTTGCACATACTTGAGACCTGTCCATAGACAGAACCTGAATCCCACAACTGTCATTTGTGATCGCTGCTCGGACTGGACAAAAGTTGATGACGGAGCTCAACTTTTGTCAACCTTTACCAGAAGACAAAGCAGTCCTTACTTTGTCTTATATCATCTTGAGATTGTGTTGGAATTTCAATGAAATTCCAACACAGTCTTGATCAATGTTTTATAAAGAAAATATAATTATTAAATATTGAAAATTGACAGATCCACTTTAAGCAAACAAGTAAGGGTGCACTAGTCTGTGGCCATTAAGGTAGATCCTGATTTTTCTCTTATCCTAAAAGGTCCTACGTTACACTGCTGGAGAAATTAACTACGGTGGACGCGTCACTGATGACTGGGATCGACGTTGTCTCCTGAGTATTTTGCAGGACTTCTATCAGCCACCAGTTCTAAAAGAAGAACACAAGTTCTCAGAGTCTGGAGTGTATCATCAAATAGACCCAACACATGACTTGAATGTGAGAACCATAGACCAGTACATTATTTCACATACAACTTTGTCAGTCTATTTGTTTACTTTACCCATAGTTATACCTGTTACTATGACAGTCTGAGTATGTTATGTCACTGGAGGGTTTAAATTTATTATAGAAATTCAAAGTTTTTATTTTTGGTGTTTCAGGGTTATCTACAGTACGTCCGTTCACTTCCACTTAACGATATGACAGAACTGTTTGGACTCCATGATAATGCCAACATTACATTTGCTCAGAATGAAAGCTTTGCTTTACTTGGCTCACTTGTGAAATTACAGCCCAGAGCACAGGCCGCCGGTGGGAGCCGTGATGAGGTCAGTTGGGAAGAAAGTCTTTGGGGTTTGCATGGGAATGTGACAGGGTTTGTCTAACTCTAAACAACCATTCATGCATGACATTCTCCAATAGATGGTGGAGGAGATTGCAGGAGGCATCCTGCAGAAAGTCCCCAAACCCATTCCTGTGCAGGAAGTTATTTTAAAGTACCCGGTTATGTATCAGGAATCTATGAATACTGTATTGGTTCAAGAGGTTACGAGGTAAGCATGCAAGAGAAATGAGATGGCTTTTGCACGACTGTAAGATTTGTTTACACATTGTCTTCATCTCTTCAGGTACAATCGCCTCCTGTCCACACTCTCACAGACACTGAGTGACTTGTTAAAAGCTATGAAAGGTCTAGTCGTCATGTCTTCTCAACTGGAGCTCATGGCAAACAGTCTCTATAACAACTTTGTGCCACAAATCTGGAGCTCAAAGGTAAGCACAGACCAGTCCACTCTGCCAACCAAAGCTTCACCATGAAAAGTATGGGACAGTTTCAGCTCTTCATCTGTGGTATATTGCTGCCACAGATGAAAAGCTTTGATTTTCAAAGTGTTTAGAGGGATATTCTGAACTAAAAATAAACATTGCCGTTTCTCGGAAACAGCAGTGTTTTACATTGCCAGAGAAAAGTGACAGCATCCGTGTACCAAAACCAGTACAGGAAGAGTGTCACTTTTAAATATCAATGTACTTTTCAGGGCAAAACAATTTGCTTTTAAATAAAAAAAAAAAAAAAAATGTCATCTATATGTGCGTAAATAGCCAACTACCTAATAGCAATACCTTTATTGATCCTTGTGTAAAACAACTCTATAACTTATTAAAATGGTGAGAATTGTGTATACAAGGGTTGAGGTATGGAATCATCCCTCTGCCTCCTAGTTATACAGTTATTGGGACTGAAGGAGTTAATAAGTGCACTGATTTGCTGCACATTTCAACTTTTACTTGTGTTGTTAATTTTCTTTTCTTCATTTATATCACAGTGTGAGATATTTGTTGTAATAATTCTCTTTTCCATAGGCATATCCATCTCTAAAACCTCTGGCCTCCTGGGTCCTAGATTTACTGCAGCGGATAGAGTTCCTCCAGAAATGGATCTCTGATGGTATACCTGCCGTGTTTTGGATCAGTGGGTTGTTTTTTCCACAGGCATTCCTAACTGGTACTTTGCAGAATTTTGCCCGGAAACATGTCGTTTCCATTGACACAATCTCCTTTGAATTTAAGGTGAGAGGCACTCCTGTAGCAAGAGTTTATGTTCCTCATACTGAACTTTTTCTTTATAAATGAAGTCCGTGTTCTAGCTTCAAGGGACATCCCAGACACCTAAAGCACTTGAGCTAACTGAAGTGCATTAGGGATTTGAGTCGGTCATATGTGACAAAATTTGCCACTTTTAAATAAATGTCACAGAAATGCCATCCAAGCCTCGGATTGGTTTATTCACCAGCACATAATGAAAGTCTGCGTCAAGAAGAGAATGGAGGGCTTTCAAAGGCTGCAGAGCAGTTCTGTAGCTTTTGCAAACTGATTTTTCAAATATTCCAGAGAAAACATGTAGGAAAAATACATGCATGTATTCTTGAGGGTACTTGTGTATAACATATATTCAATGCACTGAATGGTGTCTATTCACAGTGATACCAGTAAGCTGTACTGAGGTCACTAAAATAGTAACACTTTCCGTATTGTTGCATTGAATATATGTTCTATGGCAAGCCTTTGCAACAATACGGAAAGTGTTACAACTTTAGAGATACATCATTATACACGGAGATTATCAATGCATAATATCATACCAATTTCTGGAAATTGTATAACTGGCAGTTGCCCTATTAAGCCAACCACCACATAGGATACATTTTGGCTCTATCTTGTTGAGTCCCTAAAAAAGACTCAGTGGACAGTTTGAGTCCTGCACCAGTCAGTTATTATTGAGGATATATCTACGTAATTGTTCAAAATAAAGTGTTCCTTTTAGTCTGCCCTTAAGTGAGCAACTGTCCTTTGTGTCTCAAAGGTTCTCAAGGAGTCAGTTATAGAGCTGAAACAGCGCCCAGCTGAAGGCTGCTATATTCATGGCTTATATCTGGAAGGAGCACGGTGGGATAAATCAACAATGATGTTGGCAGAGTCCCATCCCAAAGAGCTTTACACAGAGATGGCAGTCATATGGCTAGTCCCCATTCCTGACCGTAAACCTATAACATCTTCAATATATCTGTGCCCCATTTACAAGACTCTAACCCGAGCAGGTGAGATGGTCATGACAGCTCTCCCATGTTTTGTGCTTGATGAGACCTGCATAGTATAATGCCTTCACAACAATCTCTTTTATTACAGGAACACTTTCTACTACGGGGCATTCCACCAACTACGTTATTGCTGTTGAACTTCCCAGCAGCAAGTCTCAAACCCACTGGATAAAACGTGGAGTTGCACTTATCTGTGCCCTGGATTATTAACTGTACATTTTAGTCTATTATTAATAATTAATTTATGGAATTTGTCTACTTTGGAGTTGATGGTTGGATGAAAATCCACAAAGAAACCAATCCCTAAGTTCATTACAATAGACATGCCTGTTACCACATCTGGCACCTTGGATCCTGTTGAGATAAATTCTTAAACCTAAGATCGAAGGAAAACTTATCAATTTTATTTATATTTTGAGGCACATACATTCTATTCTAGCCTTTTCTTTAATGATTTATATTGGGTTTATCTGAATTTTTTTCTGACACTTTCTCCTGCCTGCACAGTCATTTTGTGTGATTTTGAGTCAGAAACAACCCTTTTCCAATTCAAGATCACTCTCACCTGCCAGTCTGTTGTGTATTAAGAGAGCAGTGCACAATGCTTCTCACCTCTACATGTCACACAGTTTCAGAACAGAGGAATATTGAAGCGGGCTGTGAAAACGGTCAAGCTGTGCACAGCTTTGGGAACAAGCAGGCAAGAGTGACTTTGGTTCTAAATGGTTAATTCTGACCCATGCTTACTCAATGTCTCGGCAGACAATGACAAGAACATTCTAATGAAAATTCAGCACATATTAAAGAAAAAGAAGCATAAACTAAAAGTGTGCCTCAATCACAAAAATAAAAGTCTGTTAACAGATGGCTCTAACAAGCTTTTCAGTTTGTCATCTTGTCTTACTTGTAGTGAAGTTTAATTGCGTCATTGGTTACAAAAATTTTGATCTAACCTGCACCATAAAGAGTTGAGAACCAGATTTAAACAAGAGAACATACAACCTTATGCATACAAAAGTATCTATTATCTATATTACAACAACGCTGGTGAAGTGTATCTTTGTGGTTTTGTGCACAAAGCAAAGTCACAGATCTTTAATGTATCATGTAATCAACTCTACTATGTTGCACATGCACAACACACTACAAGACAATACTGTTTTACAGTGTTTATTATGTCAAGACAAGTTGTAAGTTTAAATAGTGCCATGGTGTGTTCCTCAAGGCAATATGAAATTCAGGACAATTAAAGGGAAAAGTCAGTTTTAACTTACAGTCATTAAGATGGGACCCGCCCACAGTGCAAAACTAGCAATGGTGATCTAGACTTAGCAGACACCCAGCACCAATAACAGAACATAACATCTGTCTCTAGATGGGCATTACCAGGTCACAAGAACTGGCAATACAGAATAAATAGGAGTAAATCCTGCAAGGCGAGTTCACATGATGCAAGAGGGAAAGGGCATATATAATCCACTGTATGACATAGAACATGTATTCAGGTATGTATAAGGGGGTATAAAAACTGGTATTTATGTACATCATATACATTGGCAAGGGGATAACCTCACTATTTATAAAACTGTATGAAGGCAGGAATAACCTATATACCGTATTACAGAGTTGGGGAAACCTTCAAATATATAAATAACACATTTATTGGCGCTTAGCCTTATAAGGTCGTGATCGTTTGCGTCTGTCTGGCTTCCTTTGCTTGTGCAGGCGCCCAATGCTGACTCCCTGTCGTCTCCTTACGGAAATGTTCTGTTCCACAAGACTCGCCAACATTCCTACAGAAAAAGAACAGATATAAATATATATTACAACTGCAACACATGTCCTGCAAGTTCCTTACTTTGTATGATTCACTCACCTTCTTGAGCAAGCATCGAGATAAATGCACAGATAAATTCATCATAGTTATGGGTCCTTCGTTGGTCATCAATCTAAAAGATGCACCAGAGAAAAGTAGAAGAATTGAGAAATTGGATAAAAATTAAGAGACTAAAAGCAATGTGGAGAAGATTATGAACTTCACCTTGAATTTCTTGCGTTTTTCCAACTCTTCTCTCAGACATGTTTCAGATGCAGAAATTTCAGCTTCAACACATTTCAGCAAGGCAAGAAGCTCCTTAAGTGGAAAAGTATGGGAAAAGGATTTCATTACAAGGTGTACAATATCGCTCAGTATTACAATACTTGCAAGTTTTCTTTTTAACAAACAAACAAAAAGGATTAGAAAACTAGTAGGCAGTTTGACATCTATGATTTATAAAGCCTTTTCCGCCAACACCAAAATACAGTAACCACCACCCACCAGTCTGCCATCATTCTACTTAAAGGAACACAAACATGTATTCCTGACCATACAGTGTTTAATCCACCATTTAGGTGGCTTGCTCCCCCTTAAAAGTTTAATTTAAAAAAACTACCCTTTCTAATGCTGTGCAGGTCTGCTGGCGCTGGCCTAGCCCTTGGTGACATCAGAATTACCAATTTTTAGCCAATCCAATGCTTTCCCATGGGGAAAGCATTGGATTGGCTAAAATCGGCAAGGGGGCTGGACCAAACACAATTTTGGTCAATCAGAACCTCTTCATAGAGATGCATTGAATTAATGCATCTATATGAGGAAAATTCAGCTTCCCCATGCAGAGCGTGGAGACGCTTAATGGCACTGCTGCCTACTGTGCAGCACTAAGCCAGGAAGCACCTCCAGTGGCCATCTGAGGAGTGGCCACTTGGAGGTGTCCCTGGGGCCATGTAAACACTGCCTTTTTTTTCTGAAAAGGCAGTGTTTGCATGAAAATGCCTTCATATAATGATTATATTCACCAGAACAACTACATTAAGCTGTAGTTGTTCTAGTGACTATAGTGTCCCTTTAACTATAATAATACAAAAAGGCATGCATGAGCAATGAAGGTAAAAAAAAAAGCTAAACTATAATATAGTGCAATCACACAATGACACCCCTCACCAATACCAACCAGTCACATCTATAAATTAGAAGGGCTTTTGGAATAGAGCAGTAAGCACATATGATTGGGGATAAAGCTTTGTTACGGATTTAATTAAACCCCACATTTAGGGTTGTGAACTGGCTTTTCAGCAGAGGTTAGGGTAAGCTGCTAACAATTAGAGGTGTATTCAATGAACATAGCATTATTTTGCATTAAAACCTGAATTGTAAAATTTAGGCCAAAATAACCAAGTTGGCGAGTTTTTCCAAATCCGCTATTGTAGCCAACATTTTGTAATCTGATTTTCAATGCAATGTGACTCAGTATTTAGTGAATAAGCCCTCAAGTGTCAGCAACAATACTATCACAGTTCATTTCTTGATAAATTGAACTGTGGTCCTAACGGCAGGGGAGTCTCCTCACCAAGTTCATTACACTTTAGAAGTACAGCCTGGCAGACAAATGATTCCATTTGCATTCTGTGGATCTGGCTTTCACTTCCTTACCTTGGGAGAAAACTTCTCCCCTTGGGGAGCCTCAACAACTCTGCAACGCTCTGCATCTGATTCTGCACTCTCTCGTCCTTCCTCAGCTTTGCTGCTTTTTGGAGAGGTCTTAGAAGGCTCTGGGGAAGAAAAGAAATAAAATGCTGACAAAATTGACAATTCTACTTTAACATGCCATAAACCCTCCTAATTTAGGAAGTATTTAGAGATATGTAAAAACAAGTTAAAGTGGATTTCTCCTTGCTGCAGTCATTGAATTTCCATTACAACTCTCTAGCCACTAGCAAAGTAATCTATAAAGTCACACCTTGATTCAGAGGCATCCCTCCCTTGCTTCTCTCCTTTTTCTGCCCCTCCATACCGAGTCTGCTGAGTGGACACAAGTGCCCATCCCTGCTGAGATGCAGAATCCCAGTGCCAATATGAGGACCCAAATCCCGAACTGCCCGGTTGTAGCGCACACAGTCCAAACGAGAGAGAGGTTCTTCTTCTCCAAATAGAACTTTTGAGAGGTGGGAGGTAACAGGACTGGAGGGTCGTGTGGGATTGGCAGATCTCAAAGGGGAACGCAGTGGGGAGTTGAATGCACTGCCAATTTCAGAAGCAGTGTCTGTGCTTTCATTGCTGGGAGTTGGAGAAGGCTGCGAGTGAGGGGCAGCAGGGGCTCCTGTCTTTATAGATAAGGGGGAGCAAAGATCTCTCTGGGTTTCCTTTAATCTCTCTGCCAGGACATTTGGAGGGAGTTCAGGTCCAGATGGCGGGGCCAAAGACTCAGAACTTTTTGTCTTGAATCTGTGGAGATAGGAAGATATCAAAGACTCTAATTTCAGCATTTATTATTGAAAATGGCTAGAAAAATATTTAGGCATACCCAGACGGAGGTGGAGGTCTCCTTGTGCTCTCAGTTTCCTCCTCCTCCTCCTCCTCATCATCAGAGTCTGGACATGGTGGTGGTGGTGGCGCACCCCGTGAACGACCAACCCCAGCTGCCAAGTCCTCCTCCTCCTGTAATAAAAATTTACAACAAATATAATTCTGAAACACACTAGAAAACCCATTAAAAAATTTTTTTTTAAAAAGACAATAAGTCACTATAAAATTACCCTTGTCCTTGTTTCATACCTTTAGAAATAAATATAAACCTCGGAAAACTCCCATCACCAAAAACCAACCTTAGACACAAGATTTAAAACCATAAAGCATGTCCCTTTAAAGGTAGCAGTACCAACAATATTAGATCCAAATATGAATCTGTGTATTTACATGGTGTTAAAAATATTTGTTAATTTACAGTTGGCAGCACAACATGGTGTCATGCTCTAATAGGAAATGGTTCAACTCCCGTTCACTTGAGGTTAGTAGATATTCCAAAGGCATTCATTTAGAAACTATGGCCATTTCGTCTGAAAGATATGCGCCATAAGGATGTATTCACTAAATAGGGAATTGGGGAGGAATGACAGTTTAGACCAATGCTAGAATATATAGATTTTATTCTTCCATAAATATCAAATTTTCTGGTCTTTTTATGCTTCATTAGTCTTAGGGTGTGCGGTCATATTTGTTGGGAAATAGAGGAATTCATTTAAAACATCAGGTTATTATTCAAGTTAGGCACAATGTGTACATTAGGCTACAGTTAATTATGAGGGCTGTTCTTTTTAAATCATCATTTTGTTTTAAAGCAAATACTAATTTTGCATCATGCAACCTGCTGTTCTTCCCTTTGTGTTGCTATAGACAAGTTTCAGCTGACAAGGAACTACAACTCCCAGTAACCCATACTGTGCTGTTAAAGCCGTGATTATGGGATAACCTAACTAATCACAGAGACGGTTAAATTAGTCACTTCCTTGTTCAGTGAGAATTCGCAGTCTAGGTTCTTTGCAGCATATAAGGAAACTTTATATGAGAGCCTGCAGGTTCCAAAGCAAGTAATCCATATACCTCCCCACTCTATGTAAAACCAACATCTCACAAATATCACAACTACCTACAACTTCTACAGTGGGTCTCAATAGCACCTTTCAACACAGTATCCAGTTACCAGCAACTCCCACACAAGTATGCTTACTAAGAAGGACACCTCTAGACTTTGACAAAAAAGTCTCCAGACTGCTAGATATTTACTTACTCACTGAAATTCAATTCCAATTCTACCTCACCTGCATTGGTGACTTGGCATAGTTGTGGTTATCCAGAAAGGCAGGGAGACGGGGAGCTGGGGCAGGAGTTGGACCTCCATTCTGAGGTGGCACATTTGATTTACTGTAAGCGTTAAGGACAGAGCTTCGAGTGACGGCTCCTGTTACTTCTGCAGCCGAATCTAGAAAGAAAAAAATAATAAAAGACGTAAATAAAAATAATATATCCTTTTCTCCTGCTGCATGTATGGTGGACAAGTGTATGATCTCCGTACCAGTGACATTCCGCTGGGAACTAAGGTTCGTGCGTGGGTTTTCTGGGCAGGCAGCAGAATTCACAGCATTGATTTTTGTTTCTTCAGGACAATCTGTGGTCTTCTGGGGCTGAATCAACTCTGGCTGAGTCACTCTGATCAGCTGCAGTAGGAGAGAGATTGAGTAAGTGATTAAAGAGTGTAAAAAAATACTTTTCCTCCACGAAGAGCTCATCTTCTGATAATCTTTAGGTTAAATCAGGATCAACCTGACAAGAAAACTCAACAGGTTCTTCTTAATCATGGACACTGGCAAGCTCAGTGATCAAATGAATTGAAAACGGGCCAAATTGCTCAATTTTGGGAAACAAGACAGGAATATTTTCCCCACGTGAGCATCAAGCAAAATTTCATAAAAATTCCACTCAACTCTGACATGTTTGGTTAACAGAGATTTTACCGGTCACTCTTCCATTGAAGAGGAAGCTTCTTAAAGAATATTCTCTCTGTACCAACAGATTCCATGGGGTGGCATTGCCACTATCTATGAGACAAACAAAATCCCGTATTAAGTAGGTCTCAACTTGAAAGATTAGGTCTAAGATACCTGCTGCAAAGCTTCCAACACAGTTTGTCTGTTCATTTTCAGGATATGAAGTTTACTCTCATATTTCAGTCTTCTGTCAGGTACCACTGCCATCAGGTTAAAACGAATATCATGATATGGCTCCCTGCATAACCACAACAAATTTGGGTCACACTCTGAGGCATACAAACTATAATATCACCCATCGATCTATTTCATGTGCGCTTACCCTGCAGTAGCAAGTCCAATCCTTTCCATTATAACTCTACGAGCCTTGTCTGTCCACTCCTCATCCTCAGCCCACGGACCTGAGGGAGGGGGAAAAAAAATGTATAAAAGGACACAGGCATTTATCAGAATTGACAATTAGCTTAATTGGGAAAAAACATCTAACTCCACTTTAATTACAGCAGTGCTATTTTGTTCTAAAATATTCAAATCCCTTTCATATTCTTTAGTCACTAAATCCATATAGACTAGCTCTGTGTAGAACAACTTAACAACTGTAAGGAACTAGCATCATTTATTATATTAATATATTTATTTATTAGTATTTTAAATTGTGCTCTTTAATGTTTTTAAAATTACTGGGAACCCCATTTCATCATTTAAAAAAAATTAATAAAAAGAAATTATTAAACAACTTTTTTCCAGCACCAGGAGAGTCTCTTTCCTGCAACATCCATTCTCCTTACATGACGTCATCAATCCTGATGACTTGAGTCCAATAAGATGGTTAGATGCTTCTCATACAGCACTGGGACATGACTCACTAAGGGTAATTTCTGGATTTGAACCAGAGGTGCTTTAGGGGACTCAAGTGTCCCTTTCGCTTTACATTTCAGTCCACAAATATTTGTTAAATACACGAGATAAATAAATAAATAGAATATTAAAAATCCTGGGAGGTGACAGTTCCCCTTTAAAATACCAACTGGCTAAATTAACACACAATAAAAATAAATAAATAAATAAAAAAAAAAAAAAAAGAGTTAATATTTGAACTAAAACCCAAAGTGTCCAAAAAAAAAAAAAAAAACCCAACAACCACCACCACCAACACAAATACAAAAGAAAAAATATATATATTATTAAAAGAAACACAAAAAGTAAAAAAAAAGTAATACAAAATAGATCTAATGAAAGCTTGAATGAAGAGCGTAACAAGATAATGTGAATCACTATGTTGTGTAATTCTTACCATGGTCAATGGGGTAAACTTTCAGTCCATCCAGTTCAAAAAGTCGACCTTTAATTGGTACGTAGCTGACAAAGTGAAATGCCTCCATGGTGCGGACGGCACTGATTCCATTCTGCTTCTCAGGGAGGTGTCTAGGTTCTGGTCTGAGGGTAACAGAACAGAGATTTACAGCAATTTCTGTCTAGGGTGGAAGAAATAATGGCATCTAAAGTTGAGATAACATCTCTATTAAGTAACAGTTTTAAACATTCTGATTAGGGGGCCCTCTTCCATCCCTTCCTTCTCCCCATTGTCTGAGAATCTCCTAACCGGAATGGGATAACCCCTGGTTTTGGTGTGCTCACTGGGAAGTACTCATGGGTGGTGTTGCTGGAGCATGATTGGGGAAAGCAACCTCTTCCTTCTTTTTTTGTTTCGCTTTCGCCATTCTAATTGTATTTTGTTCTAATGTACAAACAACGTTCCTGACAATTCTGATGGGGCCTGTTGACCAGTTTATAGAATACACCACCAACATATTGTTTTCATGATATGTCTCTCTCTGCTAAGTTTAAGACCACTTTGTGATGGCTCGATTTTCTACTAGGTTTCTTTTACGGCCCATGGTATTGAAAAACTTTAAATAAAGATTCTCAAAAAAATGTTTCAAAAAAGGAAGAGATTTAGACAAGATAAATCCCGGTGCCATCCATTTTGCAGGTAAGTGGACTGAATTAGTACAAGCAAATGAGCTCTAAAGTAGCTCTTCTACAGTGAAAGGATGATTGCTACCTACACAAATACATGCACAATTCCAATTTCCATCGCTGCTGCCCACTGTGTCATGGACCTACCTGGCATGACTGTTGTGAGCTCTTGCTAGTTCTGGAGCATTTCCAATTGCATATCCTTTACTCTGAGGGAGAGACCAGAATTATTTACAAAACAACAAGTAGATGCAGCGCCTGCCTACCACCCCAACCAACGTGTTTCAGTGTTTTGTCTACATAGGTCAGTTGTTGCGCATTCCATTGCAAAAAGGGGCATTTAAAAAAAAATATATATATATATATTTTATAAAAATGACCATTCTAGCCGATCAGTGATTCCCCTGCCGGGCGGCACGCCACTCTTTCTGAAACTCAATTAAAAGCACCTAGAGAGGTGTAGCTAGGGCTGTATAAACCGAAATAATAGTGATTTACCTCCTACATGGCAGAGAATTAAATAATGAGACTGCAGGGGCATGATCTATACACCCAAGCAGCTTAATTAAGCTAAAGATGATTTGGTGTCTATAGTGTCCCTTTAATTGATACACAATTTCACATACTGGAAACTTACACCTCAGATATTTAAAAAAAATAAAAATAAATAAATTAAACTTTTAAAAGAACTTATCAGAAAAATATTATCGAAAGTAAAGTTTACCAGAGTTTATTTTTGTAAACTATAGAGGTTTTATAAACTATAAAGCACGGCATTGTTACCTCTGGGCTGAAGCCTTTGGTGAAATCCTTTATTCTGCTCAGTGTGGGCCCGAGGTGAACCCCACTACAGTTCAGCAATACACTCAGAAGAGCATGAGTGGCACACGAATTAGGAATCAGCTGAAGAAAATGATGGAGAAAGTGTGAGAATCTTGAATAATGACAGATGCACTGTTTGCCACTACCAATAATGTGTTCATTTGTGATTGGTTATACCTGATGTGCGAAGAACATGTTATTAACAACCTCATCTTCCATGACGGAGGTGTCATCCAGCAGAGTGGAGACTTTCCTGCGGGAGCGACGCTCCTCAATCCATTTAAACAGGAATATGAAGCCATACACAGGCCTGGAGGTGGAAAGTGATGGAGAGAAAGTAAGTGTATGTAATAAGATACAAGAAAGACTGTGAATACATAAAATGAATAAATCAATGATTGGAGAGGTAATACAAAGCCATACCCTGGGCACTTGCTTTGCAGGTCATAGATTTCTTCCACCTGGACTCCCTTTACACCTGGGAGAGAGAAATTTCACTGGTTCTTCAAAACAATAAATCCCCAAAAATCTTCATTCCAAGCCTTTACCCAACTCCCTTGTTAAGAAATATAATGCATATTTCCCTGTATGTCTCCCAGCCAAATATATGTTCTCAGATTTACCAATGATATTTCATTAAGCAAGCAACTAACTTACCAAAATCCTCCACCAACAGTGTAAAGAGCCCTGAGTGAGAGAGAACAAACACCAGAAAGGGGTTTAATTGTAATATATTTGATCTACTATATACAGTGTATAGAGCAGGGGTGCCCAAAAGATAGATCCCCAGATGTTGTCGAACTACAACTCCCATGATGCTTTGCATACCTTTAGAATGACATAGCATTATGGAAGTTGTAGTTTTAAAACATTTGGGGATCTACCTTTTGGACACGCTTGGTATAGACTCTACCAACTAGTCAGTTCATTAAACTTAGAACCATGTGTATTTTTCCCATTATATTTTATAAATATATAGATGATCATGTGTAGACAAAATGTTGGCTTTACAACGGACAAAGAAATAAAATAAAAATAAAATGGAATGAATGGCATTTTACCAGCACTTTATACCTTTCTTATTTCTCCCACACAGTGTCCCTTAAATACTTTATATAATGTGGATTTATCATTACCGCTTAAAGGAACGCTAAGCTATAGTGCCAGGAAAGCACACATGTATTCCTGACACTATATTTGTAAAAACAAAGTTTAGGCCCCAGCCTCTCCAGCCCCTTGCCTTTCTTAAAAAATGTAGCTTACTCAGTTTACTAGGAAAACATTGGGAGGCTATTGCACATGTGCAGCATCTTGCTGAGCCAATCAGCTTCTCCTTTTAGAGAAGCTTTGAATCAATGTATCTCTATGGGGAGTGTTCAGTGTCTCCATGCAGAAAGTGGAGACTCTGAACATCGCACTGTGCAGCACTGACCCAGGAGTGCATGCCCTTATAGGGGTGTTCCTAGGCAGCAATGTAAACACATCATTTTCCTTTAAAAACACAGTGTTTGCATTGAAAGGCTGCAGGGACAGACTGTAGACACCAGAACAACTACATTAGGCTGTAGTTGCTCTGCTGACTATAGTGTCCCTTTAACTTTTGATAGGTTGCAATGCCTATAAGCATACCGGTCTAACTTTTTTTGCGGTTTTGTTGTTCCTGAATTCTACAGATAGAAGTCAGTCTGTGTAACTTTATGGACAGTTATGTGTAGAATTCAGGATCAACTGCTTACACAAGGGGTACTGACTTACGCTTAAGGAGAATGAGGTCATCAAAAGTGGCCTAAAGGAAATAAACTCCAGTCCTAGATCCATTAAATTTTGCAAATTAGTGCATATTGATAAAAAAAAAAAAAATTTAAAAAATAATTTTTTCCATATTGGCTTCCTTTTAAGATTACCTCATTCATATCCTGGAGGGAGTAAGGTAGCTCTTCTACTATAAAACCTGCCTTTGGCAACATATATAAAATCAGCTAATGGATACCTGACTTGTGGCATTAGCCCTTTTTAGCATAGCACACTCCAGTGCCTTTCAGGCTTGTCTACATTTGGAACTGCTGAGAAGAAGTTCATTATCCCAGTTATTTGTAGGATACCTCTTTAAAATTGTCCGTATCTGGGCAGTAACTTGGTATTTGTAAAGCTAGTTGTAGAACAGACATATAGCACATTTTGCTAACAGTTATTTGAATCCCGTGTACATTTCTGCCTATTCACATGATAAACAATCATTATCCATCAATGAAGAGGTTAAAGGTGCGTACACGAGTGAAATAGCACTGGTAGCAGTAGAACATACTATACAGAAAATATTTCAATTGACATCAATAAAGGATGCCATGCAATACAAAGAAACATAGTATTTACAAAAACATTTTCTACTAATAATAAGCCAGACTTTAAAAGCACAGATGACTCCATTGGATATCATATTAATTTTGGTAATTAAAATAATAGAATGTCAGTTATATATTATTGGAAACTAAGATAAACATAGAACTCACACATCAGTACACAAACGTTAGAGTACAATGTCATTTTAGATTAGACTACTCTAAAATACAAGGGTAGGATTGTGAAGAAAATAAAATTACCATCACTTATATAGTTTAATAATAAAGGGCAGTCTAAAGCAGAATTAAAATATGTACAATGGATTATATAAATATTTCCTCCCACAGATTTAAACATCTCTGCCATTGTGGAGTAAACACATTTAATGTTTATTAAAACGTACAATCTTTTGCTGCGATACACAACAACAAATATTTGTAAAAAAAAAGAAAAATACAAATATTCCAAAAATAAAATTTTCCTTCATGACTAGCAAATCTAACTGTGCATCGTATGAAAGGCAGTCCAGAATAATTAGAGGTGAGTGTGTCATGTTCACCCCAAAAATAAATAAAATAAAAGAGCAACACAAACCGTGGGATCGGAATACATATTTGGAACAAATAATATTTAAAAGTTTATTATCACTACTATCAGCATGTATGTAGCACCAACATATTCCACAGCACTTTACATTATTATAAAGGGGGACATTTAACAATAAAATAAGACAATAACAATAGGTTACAGGAACAATAGATTCCTGTATATGTTCTTTTCATGAAGATGCGAGCATTCAGTGCAGTAGCATACAAACTTAAATTGTCCACAAAAAAAAAAAAAAAAAGCAAAATAATATTGTCAATGAAATATATTACAGCTGACAAAAACAAAAATGTCACAAGGAATTTGCCAATGATTGCCATGTTTGACATGTTACCCCTTTTTAACAGGAGAGGGGTAGTGTCAGAGATGAATAATACACATTAAATACATATACCAACAATGTAGCACTCAGTAAGCAGTGTTCATTCTGTATTAAACATATTACATTCAGTATGTCTGTACACACAGGGCATGATTCTATAGGGGAGCTATACAGGACATTGGAATGCCCCTACATATACCACTAGGTCTATAGGAAGCAGCTGTGTCTGGATTAATAATGAATATATGAGCCCACCATGCATTGTAATATATGAGATAATACCTGGATCGCTCTCTAATTCTAACCAGCCTTTATTCATGTTGTCTTATCCATGCCTACGGGCCTCTGACGTAAAAAGAGAATGCGCCGGAAATTCAAGCTAAGCATGTTCCTGTTTATGTCATGTGACCCGCAGTGAGGCCTGGAGCACCATCTTTGATGTGGGCAAAAAAAAAAATGTACCTACTCACATTCACTGTAAAACTCGGGAGAATTAAAGAGAAGGGGGGAAAAAACGTCCTAAATCTAGCTAGCTACTAAGAAAATAAAATCAATGTAATATATTAGTTTGTGTACTTTACAGTGTTTTATACTGTGGTGTAATAATGACCACATCTTTTTACTAATTTGTGGTGGTATTATTGCAGGTATATTTAATGCATTTCTGATAATATTGCTTTATAAATATGTTTTTCTCAAAATGGTAAAAGAGTTTATAATGACAAAACTTTAATTTATCTCTTTTTCTAATTTTATTTTTGTGTCACGTGGCTTTCCTTGAGCCATGAGGGCCGACTTATGACTGGGGCATTGTGGGTAACTTTATGACTTATTAACATCAAGTTATTTACATAAATTACTTTTTTTTTGTCATTATCTTGCTGTAGCGCTACATCCTAAAATCTTTTAAAGAATACCTACCAACTGTCCAGGGCTCAGCGGGATCATCCTAAATGCCAGCTCCTGTCCTACTTTCCTGGGCTAGTTCTCTGTTGTTCTGCATCTCGGTACATCTGGAAAATGATTTGTATCAAGTGTATAAATGGAAATACTTGCACTGACCTGAGTATACTCAGGGAATCAGAGGGACCCTGTAGGAAGTGTAACTGCTTCATCTCATTGTAGTGACTATAGTGTCTGGAATCCCCTTTCACCATCCTGACAGTCCGTGTACTGGAAGGACATTTTTAATGATACACAAATATCCCCAGCAGCCAATTCTCGGTGTTGCTTGGGCTAATGAACAGGCATAAGCCTGAGCAGCAATGGGTGGCTGTTACCAGTTGAGAGGGTGAGCTGACCGCTTTCAACATATATCACAACTCCAATTGCTGGTATGAATCGGTATGGCTATAAGCAAGTGTGTAATCTATGCCTTAGCCATACCTCTCAGGGTGCCCGTAGACCTTTATTCTGTGTTTAACTGCTTGGAAATGGTTTAACATAAAATGGAGAGACTGTGCTAGAAGATTCATTGCACTGAGTGGGGCCGGCCATAGTCCCTCACAGCTCTTTTTGGCCCACCCACCCTCCATCCCAGATTTCATACCTCCCTTGTTGAGAGGGAGCTATAATAAAGACAGGCAAAAGATTGTCCATAAAGGACATTTGGGGGATAAGCCTTTTAAAGCCCATAGTATAATAACAGAACCGACCAGACTCTGCCATAAAATTCATGTAGCTGGCCATCAGGGATTTAGTGGCAGTGGACTGTAATTCTGATCAATAAGATAAGTCCAGTAAAAAAAAAACAAAAAAAAACAAAAACAAAGATTTGAGATGGTTGAAAAGACAACAGAGAGAGAGAGAGAACGATGTATATAATATGGAGAGAATGAAGCATTGACAAAACACATAGAAACCAACAGATAGACAGAGATGAGATAGAAGATGTGGTATAATTCCTGGCTAATGAAACTCACCATCTGAAGGCAGGCATTTATAGGGTTATTTATTAATGTGAGAATTGTCGGGAATTGAGCTGGAAGCACAGCTGACTTGGAGAATGTTTCCAATTCAGCAATTTTGGCTTTAAATTAAAAATTTACTTTGAATTCCCAACAATTCTCACAGAGAATGCTGGGTGAGGGATGTTGTTCCCTGTTATGCTAGACATTGATGTTAGGGCAACAAAGTTCTAAAAGGAAAAGCAACTATTAAGTAATGGACAGCTAGCTATTTCTGATGGGATTATTAGTACATATATATATACGTTTCCCGAACATTATTATACATTTGCGTGTACCAATGTGGGTTAGGGTGCGGATGCAGTGGAGATAAGAATGGGAAATCTTGGGAAAGTCCACAGCTGGTTATAGTAATTTTAGATGTGTAGTAGTTTTTTGTATTAGGCTACAGTAAAAAGTAGTTTTGACTTAGAACCAAACCCCTAAAGCACTATATATCGCAGCTCTACCCGCTTCTGCTAAGTTCATCAGGGGCATTATCGTTCCCCTATTTTACAAAGCTGTGGGAGTGTGACCTGCTCAGGACCTAGAATGATTGTCATTTGGAGAGAGTCTTTCTACTGACTTAAGTCCTCTATTAGTACACGCAGTCACGAGTTTGGTTACAGTATCATATGCCCTGAGAAGTTAGCTCATATGTATTCCACAGTGAACTTTGCACCCTCATTCACATTTGCTGGGATTGTCCCCAGGTGCGTTCATTCTGGCAGTCTGTTCACGTAGATATGTCCCAATTATATTGAAGCCATCAACAACCAAAAACATTATGTTGATATATGGTTTCATTCGACACACTGGCTCTCTGCACAGTCTGCAGCCACTAGGGGATTGGGCAACATGGGATATTGATTTCCCTTACCCCTTACATATTAAACATGTTTAAAAATGGTCTACTCCTTGGAGCTGAACCATTCTTGAACTGGTCTCCACTGCCATCTTCTTCTGCTTTACATGTAAGCCTTATGTTTCCTTCACTCTGCCTTACCTTGCTTTCTGTTCTCCTCCTCCTTGCTTTTACGGTTTCTTTCCCTTCCCTTTACTGTCATCATGTGGCTTCATCTCTTTTTTTTGTTTGTAGTGGCAGCTCGCTTTGGCTAACTTCCCCCTGCCACTGATAGTGTTATGGAGCCAAATGGTATTTTTTACAAATTCTTTATTTTTCTGATAGAGTCATAAGTGAAGTGCCACAACAGCACACAGAGGTTAAACAACAAAGATTTAAACTGGGCACATATAGACTGCACATTTTTATGTTATTATGTTTAAACAAGCTAGACTGGCATGTGATGAAAGATAACAACCTAGGTTGGTATGAATATTCCAGGAGCTGGTCCACCTAAGATGGGTTTTGGTGTAATAACACCTAATAAACTTGAATTAAAAAAATTAAAATGTAATTAAAAGGGGAAAGAGCATACACGCACTTCTCCAACGTTCACAACACATATTCCAGAATAGATGGATTCCTCATCTCTGGCGCACACTTAAACCAACTCCAACTCTGTGACATAAAGCAAATTACATGGTCGGACCACGCGCCAGTGACCCTAGACATGAAAAACATATACGATTTTAAAAACCGAAGCCCCTGGAAGCTAAACAACACACTGCTACTCAACAAAGGCTACACGGAGGAACTCCGGAAAGACCTACAATCCTATTTTACCCTAAATGACAATGGTGAGGTAGCCCCAGAGACAGTTTGGCAGGCACATAAAACGGTAGCACGAGGACTGCTGATCAGGAGAGCAACATACCTCAAAAAACTATCACAAGCCAAACTAAAACAATGGCAACAAGAATTATATGACTTAAACACACAAAATCAGATTCACCCAACAGTGGACAAGAAGCACCGCATTCTACACATAACAGGATTAATACGACAACAAGCACTAGAACAAACACAAACCCAAATGACCAAACTTAAAATAAACAACTATATGCAGGGGAACAAGGCGAGTAAATTAGTAGCACAACACCTTAAACAAAAACAGACTAACCAAAAAATCGCATACGTACTAGATAAGGGTAGAAAACGCACTACACCCATAGAAATTAGTGAAGTATTTGCCAACTACTATCACGACCTGTATAACCTACGAGAGGACAAAGACACGATACAACCTGATGACAGTAGCATAGCAACCTACTTAGATAAGATACAGATGCCTACGCTTACTACACAACAGAAAACAGACCTAACTAGAAAAATAGAACCCCAAGAAGTCATAAAAACCATACACTCCCTACCAACGGGCAAATCGCCGGGCCCGGATGGGTTCACGAACCTCTACTACAAAAAGTTCAACCAAATATTAGCACCATATCTGGCAACAACCTTCAATAACGCAATAGACAAAAAATCCCTACCGAAAGAGATGTTACAGGCCCACATCGTCACGCTGCCAAAACCCAACAAACCACCAACAACCCCGCAGAACTTTAGGCCCATCTCGCTACTGAACACAGACGCTAAGCTGTTCGCTAAAATATACGCCACAAGATTAGGGGCTATAATCCCACACATAATACACACTGATCAAGTGGGCTTTGTAAGGGGGAGGCAGGGGGCAGACAATACGCGGAAAGTAATAAACCTGCTGCATAAGCTCCAGAAGCGAGATAAAGGGGGAATATTCCTGTCACTGGATGCCGAAAAGGCCTTTGACAGGCTGCACTGGGGCTTTCTCAGGGCAGTTCTGTCAAAATTCGGGATGCCCGACCAATTTATTGCGGCGGTGGAAGCACTGTACAGTGAGCCCGAAGCACGAGTATTGAACTCGGGGTTCCTCTCGGCACCGTTTAGACTGTCTAACGGTACTCGACAGGGATGCCCCTTGTCACCATTATTATACATCATGGCCCTAGAACCACTAGCTACCCGAGTGAGAAACAACACGAGCATCCACGGGGTGGAGATGGGGAAACGGGAATACAAAGCGGGACTGTTCGCAGATGACGTTATGTTGACAATCACACAACCACAGATCTCACTGCCAAACCTTATAGAGGAAATTAGGGACTATGGAGCCCAGTCATACTACAGATTGAACGTCACTAAAACACAGGCCATGGGGATCGGGATACCACGAGCCACAGTACACGCCTTAAAGGAAACCTTCCACTTTGACTGGAGGGACGACTACCTCACCTTCCTAGGGTTAAAAATCCCCAAACACCCAGGCAAACTCCTAGAACTGAACTATAGCAGACTGCTGACGGAGATGAGTGACACGCTGAAAACATGGGAAAATAAATACCTGTCGTGGATAGGCAGACTGACAGCCTTTAAAATGATACTATTGCCCAAATTCCTGTACCTGACAAGGACACTACAAATATTCCTCCCAAACACATATTTGAACAAATTACAACGCACAATCACACGCTTTATATGGGCAGGT